ACACACACACACACCTATCTATCATAGTTAAATTTGCATATATAAATGGATCTTATCGATATTCAAATGACCTTGATGGTGGTTTGTTCTTAGTGCCCTACATTTATTTTTTATTTAATTTTTTGTTGGTCCTGAAACCAACCAACCGACCAAAGGTAGTCTTGTTTTTTATTTTTTTTTTTTTTTTTTTGGGAAAAAAACACGGTGATCTTTTTTTCGGTACAATGATAAAAAAAATTACCGGTGAAAAAAAAAAATTTCCAGGATATTGTTGTTGTCGGTTTACACACACACACAGAGAACAAGTGATCTAAATATTGTTTTTTTTCGGATGAATAAAAACCGGAACTTGACCAGATTTTTCTTTTTCAAGTTCAAGGCCTTGAAAGATCACTGTTGTTGCCGTTGTTGTAGTCAATTGGACAATACTACGACCTAGCCTTAGCCTAGTAATCACAGTGACATTTGGTCAAGCAAACAAAAGGAGAGAGGAAAAAAAAACTTGTTGACCCTTTCCTGATTTATTACAATATATATGACGAACCTTGATTATCGAAGAAGAAAAAATTTTTTTTTTGATTCTCAACAAAATGGCCAAGGTCAATTGGTCACACACACACACACACAAGGTTTGTTTCCCCACTCACTTACCTATTGATTAGGTTAGGTTATTTCGGTTGTTCAATACCCTAGTGACACACAAAAAAAAATCGATCTGATCTATCCACATTTGCATTGTTCCTATCTCTCTCTCTCTCTCTCTATGGATCGAGAAGGAAGACCAAAAAAAAAAATTTTTGAATGAAATCTAAACATAATGGGTCATGATCATCATCATCATCATCATATGTAACACATTAAAACATTATATATATGGGGTTGAACTTTTGTATGAATGTAAAGATTTGGTATTGTGTGACATCAATATATCGAACAATATGGCACGTGTCTATTTTCTCTACGTGTGTTTGTATATGTAAGTGTGTGTGTGTGTGTGTGTGTCGGAATCAATCACTAATAAAGGTCACCTTATAATGACCTCATTGAATGATGAACCAAATTGATGTACGTGTGTGTGTGTGTGAGCAATCTAATTATGTTAATTTTTTTTTTAGAAAAAACAAAAACAAAAACAAAACGAAGAAAAAATTTTTCCATTAAATTTACAATCATTGGTGGTGGTTTTTTTTATCCACAAAATAAATATTGATCCAAAAAATCTTGGGCCAACAAAAAAAAACGACTATAGCGTTTCAAGTGTTATCCACCGCTAATCCTCGTGTATAAACGAAAGAAAGCGATAAAGAAAGAAAATTTACAAGAAACTTTTTCTTTTTCCCTCGAATGTAAATGATTGACGATGGTCGAATTTACATCTGTCCATCATTATTATTTTTTTGGTACACACATGGCACGTGGATCGTATATAGTCGTAGTAGTAGTTGTTGTTGTTGTCTAAGACTTTTTTTTTACCTTCACGATTACCTACTACCGCCGCCCAATTTTTTTTTTTTTTTTTTTTGGCCACACGTTCCAAAATTATTTGATGGCGTTAGCACCACCTAATTTTTTTTTTGTTGCTGTTGTTTGGTTTGGCTTGGTTTGGTTTGGTTTTTGATTATTTGACCAAATAGTCATTAAATGTACACAAAATGTATGTGTAGATAGGAAACAAAAAGAAACCAGCTGCCACTGCTGAATAATGTTCGCTTTTCCCGAAAATTGTCTTTCGATTGTTATACACACACACACACAGAGACAAAAGTGGCAGCTGAAGATGAAGAAGAAGAAGAAGAAGATCTGGACCATCATCTTTTAGATGCGCGTGTTTTTTTTTGTTTCTGGGAGCAAAAAACACGCGTTCCAGCAGCTTATTGTCGTTTTTTTTGAAGAAAAAAAAACTGGACACGCGCGCAATAAGATCTTGATCATCGATCAAGAAGACAAGAAGACAAAGTGAAACAAAACAAAAAAAAACAGCATATGTTTTGTCGATTGACCACACTCAACAATAATGGTCAACGATAAAAACGAATGAAACCAGCCAAAAAAAAAAAAGAAAAAGACGTTTTGGTCGAAGGTGTCGATTACGTAGCCGTAGTAGTAGTAGTAGTAGTCTTGGCCAGCTGTTTCGCTACGTTAGAAAAATTTTTGAAAATTTCAAAAACCAAATTCGAACCAATTACATAATAGATGGCTATTTTTAGTTCATAAATTCGATGATTACGGTGATAATTGAAGAAGGCAACAACAACAAAACAACAACAAAAATTGATCAATCAATCGATAATCTATTCAAATTGATCTATAAACCATGAAAGATTTAATGATGATGATGATGATGATGACAAAAACAAAAGAAACCTAATTTTACCTTTGATTAATCAAGTAGGTATTCCGGTTTTGTTTTGTTTTTTTTTTTTTTTTTCCAGCCACCAAAAGACCACAAAGACAAAGTAGACATTCGATTAATTTGATTGACACAAATGATGACTTGATGATGATGATGATGATGAACCATTTGTATATATAGATTTTCTTTGTTTCATTTACTCATTTGCGTGTCAAATGTCAATTTAGATTTTCAAAAATACCACTACCACTACCGCTACTATTGATGTTAATGCGAACCATACTTTAAGACATTTTTTTTTTTGTTTGTTAAGATAAAAAACTTTTATTTATTTCACACACACACACACACAGACAGATGGACTTCCGGAAATTAGTGTATTCGTGTGTGTGTTCAGCACACTTGTCCAAAAAAAAAAAATTATGAATGAAAAATTTGACAGTGGATGATGATGTGAAGAAGAAAGTTTTGGTTTTAAAAAAAATCGATAGCTCGACCATGATGATGTTGGTGATAAGGTCAATTCATTATTGAAGATAGAGAGAGACAAACAAATGTCACAAACTTGGCCTGTTTTGTTTTTTTTTTTTTTTTGTTCATAGGGCCACCAAACAACCAAGAAAAAAAATAGTCATTGAATAAAAACCATGATGATGATGATCTTTGACCAGACTCTTGCTCGCGAAATGTCCGAATAGTGGCCAAAAACGCGAATGGCCAAAAACGAATGAATATAAAACGACAGGAAATATGGTGTCATTCGATACTCTATAAAAGACATATATACATCGAGATAGTAAAGAAAAAAAAACCAAATCATCATCATTCATAAAACAAAACAAAAAACTTTACTATATGTGTGTGTGTGTGGGAGTAATAATTTTTCCTACTTATTTAAACGGGTTTTTGTTCTGTATGTGTATGTGTGAAAAGAAGACACAAACAAAAGAATTTATGTCTTTTGTCTGCAAAAAAAAAAAAAAAATCTTTCTTTCTGTGTTTGTGTGTGTGTGTGTGTGTTGGACGTTATGAATTATGAATTTTTTTTTGCAAAAAAAACAATGATAATCATCACCATTAACATCAACGCCAACGCCAACGCACACACACACACACACACACACTTGTTAGATTAACAGATGTGATGTTTAGATAATGACAATAATAATGTATATATTGGTGACATTCAACAGATCAGAAAAAACGGAATTTTTTTTTTTCTTTAAAATTCAAAAAATTTTTCATACCAGACGCACACACACACACACATTACGATCACAAGAAAATCATAATTGCATCGATTCCTATTGAAACGATGAAATCATCGATAATCATCATTTGACATTCAATTGAAAATTGGTTTATGGCATACAAATATTGGTGGTGGTCTGGTATTTTTTTTTTTTTTTTTTTTGATGCTGTTTACAAATATTTTTCATTCGAATGAATCAATGTTGTTGTTGTTGTTGTTGTTGAAATGGAATTTTAGTTTTTATTACCAAAAAATTTTTTTTTTTTTCATTCGAATGAATCATTTTGTTGTTGTTTGATGATGATGATGATGATGCACTGACTGGCAAACAAACAAAAAAAATCATTTCTTGTCTTGTTCAATTCACTTTATAGTTTATGGAAAATTTTTCATCCGGAATTTTCAATTTTTCATTCAATCAATTTTTTTTCTGATTTGTTTACCTTACGTAATAATTAGCGTCGATGATGATGATGATGAATGAATGAACAAATCGATGACAAAAATAAAATAATGGGCATATGGCCAGAAAAACATGAAATATTTTGATGTTTCATATCGATATATCGTAAAAAAAATTATCGATTGTTTTGTTGTTTTTTTTTAATTTTAGTTCTGGTGTTCAAAATTTGACAATCATCATCATCAAGATTATTATTATATTATTACAACGTGTATTGTGTTGTATTATGTGTGATTATTATTACACATCGATGACAATGTGCGAAATAATGAAAAAAAAACAAACTAATTTGCCAGTGTGTGTGACATATTTGATGTTTGGTCGGTTGGTTCGTTATTGTCACCATCATAATCATCATCATATCCTCCTACGCGCGTGTGTGTGTATGTGTGTGTGTTGGTGTCCATTGTGTTTGTTCAAATTCATTCGAGTTTGACATTTCTTTTTTTTATTATATTTTTAGAAAGAAAAAAAAAAAAAAAACACCAAGATGACCTTTTTGTTTGTTTGTTTGTTTGTTTGATGATTATTACCAGAATATCCCAGAAACAAATTGATTTTAGATGTTGAAATGCGATAACCAACACCACCACCACCTACGCTTTACCTTGTTAAACATTTGTTTTTGACAACATTTTTTTTCCAGGCGAATTTTTTTTTTATTTTTCAACGAAAAAAAAAATTTCCAAATCCAAGACCATATGGTCGAATATATAAGCAAAAGGCGTTGACTAGATTTTTTTTCAATTTTAATTTCATTTCATTTCATTCATTTTTTTCATTAATTCAGTTTCTCGTGCACATAATTAATGAAATAGTCAAATATTGCTAATTACAACAACAACAACAACAAAAACAACGACAACAACAACAACAACCAATAGAAACCAGGCAGATGTAAAAAATTCAAATATTCATTATAATTATCAAATCGATAATGCTCTAATTATTTTTTTTTATTTTATATTTCACATCACGACACGACGATGACGATGATTATGTAGAGATTATTATGGCCTTGAGATTGAATCATTTTTGATCATTTGGATTTGGATTTGATAGTAGTGGATGATGATGATGATGATGATACTGGCAGGCAGACAGTCGATAAGCAGTGATGAAAAAAAAATTATTATTATTAATCACCACCATAATTATTAATAACAGTATCACGTATGGCCATATGTATTGGAAATAACTGGATTGATGATGACGAAGATGAACATTGTTGTCGATAATCATCAGCATTTAATGAAAAAATCATAATACCACCAAAATTGTTCATACAAATCCATTCGGCTTTTTTCGATGCACTTTCAATATTTTCAAAACTAATCCATTCACGTTGATTATATGCATATGGTACATTGGCTACACCATCATATTTCTATCATTAAACAGAAAAAAAATTTATTGATCAATAATCAATCAGAGAATCACTACTACTCACCATAATGGTATTATTACGTTTAAGAAATGCACATACTTCACTATATGACATATCATCTTCACCTTTTATGGCTATAGCGCCAGGAAAATTGGCTGCTTCATGGAACAAAATATAACGTTTTCCATATGTTGGTATACCGACCATAATCTTATGTTTGGGCATACCAATTTTTGTCCAATATTCTGCTGACCATTTCACTGTGAATGTTTTAGCCGGTCCATTATCGAATGGTATCAACAATGGTGAATGTAATGGACTATTATGGCCAACATAAGGAAAATACCATTTGTAAATAAAATAATCATAAGTCATTAGATTGATAAAATCAACAAATTTAGCCATCTCTTTTGCTCTATATGAATGTTGTATAATGACAAATTGTGCTGCCACCGCTGCACTTAATATTAAATGTTTTCCAGTTTCATGTTCCATTTGATTGAAACCATTACGAATTTCATGTAATAAATCAATAAAATCATTACGTTCAAAATATTGGAATAATTTTTTTGGCCACGCTGGAAATTCCCAATCAATATCGACACCATCCAATTGATATTCACGTATGAATTGTAGAATTGAATTTACAAAATGTTTACGACGTGTGTCGGTAGAGGACGCCATCTTCCAACCACCAGCTATTGAAAAAAAATGGAAAAAAATGAATTTTTTTTGAAAAATTTTTTTTGTCTTACCTCCACCACCTATTTATATTTGGATAAATGATGAATCGAAATTCGAATTATCGATTGATTTTTTTGTAATAATTCATAAGAATAAATTCGTGGAATACATCACTTACCACCGATTGAAAACATTAATTTAACATTCGAATTCATGACATTCGAATCGATTGATTGACGACAAATTCGTATGAAATCTGCGACATTCTGGTCATATGATAATTCTGATTGTTCACCGATTGAAACGAATGCAATAATAATGTGGGTACAAAGATTTTGTTCAATAATTCGATCGATTGGAAAATTCGCTTCTGGTCGTAGATAACAAACACGTTTGAATTTGAATTGATCCTGTTGTTGTACAGATAATGATGGTGATGATGATGAAATTATAAAGAAAAATAAGGAAAAAATTAAAATTTTCAGTTTCATTTTTTTTGGGTCTTGTGCTCGTCACAATTTTGCTTTGTGAAATGCAACGAATATTTTATTTGCACTCAAACAACAACAACAACAACGAAAATGACAAACCATTATTCAGTTTTTATATGACTGATGATAAGAATCATAAATTTCAAACTAAAATGCCAGGATGCGACAGAAAAATGACTTAAAATCGTGACACATTGTATGATTTTGCCATTGCAAACATTTTTTTTTTTTTTTTTTTGAAACAACGCTATTACGTACTATATGAATTTTTCATGCTGTCAAAGCAAAAAAAAAAAAAATTTTCACGCTCATTTTTAATTCAATTGAAATTGATTTTGTTTTTGGTGATCGTTTTTTTTCAATCAAACAAAAAAAAAATGGATGATGTCACATTCATCCAAGATCTTGAAGAGATTGGCATTCATGGCCGTTCAACATTACGTGATATATTGACCGATTCATTCCGTAAGAATTCAAATGATGACCAACAACATGATAATAATAATAATAAATTATGGCCAGAAATATTGGAATTTCAATCAAACAATGGTATCATATTGCCATCATTGCAGCCAATGTTTCCATTGTTACATTTGTTGGGTGTAAAAAGTTTTGAATTTCATAAATCCGTTGTAGAAGAATTACGTGAAAATTTAATTAATCGTTTTGAAGAAATATCACAAAAAATGGATCCAAATAAACGTGAAGCTAACCTGAAAGCATTGTTGGCTAAATCATTTCCATTGATTAAAATGCCAATGATACAGCCAGTGGTGATGGCATTGTTGAAAAATATTGAAGTTGTTGAAGATAAATATCTAAAATTATTGGTGGCCGATGAATCACTATACAAAAAATGTGATGTATCCGTTAAACGACATATTTGGCAAGAACATCAATCAATGCTTGTTGGTGAATTATCACCGATTCTTTCGGAATATGTTAAAGAGGTATAATCAATCCTTTTTTTCTGGTGAAAATTGAATTTTAATCTTTCATTTATTCACTCAAATTTTTTAGAAAGAAGCAATATTTGCCAACATTAAAGAATCGAAACATATATTCTTTTTGCTCACACCGAAACAACGTCGTCAGAATGAAATTCTACAATCATTGGCCCAAATGGTCGGTAAAAATGTTCTGCTTTATGATACGATTCTACAATTTGTTCGTACCGTATTTATACATACGAAAAATCCACATTATTGTACATTACGTGTTAGTTTATTGATGGAATTACATGATGCTAATATAACCGATATTACATCGATGGATGCTTGTCATAAATTTGCCTGGTGTTTGGATGCCTGTATTCGTGAGAATACCGTCGATCATAAACGTATTCGAGAATTGCAAGGTTTCCTTGATAACGTGAAAAAAGGACAAGAAGCTGTTTTCAGTGATCTAGCTATGGCATTATATGATCCATATGCCGTTAATTTTCTTGTACAAACGGCCATGAGAATATTGAATTCATTGATCACTAATGAATCATGTCCACGTGAACATCAAACATTACAATTTCTGTTACGTCTTCTTAATCTTGGTTTACATGCACATGAAATATTGAAAACACAAGCATTTCGTGAACCAAAATTAAATCCTGAAATATTAACACGTTTTCTTCCCATTATAATGGGATTTATGGTTGATGATCAGGTACGATCGGTTAATTCAAAACTGCCACCAGATGATCGTGAATCAGCATTAACAATAATTGAACATAGTGGACCACCACCAGATTGTTTTCAGACATTCATACAACAAGATCCATTAGCAGCTATATTCGCCATTTATTATACAGCACAAGCAGCACGACAACATGATCGTCAAGCCGTTGTTCGTGTATTGGGATCATTAACAACAACGTCAACATATAATAATCTAAGCCATTCAGATCCATATCAACATATATTGGTCAGTGCACTTGTACAATTGGCTGATGAATTTGTACATGATGATCTATGTACATTGGTTTTCGATGAAATACTATTGCCAGCATTGGATATGAATAGTACAGCTGTACATTTGATGAAATTAATATATCATTTAAATCAATGGATACCACAGGAACGGTTAGAATCATTAATGATGAAACTTCAACATTATGTTCAAATGCCCAGTACAAAAGATCAACGGACACGTACAACATTTGTAGAATTGGTTCAATATTTGGAAAAAATTAAAGAAGAAAAATTACGTAAAAATCAACCACCACAATTACCGACAACTCCAGTGGCAAATCAATCAAATCAAATTATTGCCGGTAATAATACGAATGTAGTGGATAGTCCAATCGGTGGTTCTGCATCCGTTCGTATTGCATCAACAACAACAACAACAACAACACCACAACATCATCCAATGATGACACCATCACCACATGTTTATCATACACCTTCACATTCTCATCATCATCATCCTCTTCCTCCTCATTCACCGGTACCACCACCAACATTACCACCACCACAACCATCATCACCTTTATCACCGACACCTTATTATAGTACACAACAACAGCCACCAATGTCACCATATACAGATACAACAAATAATCCATTATCACCTTATAGTGGACAACCAATGTCACCATTACCACCACCAACATCATCATATCAATCACCATTCCATCAACAATCGTCATCATCATCTCGATCCACATCATCATCATCGGATAGATCTTATCCAACAACAAATTATTAATTTTTTCATTTTATTTTTAGAAAATCATTTCTTTTGCTCACCATCATTATTATCATTAATCATGGTTGTATTGGATACATCAACATCATCCGATATTTCATCAAATGGCATTGTTAATAAATGATCATATTCAATAATTTGAAAATAAATATTACCAATTTGGAATAGATATTCATTTCTACGTGATTGTATTGTCGTTATCATGAATGCATATTGTATACGGCCAACCAATGTGAACCAATGATGTTGATCGAATAATAACGATATACGATTATGAAATTCAATTGATAATGAACGAAAACAATTTCTATATGAATCAAATTCATGTGGAATGTTTTCATGTTGACATGATGGAAAATTTTGTTTCTGTAGAATATGTTTCGCAACCAATGTCATCAATGGTATTTTGGTTTCATTCGACGCAAACCATACATATGGTTTTGTTTGTTCCAATTGAGCTTCATTGATCATTTCTTTTATGGAGAACTTTTTTTTACATGAGAAAAAAATAATTAGAGTTTTTTTTTGTTTGAAACATTTTCATCATTGTAATGTGATGATAATTACCATTTGTCGAATTTTTTGTTCATCATCATCATCCATTCGATTGTTATTCGATTTATCGATTGTATCGCAATGTTCATGTTTCAACATTTGTTCGAATGATTGAAATTTTCTATCCAAATTTTGTATGGAATTTTGAAACATTTCCAATTGTTTATCAATATTCATGGAAAATTTATTCCATTTTTGATAAACATTCAATAGAATTGAAATTGATATTAAAATTATGGAAATTTTCACGATTCTTTTGCCACCAATCATTGATGATGATGATGATGATGTTTGAATTTGATTTTGATTTCGTGGTTCAGCCATCTTTTCTCATATCATTATCATCCAGCATAAAATGATTGAATGTGTGTTACCAGAAAAAAAATTGGCCAAATCATCATCATCATCATAATAAACGAAAAAATCCATGTCAACTGATAACTCTTGGTCATAAAAAAAAATTATTATTATTGTAATCTTTTACACAGGTATGTTTATTAAATGTTTAGTTTTTATTATCATTTTTTTTGTTGTTGTTTGGTTGGTTGATCATAAATCACACGCACATTCGGTATTTATTTTCCGCAAATTTGCTAATCTTTATCGTCATGGTAATAATGGACAACATTTTTTTTTTTTTTTTTGTATCCGTTATATATGAATGCGTCGTTCAACAGTTGAGCAGGTTTTCCTTTTTTTTATTGACGATTAGCTGATTTTTAGTTATTGATACCCAATGGTTTATTGGTCATTTGTGATTCTCGATTACCAAGATGTTCACCAACATCCATCGATAATGCACCAGCACCTGAAAGTGGATATTTTTTTTTAGAATTTTTGTCTTTTTTTTTTGGTCCATTTATTGATTTACTTACCACCACCGAATCCATAACTGAAAAAAAATCCAAAAAAAAGTTAAAAAAATTTGATTTGAAAATTTTCAAAAAAAAAATTTTTCTTTACCCCTTTGGTCCAAATTTACGGCCATAACATTGTTTACACCACAATGCATTATCATGGGCATTCACATTGGTCGAATCCAAACGTTTATTGCATAGATTACATTTGAAACAAACTTTATGCCATTTTTGTCCACCGGCCAATAATTCTTCAGCAGCATATACTGGTCTACTACATCGTAGGCAAATGTTTGCAGACATTGTTATTGCTGTTGTTTTGGTTGTAGAATTGAATTGAAGAATTTTTATTTCAAAAAAAAAACAAACAAAATCACTCAGATTACTGATTATTGACAATCGTAATAATAAAATTTGTTTTTCACATCATAATCACCACACACACACACACACACACATTCGGCTATTTATACTTGAAATTTTTTTCTTCTTTCACATTCTGAGTTATAAATCAATCAATTTTTCACCACAAACACACACACACACACACACGAATCTATAGAGTAGAAAATCAAGAAAAAAAAGAGCAAAACTGTCAACAAGTGAAAAAAAATGAAATTTTTTGTTTTGCCTCCATTTTTTTTTTAAATTATTACCGAATATTATCATTTTCTCCGCTGTCAAAAAAAAAAAAAAAAAATTAATATGAATTGCCTGTGTTTATGTTTTGTCATCATCATCATCATGATGATCATCGAATCGAGACCAAGAATTTGAACAATTCTGGAGTAAAAAAAAAAAAAAAAAAATAAACTACCATTGTTGTAAGCCATCAAGCAGAACAAGTGAATAAATTCAATTTGATCGATCATTAATCTGATAACTAATCAATCATATTCAATGTGGACAGGAATTACTATTATTATTATTATTTTTTTTTCAATTATGATCAATTCAACAAATTCCAGAATATTCTTGTTTCCCACCATATTATTACCACCATGGTTAGTAAGAAGAATGAATATTTTTATCCGACTTTCATTTTGTTGTTGTTGTTGTTCTAATTTTTCATTGATTTTTATCGCCTTTTTTTCCAATAGTGGTGTTCAACTTTTTTTTCCCGTCCATCATTTACCGTGAACTTGTTCAATATGTGTGTGTGTGTGTGTGAATATATTATATATAGTGAAATTCATAGAAAAAAAAAAAAAAAAAATTACAGTACCCGATTTGAAGACCACTGTATTGGTTGATATATTCTTGTTAAAACCATATTACTCTTGAGATGTGAAAACATTAGCCCAAAAAATTTAAAATTGGCAATAGACTAAAGGGAGAGAGAAAGAGAGAGGAAAAAATGTACGAAAAGAAGATTCGCATCATCAACATAACTGGCGAAAATTGTGTTCTGGCGTCAATGAAATTCTTTTTTTGGTATGAAATTTTTTTTTCTTGGCTCTCGTCATTTGTTTTTTCTTTCTTTCTTTTCATGAAATTATTGTTATTATAATTATTATTGCATATACAGAATATTCTGTGTGGATTCTGTGTGTACATACACAGCAGAAACAAAACAGCCTAAACATTCCTTTCTGCGTGTGTGTGTGTGTGTGTGTGTGTGTGTGTGTTGTCAAAGAATTAAATGAAGCCAAAGATGCATCCGGTAGAAAAAAAAACATTAATTGAAAAGACAGAAATTTTAGTGTTAAACCCGTATATAAAATTTTTTTTTTTTGTTGAAAGCAAAATGAATTTAAATTTTGAAAAATTTTAAAATTTTAATTTCAAAAAAATCAAATCAAAAGAATTTACCCACATAATTCAAATTATTCATAAATGAACATGGCCATAATCATTATCATCATCATCATCATTATCGTTTGTCGATAATAATAGATAACATTTTTCATTTAAATTTTTGGAAATTTTCTTCAATTGTTTACGGGAATTTTTTCGTGATATTTTACAAATATAACCAATTAGAAATATGATGATGATGATCATGAATAACATGATGATGATGAGCAATAAAAATTGTTCATCAATTGATTTCCATCCACGATTCATTTGATGCCATAATTTTTCCGTACGATTTTCCAATCGATTCCAAATTGAATACAATCGATAGTTTTCAATCGATTCATCGTTTGTTGTTGAACAATTTAAATTCAATTTCGTTATCGTTGTTGTGGTTGTTGTTGTTGTTTGTATTTCATCAGTTTTGTTGTTGTCCATGATGTTTATTATTGTATGATTGCAATTTGAAAAAATCTTTGTACAAAACCAATGCCACGATTCATCCATGATCATGTTGATGGTCAATCGGTTAGTTTGAATTCTGCAAAAACAAACATGAAATTTCTCCTGGTCATTCCAGTCATTTTATATATAAATACAAATCTCTGATTGTGAAACCATAGAAACCAGAGTCCGATTGATTTTTTTTCTAAAATTCATTGATACGGGCTTTTATTTTAATTTTTTGTTTTCCAGTAAAATTTTACTGCATATCACAAAGAATTTGGAACTTTTCCAAAAAAAAAAAACGAAACAAAACAAAACATGAATGAAAATCATCATCATCATCGTGAAAGTCATCAAAATCTTTGTTTTTCATTTTTATCATTATTTTTAGAGGATAAATAGACATAAAGCCGATGATGATGATGAGCCCTTCAAATCTAATTCATACTATAGTGACGACGATAGTAAAAAAAAAAAAAAATTCTGACACGAATTGTTTGCCAAATCAAAGCCAACTTTCTTTCATCAACGACACATCGACGTCTTGTTGTTTGTTTGTTGTTATCGTCAAAGTTAGTGTGTGTGTGTATATATGTATGTCTAGACAGTGATTCACAAATTTTATTTCCTTATTTCCATTATTATTCAATAAATAAATAAAACAGGTTGTTTGGGAAACACTTGATCAATGTTAATGATGTTGATGATGATGAATAAGAATAAGAATGAAAATGGGGAAATTTTATTTTTAGAATTCTAACGATTCTTGATGGGATCCACCCAACAACAACAATGATGATGATGATGATACAATGATGATGTTTGCTATTAGAATTTAAATTAAAAAAAAAATTCTTTCAAATATTTGGGAAATGAAACCAACCAAATTTCTACCATTTAAAGGTGTAACATATATACAATTTTTTTTTGCATCACAAACAAGTGAAAGAATGAATATTTAGAATATTTGACGCCCTTTATTCACGACAGCATCAGCATCAGCATAAGCGGCAGCAACAACATTCAAATATCCTTGACTTGATGGCCAAAACATTTATGTTTGTGTGTGTGGCATGGATCAAAGAATCGGCAGAATCTTGTCAAGCAGCAGCAACAGTAACAACAACAACAACAACAGTAAAAACAATCAGTAGCAGTATGTAAAAAGAATCAATTCTGTTGGCCAAATTTCTTTTCATACACACACACACACACATCTATTGCTATATTAGAGTAAAAAACAGAAAAAATTGAAATCACCAGTTGAACATTATGACGCCCGTTTTTTTTTGTTTGTTTGATTGAAGAAGAAGAATTTTTTTTCCCCCACTAGCTCGAATATAAAAAGCCAAATCAAATCTAATCACATTTTCAACGTCTATTTATACCTTATATATAAATACATTTTCCATTTTGTTTTTGCATTCATTTTGATTTTGATATTCTTTAGTCGTCATCGTCGTCATCATCGTCGTTGTTGTTGTTGTTGTTTAGTGTTTGTGTATTTGTGAATAAAATTTTCTTTGTAAGTTTTTTTTTTCCTGTTTGTTTGATTGTTTGATTGTGATGGCCAGTAAAATCTTCAAATTTTCATCTTTTTTTTTTTGATTTTTCGTTTCATTGTATTGCAGTTTGCCGGGTGAAATCAAATCAAATCAAATCAATTCATCATGTCTAACATTTGTTTACGTTGTAATAAACCAGTATATGCTGCCGAAGAATTATTGGCCGGTGGTAATAAATGGCATAAAGTTTGTTTCAAATGTAATCTATGCGGTAAACGTTTGGATTCGACCAACGTGAATGCCCATGATAATGCATTGTGGTGCAAACAATGTTATGGCCGTAAATTTGGACCTAAAGGTGAAAATTTAATTGAATTTTTTATGTATTCAAATTTTCAAATCATTTTTCTTTCCAATTCTTCATTCATTTTTTATTCAATGGCCACAGGCTATGGATTCGGTGGTGGTAAGTAAAAAAAATAAATGTCCAAAAACAAGACAAAAATTCTAAAAAAAAAAAAAAATTCACTTTCCATTTCCAGGTGCTGGTGCATTATCGATGGATGTCGGTGAACATCTTGGCAATCGAGAATCACAAATGACAAACAAACCATCCGGTGTTAATACATAAGATGATTCATCATATATATTGAATAAGATGTCTATTTGAATTATTATTATTATCTTACATTAAATTTGCAAAAAAAAAAAAAAAAAAAAATCAAAACAAACAAACAAATCCACCTATTCACATTATATATGAGCGACAAAATGAAATAAATTAATAAAAATCTTTAAAATCAAATTATTATTACATACATCATTTATCTTATCTCTTATCTTAATGTCTTAATTATCGTGTGTTTTATTTTATTTTTTTTTTTTTTTAATTCAACGAAAATTCATGGATTTTTTTTTAGTCGCTCCATACGAATACAGATGGCGTTAGTTCAGGATTGATTTATATATGTAAAAAAATTTTCGAACAACCAAAAAAAAACATTCCATATTTGTCAGTGTTTTTTCGAATGTTTCGAATCATTTGATTTTTTTTTTTTGGGTTGATATTTTTTTTTTTTTGATCCTTTTGTGTGTTGTTCGCCAATGTGAATACACTGAAATTTATTCATCCATGAGATATGAAAATATATCAATGCCAGATGGTTTGTGTGATGTTTTATGAACGATGAAATGTTGCCAAAAAAAAAAATATTCTTCTGTTGTTTTCAATGATAAAATGAAATTCTATGTGAATCATCATCAACATCATTAACGCTTGAAATGATCAACGAATTTATGTATGTGTTTGTGTGTGTGTGTGTTTTGTGTCTAAAATTAGAATCAAATGAAATGATGGATACACAAACCAATGGAATTTTTTTTTTGCAGAAAAATTTCAATTTTTGTGTTTTTTTCCATTGTCTCTCTCTCTCTCACTCACTCACTCTACATTTACTTATAACAAAAATTTTCCCCGGAAACTGAAATCATAATCATCCAAATTCGGTAAGTAGATTTTCGTTTGTTTTCAATTTTTTTTTTTTTTTGATTCGAATATTTGTTTGGTTACTTCGAGTTAATATAGATGGCGTTAGTGTGTAGTAAAAAATTTGAAAATTTGAAAATTTCAAAAAAATGAAAAAATTTTATTTTTAAAACATTTTTTTTGACAAAATGACAACAACAACAACGATAATAGTAACTATTAGCTGATTTGATGATTTGATATCAAGCGAGTAGAATTCATTTTTTTGGCATTTTTGTTTTCATTTTTAAAAATAGGCTATGCATTGAATTTGTTCGTAATATGAAAACAGAATTATCATGTCGATTGACGATTGATTGCTCGATGATTGAGTTGATTAGTTTAATTATTAATACCCAATGGTTTATTGGTTACTTCACATTCTTTATTACCCAAATGTTCACCAATGTCCATACCTAATGCTCCACTGCCTATTCCAAATCCGACACCTGTAAAAAGGAAAAAAAATGAAAATTTAAAAAATAAAAATTCAAAAAAATTTCCCACCTTTAGGACCAAATTTTCGTGCATAACATTGTTTACACCATAATGCATCATCATGTGCATTTGCATTCATTGAATCCAAACGTTTATTACAAAGATTACATTTGAAACAAGTTTTATGCCATTTAAGACCACCGGCTAACATTTCTTCAGCATGATACACTGGACGTGTACATTTCATACAGATTGCTGATGACATGATTGTTTTTTTTTCAAAAATCTTTTGCTCTGCTTTACTGGTTGATGTTTGATGAATCAACAAAAATCAATGAATTTTTGTTCTATTCACTACACACAGGTTTTTATACCCTGAATTTTTTGTATTTTTTTTCAAACTTCAAGATTTCTTCATTCATTTTGGGGCAATCGTAATACTTTTACTTTTTATTTTCAGTCAAAAAAAATAAAAATTTGAAATGAAATACGTAAACAAAACAAAAACGCAACGGATCGTTGCCAAAAAATAAAATCGATAAATGTGTGTGTATTGCGTTTATTTTTTTTAGACATCTTTGTACATTTGTGTATTAAATTGAAGAATTCCAAATTTTTTTTCCAAACATTTAAACGATCGAATATCGTTCAACAACCTTAACCTTTATATTGAAAATTTTGCCAATTTTTCGTCTTCGTCGTCGTTGCATAGATTGTTGCAGCAGAAAAAAAATTGTTCAAAATTAATCATCATCATCATCATCATCATCAAGAACAACATTTCAACCAGACACACATCAGTAACGAGCCATGAAAACAAAAAATCTTTGATTTGATTGTTTTTCTGCATTTTTTTCGCCAGATTTTCAAAAAAAAAAAAAAAAATCATCAAATCTAAAATCTTTGAATTAGTTATGTATTTTTTTTTTTTTTTGAAAAAAAAATTCAATGATGATGATGACGTCTGTTGATAAATTGTGTTTGTGTGTGTGTGTGTGCGTGGGCGTCTTTTAGCCTGCCACCAATCATTCTCTATATATATAAATATTAGTTTCATTCAGAATTGAATTCTTTTCTTATGGTTTTTGTTATTGTTGGCTTTAAATTGAAAAAAAATTGTCCAAAAGGCAGAAAAAATAAACTGAAAGAAAGAATGATGATGATGATGTTTGTTTGTTTGTTTTTTTTCTATCTAAAGTAGTAGTCAACAGAAATGAAGAAGAAGAGGGTTTTTTCTGTATATGAGAAAAAAAAACAAGAAAAAATGTTACCATTGAATGTGCGTGGGTGGAATGTTTTTTTTTCTCCATTTTTTTTCCTACTGTGTCATCATTGTATGTAGTATAGATGTTGTTGTTGTTGGTGAATGATAGATAGAAAAAAAATTAGGCCACCAATGACGCCATTATAATCTCTCTCTCTCTCCTCGTCCTTTCTCCTTGAGGTTCATGGTTGCGTTATTTTTTTTTTTTCTTTAGTTTTTGCGCGCGTTTTGTTTTTGTTTTTTCGCGCTGAATTTTTTTTCTCCTTTTCTTGTGGAAAATTGTAAAAAATTTCTTTTTTTCCTACTGATTGATTGATTAATGATATTTTGAGCACTATTTATTCTGTACAAAGTATTCTGAATTTTTTTCATTTCAAAAAAACTGAAAATCATTTATTCATGTAAAACAGGAAGAACAATGTTTTTTGTTTGAATTAAATAAAACCAAAAATGACAAAACTAATCAGCGAAAAACCCAAAAGCATAAAACTTCCGCATTTCAATCGCACCGAAAAAAATCCAAGAATAGAGAAAGAGAGAATAAATATATTCCAAAATCAAGAATATAGATAGAAAAATTTACGCTCATTCAGTCAATAGTGTGTGTGTGTTTTTCGCGGAATTTGTCGAAAAAAAGCGCAAAATCCAACACAATAAATTCATTAGTGAGAAAAAAATATGGTTCCATTATATATATACATGTTGTTTGGTGTGTGTGTATGTTTTTATCCAAGTTCAACGAACTATCATGCACTTTTATAATCAATTCTTTCTTTCTCGCTTTTTTTCTGACATTTCTTTGTCTATTTGTGTGTTGAATGAACCAAAAAAAAACTGAAACTGACAACAATAGCCAATTCAATTGAATTTAAAGTAAAAATTGTTTTTTGTTTTCAAAAAATCTATCCAGGAAGAAAAAATAACATAGAAATTCAGAATAAAGAAGGGAAAAAAAATTTTTCACCCTTTAATTTTTTGGTTGTTCAAAACAAAAATGCGTTTCCATTGATGGATCATAATAAATAAACTTGCGCGCGCGTTTTTTTTTCGTTGATAATTCAATGATAAACCAAAATAAATGTTTGACGACGATGACTACAATGATTGTGGAAAAAAAAGATCAGGGCAAGTTGACGTCACCCACACACACGCAAATAGTGAGAAGCAGAATACGAAAAAGTTACAAACCTAGTTAAGAATATTCTTTCTCTCTGTGTGTGTGTATTGGTTGTGGTGGTGTGGTGTGGTGTGGTGGTTTCAATTGATCCACTAAACATACATACACACACACACACAGAATATTCTTGTATTTTGAATATATAAAAAAAACACTTTTTTTCAATGATAACATCGTCATCATCAAAACAACAACAGAAACCAGAAAAAAAAGAGAACACTACCAATCATTGAACCAAAAAACAGATACCAGTAACAAAGAATGACATCAAAGAAAAAATTGACCTAGAATAACAATTTTTGTTAGTCTGCTGTATGGTCTATTTTTGGGTATACGTGATGTGTGTGTGTGTTTTTTTTATTTTTGGTGATGATTATTATTATTATTATATGTGCCATATTTACAATGAATGAAGCAGCAGTTTGTTTTGCTAGGATCCTAATTTTTTTTTTATTTTTGGTTACTGAAATAATTCTCTGAATGAATGAATAGTCATGTGTATGTTCGCCAATGGTATGTGTGTGTGTGTTTGTTACCTGATGATGATGATGATCTATGTATCCACCAAATAGTTTAGAATGGCCCCGAAACAAAACAAAAAATGTTGCGTTGGTGGATGTGTGAGTGTGTGTGTTTCAAAAATTCTATTCATTCATATTATTCTATGATGACGTAATGGACAAAGCAAGGTTTTTTTTCATTCTGGTTTTTGTACGTTTTTTAGGTTGTCGTTGTTGTTGTCGTAGTCGTCATTTGTGTTACGTAAGCATAGCCTTCATTCAACAACAACGACGACGATTCTGTGTTCATGATTCTATGTTGAAACATCTCTCAATTTCATTGAATTTCATTGAAAAAAAAAATAAAATAAAAATAATGAAATGACCTTCATCCAGGCTATTAATGGAACATTTTTTTTTTTTTTCTGTTTTTGTATCCATTTGATTCACAAGAAGTGAAAAAATTGCACTTAATACGAAATTAAATTTATCAAATGGATAATCGATATATTCTGATGATGGTTATTGTTGAATTATGCAAGAAAAAAAATTAGAAAAAATATTTGCCATTTTAAAAACATATTTTGCATGATTATTGCAAAATTCGGAATAAATTCAGCTCTCTAATTACGAACATTTGCGTTGAATAAGAATAAGAAGAATGTTCGCAAGTCAAATTTCTTCCCTTAAAATACCGGTTATTATGGTATTGAATAAACTTTAAGTTAATTGTGGAAAAAAGCGAAAAAATGCCATAAATCATGCAAATGAAATGAATCGTTTGATCCAAGAAAAATTTTGCATTTTTTCTTAAGATTTCTGTCTCAGTTTTTTTGGACAATGAATGTTGTTTGAATTTCATTCGGTTTCTTGGTTTTGAATTGAACAAATCAAGTGTTTTTGACCAAAAAAATGCTGTTTTATTTTCGTCATTTTATCTACAAAGCAATGAAACATATTGTCGAACAACATGGAACATCAAGATTTCGGCTATTACATAATACAGAAGTAATCCTTTATCTTTATGGTTTGATACGATTATTAATCATTGGTTTAATGTTCTTCGATTCGAAAACATTCCCATTATATGAATATGATTATGGTTCAAAATATTTCTGGAATCATCGAAAAATTCTTAATAAATTCTTTTTGATAATTTTAATATTAATATTCATTGCCGGATTACATGGCATCAAAACATTTTTCTACACACACGTTGATACACTTAGCTTTCAAATGCAGTATGATTGTATCGTATATAATACGGATCAATATTATAAAAGTCGAGATACGGATGAAAATATTGCAATGAAATTGTCCCAACGTTTCGAGGATTATCAGCAACAATTTGTTCGTAATCATCGCTTATTATCGAAAATAATTCCACGATTCTTGGTGAATCATTTGTTTAGAATTCGTGTTTGGATCGATTCATGGTTGCAATTGGATCGTGTCGATAGGAATTTGTTTGAAAATCAAAACAAAATGCGTTTGTTTCCCAATGCAAATATCAAAAGTCGAAAACACGTTTTGTTATTCGTATTGATTATTGATTGTTTCAATTTTATTGGACACATCTTTGTTGGTAAGTGAGGTTATATTTATTTATTCTAATTCTAACTAAATTTAATTCTTATAAAGCAATTAGTGTTTTGATTGGCATGTTTTTCATTGTCCCTGAACTGGCTACAACTGACATAGTTAGAAATTCATTGATTATGAAATTTTATCTTTTCATCGAATCAATTATATTCCTAGTTGATGCGTTACTACTGTTTCAATGCATAATGCTTCTATTCTGTTCGGTATCGGCACCATTTCAGGTGTTTCATAATACATTAAAACATCTAAATCAAAAATTCTATGCAATTTCTGAAAACTCACGTATTGGAAAACCGATTGGTGCAAATGAATTGAAGGAATTACAATTCATCTATCGACAACATAATATTCTATGTTACTATGAAATATTCACTGATAAAGATGTCTGGAGCCAGGCGCTTTACTATTATGCATTGGTTAGCATTCCAATTAATGTGACATTTATGTGTGAATTGATCTTGGAAGATTTACCGAAGAAAACACGATTTTTATTCTTAGGGCTTACAGCTTTGCATGTTCTCGCTGGTTTTATTCCGTTCATAGACGATCGAGCTTTGCTTTAGCATTATGTTACCAGTGCTTTCCATTCAAAGATTATGACCTGTGCAGGTAGTGCAATTGAATCTCTATGAACGTGGTTTTATTCCGTTCATAGCTTTAGCACATGTTACCAGTGCTTTCCATAAAATCAAAGATTATATACCAGCTGTGCAGGTACAATTGAATCGTTTGACACATCTTCGAATGAAATTGAAATATGATGATCTCTATGAACGTTTAACTCATGGTAAAAAAATTGCCTATACATTTGGCTATCTAGGCGATCTGACGTATCGCGGGTTATTCGAAGCATTTCTTGGATATATTGCCGCTTTCTTTCTGATCATCAGATTCTATATGAATGGAAATCAAACAAGTTAAATGTGTGTTACGTTTAAAATGATGAAAAAACTCATTGATTAAGTATCGATTCAATTTATTGATGATGAAAATCAGTTGATCGATAGAATGTTTCCAATTTAAATGAATCATTATGCATTAAAACTATTTTATTTCAAAAATATTAATGATTCGCAATGGCTTTCCACATACATTAATAATAATGATGAGTTTATTGTGAAAGTTATTCTTTTATTTTTAACAATTCATGCAAATGATAAAAAGTTGGTTTTTTGAATCTAACAAATGATACTGATAAAGTGGAAAAATGGCAGTAAATCATGCAAATTTTATTTCGTCAAAAAAGCAAAATAGAGAAAAAATGCATAAAACCAAACAATAAATCAGTCACCAAAAAAAGTTTTGAATTATTCAAATGAAATAAATTCATGATAAGCAGTCTTCATTTTCAAATTCCGATTTCTATTGTGAAAATGTTTCATTTTTTTTTCTTAAGACTTCTTTTTCAGTTTTTTTTTGGCCATTGATTGTTGTTTGAATTTCATTCGATTTCTTTGTTTCAAATTGAACAATCCATGGTGTTTTTGACCAAAAATGCTGTTTCAATTTCGTCATTTCATCTACCATGCAATGAAACATATTGTCGAACAACATGGAACAACAAGATTTCGGCTATTACATAATACGGAAGTAATCCTTTATCTTTATTGGTTGATACGAGTATTATTCATTTCATTAATCTATCTGGATTTTGAACAATTTCCATTATATAAATATGATTATGTTTCATTATATTTCTGGAATCATCGAAACATTCTTAATAAATTCTTTTTGATAATTCTAATATTATTAATCTTGGTCGGATTACATGGGTATCAAAACATTTTTCTATACCCACGTTGATACACTTAGCTTTCAAGTACTGTATGATTGTATCGTATATAATACGGATCAATATTATAAAAGCCGAGATACGGATGAAAATATTGCAAAGAAATTGTCCAAACGTTACGAGAATTATCAGCAACAATTTGCTCGTAATCATCGTTTATTATCGAAAATAATTCCACGATTCTTGGTGAATCATTTGTTTAGAATTCGTGTTTGGATCGATTCATGGTTGCAATTGGATCGTGTCGATAGGAATTTGTTTGAAAATCAAAACAAAATGCGTTTGTTTCCCAATGCAAATATCAAAAGTCGAACGTATGTTTTGTTATTTGTATTGATTATTGATTGTTTCAATTTTATTGAACACATCATTGTTGGTAAGTGAGGCTATATTTATCAATTAAATTTCATCATTCTAACCAAATATAATCTTTGTAAAGCAATTAGTGTTTTAATTGGCATGTTTTTCATTGTCCCTGAACTGGCTACAACTGACATAGTTAGAAATTCATTGATTATGAAATTTTGTCTTTTCATCGAATTAATTTTATTCCTAGTTAATGTGTTACAAATGTTTCAATGCGCAATGCTTCTATCCTGTTCGGTATCGGCACCATATCAGGTGTTTCATAATACATTGAAACATCTAAATCAAAAATTCTATGCAATTTCTGAAAATTCACGTAATGGAAAACCGATTGGTGCAAATGAATTGATGGAACTACGATTCATCTATCGACAACATAATATTCTATGTTATTATGAAATATTCACCGATAAAGATGCCTGGAGCCAGGCGCTTTACTATTATGCATTGGTTAGCATTCCAATTAATGTGACATTGATGTGTATACTAATTGTTGAAGATTTACCGCTGCAAGCACGATTTTTATTCTTAGCGGTTACAGCTGTGCATGGTCTCACTGGTCTCATTCCATTTATGACCTTAGCTGATGTATCCAGTGCTTGTCATAAAATCAAAGATTATATACCAGCAATGCAAATACAATTGAATTGTTTGATACATCTTAGAATGAAATTGAAATATGATGATCTCTATGAACGTTTGATGTTTGGTAAGAAAATTGCCTTTACATTTGGCTATCTTGGCGATCTGACGTATCGGGGGTTATTCGAAGCATTTCTTGGCTATATCGCCGCTTTCTTTCTCATCATGGGTTTCTATATGCGAGAACATTCAACATGAATAATTATGATTTGATCAAATGATGATGATAATGATGATTCCGTATAATTCTATTAGTTTAACCTTTAATTTTGAATCATTTGTTATTTCCATTTAACATTCGTCTTTATATGTGTATGTGTGCACTGTTGAACAAATTAATTAAAATGACAAAAAATTTAAAACAAAACAAAAAAAATTCCTCAAAATTTCCTCTCAATCTATTGTTTTTTGCTATTATTTGACATTTTTTTCTGTGCGCGCATGCGTGTTGCGAAAAAAAATAAAAAAAAAATTTGATCCAAAAAAGGTCATCAATAATAATTATCGATTGATTCGATTTATCGATGAAAAACATTTAATCAATAAATTGATTCCAAATGTGACTATATATTTCATTATATTTATAGAGAATAATTTTTGAAATTCAGCAATTTTCTCGGCTCCAAGTTGATCGATTGGGCGCAATTTGTTTTTTTTTTTTTTTTTGAAATAAAGTCATTTTTGAATTGATGATAAAATTGACAATAATGAAGTAATGAAGTTTGCAATAAATATATCTTAATGAGTAGAGGTGATTTTTTTCTGCCATGTTATCTTAGCAAGAACGGAAAAAAATTCCTCATTCGTTCGCCGGATTCAGATGTAGAAAAACCTGTTTCCTGAATGTGAAAATGTTGTTCAAAATCAAAACATTTCTCTACGATGCAATGAAACATATTGTTGAAGAAAATGGCACCGTACGATATCGTCTATTACATATTGTTGATGTTTCGCTTTATGTTTATTGGTTGATACGAATTTTGTTCATCTCATTAATCTTTATTAATCCAGAACTATTTCCATTATATCGATATGATTATGCATCATTGTATTTCTGGAATCATCGAAACATTCTTAATAAATTTTTTGCTTTGATTCTCATATTATTCGTATTTACTGGATTACTTGGTATGCAAACATTTTTCTTCAACAATGTCAATAAACATGGTTTTCAACTTATTTATGATTGTATTGTTCGTAATACTGATCAATATTATAAAAGCCGAGATACGGATGAAAATATTGCAATGAAATTGTCCCAACGTTTCGAGGATTATCAACAACAATTTGCTCGTAATCATCGTTTATTATCACAAATCACACCTATTGCTAATCGTATGGTTTCATTCAAAGTTTGGCGTGATTCATGGGTAGAAATGGATCGTATAGACAAAAATTTATTCGGAAAAATCAATAAAATGCGCTTGTTTCCTAATGCATCAATAAAAGGACGTAATTATATATTATTATTCGTATTGATTATGGATTTCTGCAATTATTGTTTGCACATTTTCATCCGTAAGTTTCATTTTGTTTTGTTCATCTTATACCAATACCCCATAACAAAATGTTTGTTTTTTCTTTCACCTTTTTTCCATCCTTTTACAAAATTTTATTTAAAAAAAGTGTTGGTTCTTTTAATTGGCGCATTCATAGTTATTTATTTTCAAATTTCACAATTCGATATTGTACAAAATTCATTTGTATTGAAATTATCTTTAATGATTGAATTAATATTATTCATACATAATACATTTGTAATGCTTCAATGTGCAATGCTACTATCCGGTGTAATATTGGCAACATATCATGCATTTCACAATCAATTGGCTAATATGAATCAAAATTTTATGAAAATTTTAAAAAATTCACAAAATGGAAAACCAATCAATATGACAGTGTTGAAAGAACTGCGATTCATCCATATTGAACATAATACATTGTCATATTATGTATTACATGGTGATAAAACTACATGGAGTCAGGCGCTTTACTATTATGCATTGGTTAGCATACCGATTAATGTATTATTTATGTGTGAATTAATCGTTGAAGATATACCGGCGCAAACAGAATTTGTATTCATATTGATTGCATTGATACATGTCATTACTGGTCTTATTCCGTTTATAACTTTAGCACATGTTTCCAGTGCTTTTCATAAAATCAAAGATTATATACCAGCTATGCAGCTACAATTGAATCGTTCGACACATATTCGAATGAAATTGAAATATGATGATCTCTATGAGCGTTTGATGTCTGGTAAAAAAATTGCTTTTACATTCGGCTACCTCGGTAATCTGACATTTCGGGGGTTATTCGAAGCATTTCTTGGCTATATTGCCGCTTTCTTTCTTATCATGGGTTTCTATATACGAGAACATTCAACATGAATAATTATGATTTGATCAAATGATGATGATTCTCTATAATTCTATTGCGTTTAACCTTTAATTATGAATCCTTTTATCGTTGCTTTCTTTCTGATCATGAGATTCTGCATTTAATTTGTTTCCATATTCATATAATGTAATAAAATGACAATTTGAAAAAATAAAAAAAATGAGAAATTTTCTCTTGAATTTCTTATCAAGTATCGATTCATTTTCTCAATATTGATCAGTAAAAAAAACAATTCATTTAAATGATTGATGGGCCAATAAAAATAAAAAGTTTTTCTTCCAATCAATCAATCATTTATTAGTCATAATATATTGGAAGAATTCTACGAAAATTTACTAACCAACTAATTGTAGTTTGGTTTTAAAAGTATTGGAAAAAAAATATTTTGTCATCCCGATGACAATTAACAATTAACTTTTTTTTTTTTGACAAAAAACACCAACATTTAAGAGGAAAATAAAAATGAAAATTTGTTTTTGAAAAATGTCTAAAATTCATGCAAATTTCCAATTATAATCTGTAATGAGCCAAAATTCGTACTAAACGATAAGTTTTTTTTTCAATACGATAACCATAATTTTATTCAACATTTGTTTTTTCCATTTCAAACTTTCAACAACAATAACGAAAACAATAAACGTAAAGATGTTGTTTTATTTTCGTCATTTCATCTATAATGCAATGAAACATATTGTTGATGAATATGGAACTATCGAATATCGTCGATTGCATTATGCCGATCTCATACTTTATCTTTATTGGCTGATACGAGCATTATTCGTTTTATTAATGTTTCTGAATCCAGAAACATTTCCATTATATCGTTATGATTATGTTTCATTATATTTCTGGGATCATCGTAGAATTCTGAATAAATTCTTCGTCATTATAGTTTTATTATTAATAATGATCGGTTTGCTTTGTATTAAAACATTTTATTTTCCAAAACAACAAAATGAATTCCGGTTTCAAGTTATATATGATTGTATCGTTCATAATACTGATCAATATTATAAAAGTCTTGATAGCGATGATAATGTTGCCATCAAAATATCCAGACGTCTGAATAATTATCAACAACAATTTGCTCGTGACCATCGTTTATTATCACAAATCACACCTATTGCTAAACGTATGGTTTCATTCAAAGTTTGGCGTGATTCATGGCTTGAAATGGATCGTGTTGATAGAATTTTATTCAAAAAATCAATAAAATGAAGCTATTTCCTTATGCAACTTTCAAAGGACGTTCTTATATAGTGTTGTTCATCTTGTTTGTCGATCGTGTTAATTATATTGGACATTTATTATATAGTAAGTTTTTTTGTCATAGGCATTCAACAAGTTGTTAACGAAAAATTTTTCTTTCCACATAAAATTCAATTCTCTCCTAATATCAAGTTTTCATAATTTCAATTGCTGCTCCTATAGTTGTTTATCAACTGTTCTCTTATGAATTGGTCCAGAATTCATTGGTGATGAAAATTGGTCTAATAATTGAAACGACAATTTTCATTTATAATGCATTTCTATTAATCCAATCAGCAATGCTTCTCGCTTGTTCAATAATGTCAACATATCAAGCATTTCAGAGTGGATTATCATATCTGAATCAAATGTTTGTTTCAATATTGGATAAATCACGTCACCATAATGGAAAACCAATCAACAGGAAAGATGTGCTGAATCTTGGTTTCATTTATCGACAACATAATATATTATCTTATTATATTTTACATGATGATAAAAATACCTGGAGTCAATCATTATACTATTATGCATTGATTAGCATACCAATCAATATAACATTGTTGTGTGAATTAATCGTGGAAGATATACCGGCACAAACGGAATTTGTATTCATTGTAATTGCTGTTATACATGCTATTACCGGTGTTATTCCATTTATGGCCCTGGCACATGTATCCAGATCATTTCATAAAATCCGTGATCATATCTTGCCTATGCAGCTACAATTAAAACGTAATTATTTACGAACAAAATTGAAATATGATGATCTCTATGAACGTTTGATGCATGGTAAAAAAATTGCCTTTACATTTGGCTATCTCGGTAATCTGACGTATCGGGGATTATTCGAAGCATTCCTTGGCTATATTGCCGCTTTCTTTCTCATGATGGGTTTCTATATGAAAGAACATTCATCATGAATAATTATGATTTGATCAAATGATGATGATGATTCCGTATAATTCTATTACTTTTAACCTTTAATTTTGAATCATTTGTTATTTCCATATTACGTTCGTCTTTATGTGTGTGTGTAACTGTAACTGTAGAACAAATAAAATAAAATGACAATTTAAAAATTTTCTCTCAATCGATTGTTTTGTTGTTTTTTTTTTGCTATTATTTGATATGCACTTATTTTTTTTCACCCATTAAAACTTATCATCATTAATGGTGATTAATATATTTATATATCGCAATCTTTCAACTTTATTTTTCATATTACAAAACTAAAAACGTAATCATCATCATCATTATATGTGGTGAATATTATGATGGAAGAAAAGAAAATTTTGAAAAATTATCAAAAATCATGCAAATGTTCAAAAAAAAAAAAAAATTGCAAAAAAAAAAATAAATTGATCATTTCAATACTTAAATTATGGGGAATCATCTTTTCTTTTTTTTGTTTTGTTTTATTATCTCGCTGATATTTGATTACATTGTTGTCTTGAATTCAAATGATAGTGATGGGTAAAAAAAAATGTTGCTGCAAATTCGTCACTTTATCTACGATGCAATGAAACATATTGTCGAACAACATGGAACAGCAAGATATCGCCTATTACATAATGTGGAAGTTATCTTTTATCTTTATTGGTTAATACGAATATCAATCATTGGATTAATGTATCTGGATTCGGATCAATTTCCGTTGTATGAATATGATTATGCATCGGCATTTGTTTGGAAACATCGTAAAATTTGTAATAAATTCTTCATCATTATTGCAATACTTTTGATCATGACCGTATTGCTTGGTATTCGGACATTTTATTTTCATCATGTGGATACCATCAGTTTTCAAATTCCATACGATTGTATCGTATATAATACGGATCAATATTATAAAAGCCAAGATACGGATGAAAACATTGCAAAGAAATTGTCCCAACGTTTCGAGAATTATCAACAACAATTTGCTCGTAATCATCGTTTATTATCACAAATCATTCCTATTGCTAATCGCGTGGTTTCATTCAAAGTTTGGCGTGATTCATGGCTAGAAATGGATCGTGTAGATAGGAATTTGTTTGAGAATCAAAATAAAATGCATTTGTTTCCGTACGCATCATTCAAAGGTCGTACTTATATTCTGCGGTTTGTAATGATTGCTGATGCACTCAGTTATTTTTCGCATATCATCGGTGGTAAGTTTTTATTTTGTTTTTGTTTTCTATCAAGCATCAATCAATCTTTATGTTTTTCTCTCAGCAATGATTTTTATGTATGGCTTTTATTTATGGTTTCCAGAACTTTATTACTATGAAATGGTGCAGAATTCTTGGCTTCTGAAACTGTCACTAATAATCGAAGTAATTTTATTTGTACACAATGCATTTGTATCGATTCAATGTGCAATGCTACTATCATGGACAATGTTATCATCATATCAGGCATTTCATAGTGGATTAATTGATTTGAATCGAAATTTCATTTCCATTCTGAATGATTGCCGTTATAATGGAAAATCGATCGCTGTAAATGATATAAAGAAACTTTTTTTCATCTATCGACAACATAATAGACTGGCATATTATGTAATATTTCCAGATCAAGATGCATGGAGCCAGGCGCTTTGCTATTATGCATTGGTTAGCATACCAGTCAACGTGACATTGATGTGTATAATAATCGTTGAAGATTTACCTGGACAACTAGAATCAGTATATATATTGATTACATTAATACATGCAATCACTGGTCTTATTCCATTCTTGACCACAGCACAGGTTTCCAGTGCTTTTCATAAAATCAAAGATTATATACCCGCTATGCAAATCCAATTGAATCGTTCGACACATCTTCGAATGAAATTGAAATATGATGATCTCTATGAACGTTTGATGCATGGTAAAAAAATTGCTTTCACATTTGGCTATCTCGGTGATCTGACGTATCGTGGGTTATTCGAAGCGTTTCTTGGCTACTTTGTCGCTTTCTTTCTCATCATTGGTTTCTATATGAAAGAACATCAAGATCAAGCAAGAAATTAATTCGATTTCAATCTTAATTTTGCTTATTTCTTTGTGTTTTTATAAAAAAATTCTTAAAACCAAATAAAATCATAATAATCAATTAATTGTTATTTAATTTTTGTTTTTTTTGTACTTTGAAATTTTTTTTTCTTTTCCGAAAATATTTTCCATTTTAATTACGCACAATTTTTCGAAAATTTACACACACACACACAGTCATCATCCTTTTAATGATAACCAGTTGTTTATAGCTAAAAATAATTTATTTTTACCAAACTATTCATTAACAACAACAACAACAACTTCGTCATCATCAGCATTCAAAATCATTATTTTCATTCCAAAACAGCAAGAATATTGTTTCAATTAAAATAACAATTCAAAAGAAGAAAAAGAAGAAGAAATCGACATTTAATAATGTTGAAAAGAAACGAAAATTATTCATTTGAATTTGTCATTCATAAAGCGACTGATTAAACAATTTTTAAAAATGTTACCGAAAATCAAAACATTTCTCTACGATGCAATTAAACATATTGTTGAAGAAAATGGCACCATACGATATCGTCTATTACATAGTGTTGATTTTTCGCTTTATATTTATTGGTTAATACGAGCATTATTCATTTCATTAATCTTTATTGATCCAGAAAAATTTCCATTATATCGATATGATTATGCATCATTATATTTCTGGAATCATCGAAACATTCTTAATAAATTCTTTATGATCATTGGAATATTGCTTGTATTGATTGGATTACTTGGTATACGAACATTTTTCTTTAACCATGTGGATACACTAAGTTTTCAGATTTTTTATGATTGTATCGTATATAATATGGATCAATATTATAAAAGTCGAGATACGGATGAAAATATTGCAATGAAATTGTCACAACGTTTCGAGGATTATCAGCAACAATTTGCTCTTAATCATCGCTTATTATCGATAATTATTCCACGATTATTTAATCATTGGTTCAGAATTCGTGTTTGGATCGATTCATGGTTGCAATTGGATCGTGTAGATAGGAATTTGTTTGAAAATCGAAATAAAATGCGTTTGTTTCCCAATGCAAATCGTAAAAGTCGAACACATGTTTTGTTATTCGTATTGATTATTGATTTCTGCAATCATATTCTTCACATTTTTATTTGTAAGTATCATGTTTGTTTTGTTTGTATTTTAATTTTTCAATTTCTCCTCATATTCATTTTTTTGTATAAAGTGCTTCCGTCAAGTGCTCGTCAAGTGCTCATCACTTCAACTTTTGTTAAAATGAAGAATCATTTTGCGTCGGTTTCGCTAATCCCGAAGCTTTCCGCGAACTGGAATCTTTGGTATCGTTCAGTTGAGTTACGAAGTCTACTGCAGGTCACTAAAATTCTGGAAGTGCATTGTACAGGGACATTGGCTGATAATCCTGATGAACTAGCCGATTCCTGGTCACATAAACGCCAACATGGCCCTAACATTATCGAAGAAGATGGCAATTTATAATGAGTCATAAATAATCCTGAAGAACGTCGCATTTACTATGTGGGTAAATATGAAGGCTCAAGATCAGCTAGTATATCATTCTTAAAGGTGAATTTCATTACCATACAGTTTGATGATCAATTATCGTCATTATCGTCGGTGGTATTGTGATTATTCCACAATTTTTAAAATTTGAATTGGTAAAAAATTCTCCGATCATGAAATTCATCATAATGATCGAGGTGATATTGTTCACACATAATACAATTTTATTACTTCAATGTTCAATGTTACTATCCGGTACAATAATGGCTACATATTATGTATATCATAATGAATTGATTCATTTAAATCAAAATTTTATTATGATTTCGAAAAAAAATTCTCAACATTGTTGTCATGGTGATAGAAAAAAATCAATCACTATGAATGATTTGAAAAATCTTGGATCTATTTATAGGCAACATAATATATTATCGTATTATCAACTATACACTGATAAAGATGCATGGAGCAAGGCACTTTATTATTATGCATTGGTTAGCATACCGATCAATGTAACAACTGTATGTGAATTAATATTGGAAGATATGCCAACACAAACACAATTGGTATTCATTGTAATTACCATCATTCATGCATTTACTGGTTTAATTCCATTTATAAAATTGGCAATAGTATCCAGTGATTCACATCGAATCAAAAATCATATTCCGGCCATACAATTACAATTAAAATATCGTCATTATTTACGAATGAAATTAAAATATGATGATCTTTATGAACGATTGATGTTTGGCAGAAAAATTGCATTCACATTTGGCCACCTGGGCATTATTACATTTCGTGGTTTATTCGAAGCATTTCTTGCCTATTTCGTTGCATTCTTTTTGATAATGGGTCTTTATATGAAAGAAAATATTCATTCGAATCAATGAAAAAAATTTTAGATCACGGGTTTTCCAAAACAAAAACAAAAAAAAACAAATTTGTTTAATGTTTGTTTTTTGTTACGAATTTGCTGCAAACAAAGAAAAAAAAAAATGTCACTGATCTTTAGTATTGATCGATAAATGTATTAATTGATGATCATTTTTTGTCACCACCATTACCATGGCCACAATATATAAACAATAAATATTTGAATAAAGTCCAAAATAAGAAATTTGTTTATAACTTGAAAATTTATGAAAGAAACCAAAAAATGAAATTTGTGTTCAAATCGATCAAGCAAATTTTTTTTTCTGAAATCGATTTCTTCCACTAAAATTTTCGGAGAATTTTTTTTCAGTTATCATCAAACACTCGTTATACTCTTGGTACTTTTGGTTCTTTTCCAAACAATATTAATTCTCATCATCATCATGTTGTTTAAAATTCGTCATTTTTATTATAATGCAATCAAAAATATTGTCGAAAATCATAACTATCAATCGTATCGATTATATCGTTCACTAGATATTGGATTCTATTTGTATGGCATCATTAGATTGATGATAATCATCATGATGTATTTGGATTCAGAACGATTTCCATTATATCGTTATGATTATGTATGCAGATTTTTTTGGCATCATCAAAAAATTTGCAATCACTATTTCATCATTGTTTTATTATTTTCAGCATTACTTGGTCTACTTGGTATTCGTACATTTTATTTCGCTAATATCGATACATTAACATTTCCATTATTATATGATTGTATTGTTTACAATACTGATCAATATCATAATAATCAAGATACGGAAGAAAATATACGAAAAAAATATCAAACACGTTTAATACGTTATCGAAAACGATTCCGATTGAATCATCGTCATGATCATCATCATTCTGTATTAACGAAATGGTTGAAAAATTATTTGTTCGAAAAATTGTTAGCCATTCGTTTGTGGATCCAATCATGGCTCGAAATGGATAGAATGGATCATAGAAAATTTCAACAAAATCCAATGAAATTATTTCCATTGGTTACATTACGTACAAGAATACGTATGCTATTGACAACATTTATTATGGATCATATAAATTTCTTGCTCCATCTTTGTCTATGTAAGTTGTTGTTTTCATTCACGTTTCTCCATTATCAATTTTTTTTTTTTCTCTCTCTCTCTATTCAAGTTATTGGATATCCAATTGGATGGTTAATAATCTCGATGGAAGTATTCAGCTATGATATTGTACGTACATCTTTCATTATGACATTTGCACTCATCATTGAATCGATCACCTTGTTCATCATGATATTAATATTGATGCAAGGTGCATTATTACTTTCATCAACAGCGGCAATACCATACCAAATGTCTTTGGATACATTAACTAATTACAATGAAACATTAAACAAAATTAATCGATCAAGAATAATGATTGACCGAAAACAGTTGCAAAAACTTTGGTTCGTCTATAGGCAACATATTCAAATGACCTATTATATAATCTATGCCGATAAAGATGTTTGGAGCCATGCACTATATTATTATTCATTGTTTAGTATACCAATGAATGCTATGATTATTTGTGAAATTCTATTTGAATATTTACCATCATTGACACGAATTTTATTCATCGCCATCGCTATCGTACATGCTGCAACTGGTTCAATACCATTTTTGATGCTAGCAAATGTTACCGTTAATGTTCATGCGATCAAAAAATCAATACCATCTATTCAATTAAAATTGTCGATGAATCAATCTGGTAAACAACGGCAACAAAATTTACGTTTAAAGATAAAACTGGATGATCTTTATGAACGATTGACGATGGGCAAGAAATTATCCTATACATTCGGTTCATTAGGTGATGTAACATTTCGTGGTCTATTCGAAGCATTGCTTGTTTATGTTGGTGTTTTTTTCATGATTACCGGTTTTTATTTAAAATTATGAAAAAAACTGATCAAATCAAAATTTGCACATTTTTGAAATATATGTGTTTTATTATTGAAAAAAAAAATTTTTGCAAAACGCTTAAAACAAAAGTTAAATTTTCAAATTTATGAATTTGCTGCAAAAAAAATCATCATCATCATCATCAGGCGAGAAAAATACAAAACCAAAAATTTCAGGAAAAATTCCGGAAAAAAACCACCGTCATTCATTTATAATTTACATTGTAAATTTGTAGCAAATATGTGTGTGTGTGTGTGTGTGTGTGTATGTTTGTAAGTATCCTGATCAAAACATTTGATCAATCAATCGATTGTGTGTCTTTTGTGTTTGGTAAAGAAAGAGAAGCCAAAAAAGAAAAAAATTGTCATCATATATAGAAAAAGAAAAACAATCAAGATACAATAGTATCGTAAATGAAAAAATGAAATGAAAATTGGTTTCAAGATTAAGATATATATGTGGGAACAAACAACAACAATTCAAAAAGAGAGAGAGAGAGAGAGAAAGAGAAATTGAAAACATGGCAAAACGAAAGAGATTGGCATATGAGAGTGGAAAGAATGGAGAAAATTTTTTTTATAATAAATCACCTGAATGAATTAATGAATGAATGAATGAATAAATTGTTTGTTTGTGTGTAAATTGTAAATTTTGTATTTCATTGTTTTTTTTTTTCATTTATTTAAGCCAAAATGGTTGTGAATCACGATAAGGAGCACGTAGATGTGGTGGTACACCCACCTCTTCTGAACGTCTAATTGGTTTCTGTTTATATGGTGGAGGCAGTATGATTGCTGTTGTTACTGATGATGATGATGATGATGACGATGATGATGATGATGATGATGAAGGAGAGGATTTGATCTGATTTTGATGATGATTATTTGATGAATCCAATGATGATGAGGCTGTTGATAGACGATCCGATGATCCATCATTATTATTATTATTTGATATATTTGTCGTCAATCCACCACCGGTAACCATTAACATTAATGAATCAAAATCAATAAGAGAATTTTTATTATTCGATGATGAATTATTATCTTTATTATCTTTTGATTTATGATTCATATCATCGGCTATTGATGATGTTGTTGCTGCTGCAGCAGCAGCCGATAATAATAATGAACGACATGATTTACATTGGGCACTTGGAGAATAAACTTCTTTATAAATACGACAATTATAACATGGTGATGATGTACGTGAATTTGATCCACTTGTACCACCACCACTACTACCAGCACCATTTAATTGTGGTGCTAAAATAGTCGATACCGATAAACATTTATCAGCAGCCGAAGATGGATTAGCAATTTTGACCAATAAATTACGTGTCGATGCTGATGATGATCTTGACATTGCCGATGCTGATACCGATGAAAGACGACGAAAATTTTGACTTGTATAATATGCTGATGATGATGATGTTGAACCACCACCACCACCACCACCCATTGTATATGGTGACGATGTATATGTTGTTGTTGAATTACGACGTGCCATTGTTCGTGAACAAAATCGACTCATACGACGTTTTCTTGACATTCTTCTGGCTTGTTTCACAGAATTGGTTTTCCCACCACGCATTCCATCAAGCCATGCACCACCATTGCTACTATTTTGAATGGAATATCGAAAACTTTGACTTTTTTTATTCTGACTGATCGTTGAAGCTCCTTTTAATCCATTCACTAAATTCGGTACAGATGTTAGCGATTTATTATTCTGATGATGATGATTATTATTTGATCCTGAAATCGATAATGATGATGATTTCATTATCGATGAACTTAATATTGATTCTTCATCGGATTTAAGATCACGACCACCAATACGACCACCTTCAATAACTCTTGTATTATTTGTACCCATTGTGAATGAATCATGTTCATCACCGGATCCATAACAAAGATCGGTATTACAACCACCATTACCACCACCATTTGAGCCATCATTTTGTTGATCTTGATCTTTACAACAAATAGATGAACAAGCTTTATAACCAAGTAAACAAGCCAATAGAAATGCAATTTCCAATACAATTTCAAATATTTTTAAATCAATATTACTGGCAGCAATTGAATGATGATGATGATGATTTACTGAATTACCATTGCCACCAACACCGCCAACGGAAGAATGTCCAATAACACCGGATGATGATGATGATAAACCATTGATAAGATTATTACCATTTTGACCATAATAATGGCCACCATTTGGATAAGATTGTTGATCATATAGATTATTATGGCCATGATGATCACCTAATGATGGTGGTGGTGGTGGTTGCGCTAATCCAAATTGAAACAACGAATTTGAATGTATCCATTCACAACGACGAATATATTTATTCCAATGTTGTCCCAATGGACAACGACAACGTTTTGTTGTTAACATTTGTGTTAGATTAACATTCGATGATGTTGATGATGATGATGATGAATACGGTGTTGAAATAGTCGACGTTGATGTTGAATTTGTTGAATTATTGTTATTGTTTTTATTTTTATTTGCCACAATCAATTGTCTACAAATCATATTTGCTGAACATTGACGATCATCATCACAATGTTGGCCATAATAATGTGGACGAATCGATAAAATATTGGATGATGATGATGATGATGATATCGATGCAGACGATGATGATGAAGATGATTGAATGGAATGATGATGATGATGATTATGATTTTGTTCGTCGTTTGATGGTGGCCAATTATTATTATCGTATAATAAACATTTTGTTACATAAACCACATGTTGTAGATTGGCAGTATTATTATTATTACTGTTATTATTACTATTATTGGTCGGATTATTATTATGATGATTTGTCGTTTTAACATTCACTTTGATCTGTACACGCCTAAAACGTTTCATATCACGACAAACGCATTGATTTTGTCGAATATCACAACGTCCATTTGGATCATAAAATATTTTTGATGATGAATTTTTTCCAATACAATCAGAATCTTTTAAACAATGCATCGGTGGAAATGTTATCATTATGGGTGGATTTAATATTGATGGTGATGGTGATGATAATGGATTTGGTATGGAATTTATGATATCCGATGATGTGGATGATGATGATGATGATGATTCGTTCGATTTATCACTTATTGATGATATTGGTTTTGATTCAACATTGAACACCAATATGAATGGCAGCAGAAGCAGCAGTAGCAAACAATAATAGATTTCCATCATTCTTGATGATGATCCAAATCGATTCGAAAATGGTGACATTTTTGTGTTCTTTTTTGTTTGTTTGTTTGTAAATAAATCGAGATTTGTAAATTTGTAAAGATTTTCAAAAATTTAACAAACAGACGAGAAAACAAAACCAAAGTAAAATTTTTTTGTTGTTGTAAAGTTGTAAAATTTTATTCGAAAAAAATGGAATAATAACAAATCGGAATAAACAACAGCAGTCTGTAAAGTGGACTGTATGTTGTTTCCGTGTGTATGTATGTGTGTGTTTTACATCATTTATGATGAATAAATTTCATATAAATGAATTTTTGTTGTTGTTGTTGTTGTTCCATAAAAGGGCAATGACATTTTGGACCAATGATGTTTGATATTTTCAAGACATTTCTGGTTTTTCTTTCAAGTTTCGCGTTGTTAAAACCAAACATACACACACACACATTGGATCCAGAATTCGAAATGGCCAAAAATATTTATCGGTTGATGTCTATTTATATACCACCACCAACCAACCAACATCAACGACGACGACGACGACGATGAAAAAAAATATTTACACCAAATCCAGTTCTTACGACAAACGAGCGAGGTGATAACGTCGTCATCAAACCAAAAGTAATCTATATATAAATTCCGGGTTGATTGGTCACACCATCATCATCATCATCATCGTTAGATCAGCTAGGCCCATTCTTTCTAGGTTAAATAAAATGGAAAACAACGATGAAAAAAAAATTTATATAGAATCAATTCTCTACTACTTCTACTTACGCGTTCCGTTTGTGTGTGTGTGTATGGGGGTGGATGTTGATGATCCAGAATAGTTTTCGTCATAGAATAAATATAGATAGATTGTTTCATGGAATTGCGCTGAAAAAGATACTGAAATTCATTATTTTATTTCATTTTTGTTTGTTACTATTTTTAGTACATGTGTGTGGGAGTGGTGGAAAAGAGAAACAAACAAACAAACAAAAAAAAGAATTTGACTTGAGAAATGGATCACATACATCACGATTTGATAATAGATCAGCTGGTATTCGTAATTTTTCTCCGTATAACAATTCAGCGGATGATGCTTTTAAATCTTCTCTAACTATTGTTCGTAGACCAAGCATTATTAATGGTAGGACTTCTTCCCAATCCGCGGCGGAAGCTTTGATAGCTGTTTTCATTGTTCTATGAAACCGTTCGACCATTCCATTTGCTCTTGGATTATATGCGGAAGTTGAGATCAATTCGACGCCTAATAATTTTGCGAAATTTCGATACAATTCAGATTGAAATTGCGATCCCCGATCAGTAGTTACTTTTTCAGGAACACCATACCTTGATACCCATTCGTTTACGAATTTTTTTGCAACTGTTTCTGCAGATATATCTTGAATTGGCCATGCTTCAGCCCACCTAGAAAAGCGATCAATACATGTTAACAAATATCGGTTACCGGAATTTTTAGATACGGGTAAAGGACCAACTATGTCCATGTTGATGTGAACAAATCTGCCAGTGGGAATTTCAATTTGAACTGGTTTTGTAATTGTGTGTCGAATAATTTTAGATTGTTGACAATCGACGCATCTACGACAATAATCTTTTGTAATTTTCTTCATACTCTTCCAAAAATAACGATTTGTTACTTCATTGATTGTGCGATTTGCTGAATAATGACAAATGCCATGACATAATTTGATGATTTGTTCGTACAGTGATTTCGGAATTACCGGTCTTATTTTTTGTTCATCTACATGTACCAACAATAAACCGTGATTATATTTTTGTTTTCTTATCTTTTCAGGGAAATGGTTCAAATATTCATCCATTTCTTCTTTGTTCTTCACTTGTTCGTCAATAATTCTTTCAATGGATAATTCTTCAATGTTTGATGATGATGACGAATTTGATTCAATGTTCGATGATGATGATGATGGATTTGATTCAGTGTTCGATGATGATGATGATGGATTTGATTCAGTATTCGATGATGTTGACGGCGTATTTGATTCGATAATTGATGATGATGATGTTTGTATTTCGTCAACATTTACTCTGCTTAAAGCATCAGCTACAATATTTTTATGACCTTCGATATACCGAATATCTGATGTAAATTGTAATATGTACGCCATTTGACGCATTTGAACCAAAGATCGTTTCGTGTTATTTTTTGTTAACAATGCATTTACCAATGGACGATGATCAGTAAATGCTGTGAATGTTCTTGCTTCTAATAAATATTCAAAATGACGAATGGCTAGAAACAAAGCTAATAATTCTTTGTCGAATGTTGGTAAATTTAATTCATTTTCTTTTAACTTTTTACTGAAAAATCCAAGTGGTTTTACAGATCCACCAGAATTTTGTTCTAATACTGCTCCTACGCCATTTCCAGATGCATCAGCTTTCAATACTAATTTGGCTTTTGGATCAAAATATGCTAATTTGATTCTTTTTGACAATAATGATTTGACTTGTTCAAAATCAGCCATTCTTTCAGTTGACCATTCAAAATTCCCATCTACTTTCTCTAGATCATGAAGAGATGCCATAAATTTAGCTGCATTGGGAATGAATCTTCTATAGAAATTGACCATACCAAGAAATCTCTTCAAACTTTTGACCGATGATGGTACGGGATAGTTGATGATGGCATCTAGTTTTTCTTCCAATACGCTGATTCCATCTTTTGATATTTTATGGCCAAGAAATTTTACTTCGTTTTTGAAAAATGTTGATTTATCCATGTTGATTGTCAAACCAAATTCGGCTAATTTGTTGAACAATATATCAAGATGTGTTACGTGTTCGTTTTCATTTTTAGACGCTACTAATATGTCATCTTGATAGGCAAAAACAAAATCCAGATCTCTAAGAACGATATCAATGAACCGTTGAAATGTACTCGGAGCATTTCGTAGTCCAAATGGTAATCTGGTATATTCATATAAGCCGAATGGCGTTGTGATGGCTGTTTTATTTCGATCTGATTCTGCTAGTGGAATTTGATGAAAAGCTGATACCAAGTCGATTGTTGAAAAAATGATGCAATTGTTTAATTGTTGAGCAAAATCATGAATGTGGCGCATGGGATATCGATCAGGTTGAGTTATGGCATTCAATGCGCGGTAATCACCACAAACCCGGACTCTCCCGTTTGGTTTGGGAACAACTACGATACGACTAGCATATGGTGATGATGATGGTACGATGATTTTCTGTTCTAGCATGATGTTGATTTCATTTCGCACTTGCTGCATTCTGATGGGATCTAATCTGGTTGGAAGACAAGCAACTGGTTGATTGGTGGTTACGATGATATGATGTTTGATATCATGCTTGGCTTCATTCGATATGTTTGGATTAGTGATGTTCGGATATTTGCTGAGAATTTGTTTGATTCGGACATCGGCATTAGCAGACACAGCCGATATTCCATAGAATGATGATTGTTTTTGTTTAGCCACGATACTCTCACCTGTTTTGCCATCTATCAATTTTCTCTTGTTGAAATCAGCCAAAATGTTGAATTTGGACAAAAAATCCATTCCGATTAAGATGTATGGTGAATCAGCTACAATAAATTTGAATAAGAAATCATTTTTAAATCCAATGTTGATTTTGAATATATCGTTGCCATAGGTATTGATTGATGTACCATTATGCGCATACAATTTGATGTCATCATACTTCATACTTTGTTTACTATTTGTTGCTGCATATGGCCAAATTGATATTTGAGAACCACAATCGATTAAAATTGGTTGAGACGAAATATATTCTTTTATAAATAATCGATTTTCGTTGTTGTTGTTGATGGAAGAAACGGAACCACGTGCTAGCATGTGCTGATTCGGATGTTGATTCGGTATTTGTTGCTGATGATTGATGGTTTGAATGCTGCTGGTAGTGGCGGTGGTAGTGGTTGTTGATGATGATGGTGATTCACTAATGCTGTTTGTCGACCGATTTGATTGGCGTTTCTTAAACGTACATTTAGCTGGATTTGCGCATGACCGAGCTTTTTCGCGGTATTTGTAATGGTTGTAACACCACTTTCCATTCGAATCGAATCTTTGCTGATTTCTTTCACGGCTGAACGATCGATTTCTGCTACGGCTACGATTATTATATGATGATGATGAATATGGCCGTTTTTTCCGAATAGCGGACACATTATCAGATTTTTCTGGATGACGTTCGACTAGCAAATCGGTAGTATTAATCAATAGTTGTAAGCTTTCTTCTACAAGTGGATCATTGGCTGAGCTATCTAATCGTTTTTCAAGTTGGATCACTTGTTGTTCAATAGTTAATGAAATACCACTAGGAAGCCATTTCACCCAGTGAGCCAATAATTCAGGCTTTGTGTAGATGTCACCAGCAATTTGTACTGCCCAAAACCATGCTTCTGACGGTTTGAGACCATCAAGACTTTTTCTGTTTAGCAATCGTTCACGTCGCATTGTTTTCGATGGTTTGAAGCGCTCAATGAGACGATTTTTCTGGTGTATTTTTTTTTTTTCCGTTGTTGTTTGTCGAGTACATTTAGATGTTGATGAAAAAAAATATTGGCGACCAAGAATCCAGAATTTTTTTTTTTTTCTCTCTCTTTTTTGAACTGAACTTTAAACTTCCGCGTTTGCGTCCATTGGTGATTGATTCTGCATAATTTTTTTTTTGTTGGACGGAAAATGTACTGTACGATAATTTTTTTTTCTTTCGGTTTTGTTCCGGGTTTTTTTCCACTCTTCGTTTTGTTCTCTTCAACAATCAGGGTTCATTGATCGATGAATTTGGAACGATTGGATTCATGGAAATTCTGAAAAACATTTTTGTCAGTGGATGTGTACGGAAAATTTTCCAATCAATCAATGATAAATTGCGAAAATGTTCCAAAGATTAAAGTCTAAAGTAAGGAAAGAAAGAGAGAGAGAGAGAGCAAAACGAAACAGGAATTATTTTAAATTTAAGAATTTTCAAAATTATTACCAAAAAAAAAAAAAATTCAAAAAAAATTCATTCAAATTCATCACTCATTTTCCGGCTATTTTCACACAGCCATGGGTTAAATTAGCCATTGTTTTTGTTTTGCATTTTTTTTCGATTTGAATTGAACTGAATTGTTGAAGTAAATAAATATATCCAAACACACACACACACATTCGAGATTGATTGCATTTTGGTTCAAAATAGATTTGAATGCGTCGTTTTGGGTTGTCGATTGATTGTGTGCTTAATTACAATATATATTATCACCAATATCATAGATTGGAAAATAAATATGTCAACAATGAAAAATAAATGATGATGATGATAAATGATCCAATGAATCAACAACAACAACAGCGGCAATAGAAAAAAAAGTAAATTTTTTTGTTTTGTTTTGTATAAAATGATGACTAAACCAAGATGATGATGATGATAACGATGTTTTCTTTTCCCCATTATGATTTCCTTTATTTTATTTCTTATTTTTTTTTATTTGCAAATATTGCCAGTAAGCAGTATATATTTGTTTTAAATGAAAAGAAAAACAATTAGCTTGTTGTTGTTGTCGTTGTTATGGTTGTCACATGATCATCATCATCATCTTCATCATTATATATTTTTTTATGATCGTGTAAATTAAATTGGAAAATAGAAAATAAATAAAAAAAAAATTTCATTTTTGCACATCATGTCATCATCATCGTCATCAAGTTCAAATTCAACGAATAATAATCTTCCATCCACATCATCAACATTGATTGAACAACAACAACAACAACAGCAGCAGCAGCAAGAACCAGGATTAGGTTCGGATGCTGAAATATCATTGCCGATGACACCTGAACCACCGGATTCAACAACAAGGTTTTTTTCAATCATTCACTTTGTTGCCACAAAATTTGAATTAAACTTTTTTTTTCATTCATTAATTCCTAGAGAAAATGAAGAAGTGGTCGAAATAATTGAACCAATACCAGCATTTTTAGATTCAACATCACCAAATCGTCGTTATAGGCCACGTTCAATAAGTCATCTACCGTATAAAAGAAATAGTGAACGTCGTTTACAAAAATTTCGTGATAAACAAAAATTCGTTCCACATTAAATCGTACAGTATCAACAGAATCATTGATTAATCACGATGCAAATAATGATACCGATGATCATAATAATGATCAGGATCTGAATGCAACGAATCATCCACATCATACGCATCATAATGTACAGAATGGTGATGCAAATAAAACCATAACATCGGTGGTATCAATGACATCCACCATTTCACAATCGGTATCACGACGAATGTATCATCAAAAAAGTCTTGGTTACGAAAGTCTTGATTATGATATTTGTGAAAATATGTTACATTTAGAAGAAGAAAATAATGCCCGACGTAAAGGACTTGGTAATCATTATTTGGAATTCACTAGATGGCTTGTCATATTTTTCATTGGTGTATTGATCGGATTGACTGCCTGTTGCATTTTATACAGTGTGGAAACATTGACTAATTATAAATATCAAAAATTAATGGTAAAAGTTCAAATTTTTTTTCAATTAATGATAATTAATCGGATCATTAAAACATTCTATAGAATCTACTTAATTCATCGAATCCAAATTCAATGATAAAACCGTACATTATTTGGTTGTTAACAAATGGCATACCAGTATTTCTTGGCTCTTGGCTGGTCACCTATATGGCACCGGTTGCTGCCGGTTCTGGTATACCGGTTATAAAATGTTATCTAAATGGTGTTAAAGTTCCTGAAGTTGTACGTGTTAAAACATATTTTGCTAAAATGTTTGGCGTCATTTGTTCAGTGGTTGGTGGATTGGCCTGTGGAAAAGAAGGTCCAATGATTCATTGTGGTGCAACAATTGCTGCCGGTATTTCTCAAGCAAAATCCACCACATTTAATTTGAATTTTGAAATTGGATTATCAAGATTCCGTGAAGATCATGAAAAACGTGATTTTGTTTCTGCAGGTTTGTCTTTAGATTTTTCTTGTTTTTTTTATTTGATCAAATTCCAATTTCTCCATCATCACTCAATTTATTAGGTGCTGCTGCCGGTGTTGCTGCTGCATTCGGTTCACCATTGGGTGGTGTATTATTCGCTCTGGAAGAAGGCGCATCATTCTGGAATCAACAGCTTGTTTTACGTATATTTTTCTGTTCATTGGTTTCATCATTCACATTGAATTCAGTGGTGTCCGTTTTCAATGGTGAACGGATGGGTAGTCCAGGATTATTGAATTTTGGAAAATTTCAAGATATTGATTATAGTTTTTATGAGATTCCATTATTTGCTGCTATGGGTGTATTCGGTGGCATCACTGGAGCGTTATTCAATTTATTCAATATGAAATTAACTATACTACGACAACGATGGCTGGAAAATCGTCGCTTGTTACGAGTCGCCGAAGCTGTATTTGTATCATTACTTACGGCAACCATTGGATTTGCATTGATGAATGTTTGGAGTGAATGTACGCCAGAAACAACGGAAGAAACACAATTCCCTGTAACATATGGTTGCCAAAAAGGACAACACAATGTAATGGCAGCACTTTGGTTTAATACACCAGAAGCCACGTTGAAGAATTTATTTCATAACAAAGATGGTGCATGGAATATCAGATCGTTGACAATATTTGTGATAACATATTTTTTTATCTCATGTGTAACATATGGTTTATCCGTATCTAGTGGCCTATTTATACCCGGATTAATGTTGGGCGCAACATGGGGCCGTTTAGTTGGTATTGGATTATCCTATGCATTGCCGAATGAAACATGGATACATTCGGGAAAATTTGCTTTGATTGGTGCATCAGCTAGCCTTGGCGGTATTGTACGTATGACTATATCATTAACTGTGATATTGATTGAAACTACGGGAAATCTTTCATTCGGTTTACCCATCATGATTACCGTGTTCACTGCTAAATGGGTTGGTGATTGTTTCAATGAAGGTATCTATGATATACACATTGATCTATCGAATGTACCGTTTCTTGGTTGGCAACCACCATCCGATTCAAGTCGAATATTTGCATCCGAAGTAATGCATAGTCCAGTGACATCATTACAAGTACGTGAAAAAGTTCGTAATGTTGTCCAAATATTGTCTTCCACACATTATAATGGATTTCCAGTAGTGGACGAGAATACCATCCATCAAGCTGTACGTACATTTGGCCGTTATCGTGGTCTTTTACTACGTTCACAACTTTTAGTCATGTTAAAAGCTAAAATATTTCAAGAATATTCATTAGATGCACCATGGAAAAATTTAAATTCATTATTCCGTAATTCATATCCACGTTATCCAAATTTACAGCAAATAATGAATGAATTAACCACTGATGAATTAGAAATGACAATGGATCTAAGACCAGTGATGAATCCAAGTGCCTATACAATAAGTCATGCTGCATCATTGAATCGTATATTTCGTTTGTTTCGTGCATTAGGCTTACGACATATTGTCGTATTGAATGATTATAATGAAGTGATTGGTATTGTTACCAGAAAAGATTTAGCATTTTATTGTACGGTTAGATTTGATAAACATTGATTTATTGATTACTTTGTTGTTGCTCATGTTGCTGTTGCTGTTGTTGATGTGTGCTATATGCTATATGATTGGTTTTCAGATTGGTAAATTTTTTTTTTCATTTCATTTCATTCATTTTTACACATAAACAAAAATATATTTTGTATATATATTGTAATTCACGTTGTTTAATATAATTTGAATTTCAAAATTAATTTATTGGTCCAATCATTGGTTCATTTTTATCAATTAAAAATGGATTTATAAATATTTTTAAAAAATGAAGATAAAGTCACACACACACACATGCAGAATTCAGGAGAAAGAAACAATCAATCCATCAGTCAATCAATAATCAAAAACAAAAAAAACAATCATCATCATCATCAAAATATATAAACACGCATGGTTGTGTCATCAGATGTTGATGTCTGTGTTGTCAATAATATTGACAACATTGATTTGTTTTACGGGCAGTTTTATAAAACAATTTCGATTGTGTTGATAATTCTTCAGATTTTTCCACCAAATTGTCCAATTTTTCACCACGTTCCAATATACCGGTTATAGCATCATGTAATATGATTTTTGTTTCATCAATTTCTGTCTGTAATTTTGTCATTGCATCGGCTTCTTTTGGATTTTGAAAACGTGCCAGATATTGATCCAATTTTGTGTATGGTGCCTGACCTTCTTGCATTGTTGGCCATCGTATTGATGGCACCGATTGTGTAAATTCTTCCAATATTTTCGATAATAATGTATGTGCAACACGATTTGGATATTCATTATCCGATATGACAATACCAGCCAAACGATCAGATCTTATATAACAATGACATAGATATTCTTGCTGTTGTAGTGATGATCTTGTTGCCAATTCACAACGTTCGACAATCATTTTGGCCGTAAAACGCATAAATTCACCAACACTATTACGTTGAAAAAAACCAAATGTAGATAGATCAGATGCATGTCGTAAACATATGATTGAATTATTTTCACGTTTATATAGGACACCAATATGATATAGTTTGACCATTTTTGTTTCGAATTATCCCGTGGCTAACACAGGTTATAAACAGCTGTTTTACAATTGTGTAAAAAAATTGTGTGTTCCAATCTGTTTTTTTCTTGTTGGAATAAAAAAAAATTTTAACAGAAAAAAATAACAATTGAATTTTCTCCAAATTATTAAAGAATTTATCTGCAGAATATCGGAGACGAAGAAAAATTTATTTATTTATATTTTTATTTAGAATTTAAAATGCGAAAAAAACAAACACATTTCTGATTACTCATTATCAAATGCGTGTGTTGGTATTTTTTTTTTTTTTTTTTTGTGTTTATAATAACTCATAACATCATCATCTGACTGTCAGTGGTATTTTTTTTTTTTGGTTCAGAGCATGAGTAATCACGTGATTACATTTATTTCTACTGCCATCTTGCGGTAAAATTAATAATGAAAGGCTTTTAAATTTTTTTTTTTGCAAAAAAAAAATTCAAATTTTCAAAAAAAAAATTTGCATAATTTTATTTGGTGATCATCATTCCACGAATTCCATAAAAGATATTTCTTTATGAAACCATGTTCCATGTTCAATTTGAACCCAGAAGAAGAAGAAGAAGAAAAAAGTAAAATTTTAAAGTTCAAAATTCAATTCAATTCAACAAACAAACAAACAACATTCCAGACATTTTTTTTCCTATTCACACAATACCACCGAATGGTGGTCACGATAAATTATTATTTTTCACTGCCCTTTGACACACACACTATTAATGCATAGGAGGCAAATAGAGCCACGGTAATGACCCAAGGGCAAATAATTTTGGTCTTTATTAGTGTGTGTGTGTGTTCGAAATTTTGAAATTTAAAAAAAATTTCGGTTATTTTCGATAATTAAAAATCAAATCCGAATCAAGATCGTTGTTCGTTGTTGTTTTGTTCATAACGGACAAGAAAAAAAAATTTCAATTTTTTTCACTTTCAAACGATTCATTGTTTTTCCGTTGTTGATTCACATAGCGGATAAGAATGATGAACAACAACAACAACCAGTTGAATTCGTTAAAAATATGGCCAATCGAATCGAATGTGAATCAAATAAATAGGAAAAAAAACGAAAATGGAAAATTTCAACGGCTAAAAATGTTCGTTGTGGTTTATTATTATTATTATTTTCCATTCAACGAACATTATGATTTTTATTTTTTTTTTCTGTTGAGTGTGTGATGCGATGAGTGTGTTTGATGTCAACGGTCAAACATGGTTGTCGTCGTTGTCGTTGTTGCAGTGTATGAGAAAATTATATAAAACGATCAAAATTATGCTGGCCATGCATATATGGGTGTGGGAAACAATAAAAATTTTTTCCCACACACACCCACACCTAAACAACACCATCACACTCAACAATCGATATAATCGATATTTATTATTGATTTAAAAAAAACAAAAAATTCTCAAGATAATTTGGAGTAAAAATACCAAAAAAAAAAAAATGACTCGCCCATCCTGTCCATCAGGCTCCAATAACAAAACAACAAATCATTTAGTGTTTTGTATCACTTGACACTTTTTTTTGTGTATGTGACATGTATCTCACATGGGCCCGAGATAATGTTATACAATCATCATCATTTACCATATAGGTAACAACATTTTATTTTGTCTAGAAAAAGAGAAAAAAAAAATTCAATTAAATAACCTATGACCTTTTTTTCCTTAATGCAAAGGACATTTTCATTATACCATACATGGTTTTTTTTCGCCCATTGATTGAAAGGTTATTTTATAAGGTTATAATATATTGTGATGTGATGTCATTCATATATACTCCTCACCTCAATTTTTTTTTCTCTCTCTCTCTTTATTTTCATATCCGTATTTTTTTATTTATTTATGAATGAATGAAAAAAAATACAGAAAACGATTTCCGCTACACAAGCCCTTTTTTGGAACTCCTTTCCTTCTCTTTCTATGTTCCTTATTGTCAAAATTTTTTTTTCACTCAATGAATGAATGAAAAGGATGTGGAAAAGTAAAAAAAAAATTAGGCACAAAATTGGGTTAAAAGATCGACGACCGTCATTGGATTTATGGATGGATCCCACAGAACGAAGAATTCGATATTTGTAAATTCATCGTTTCCAAGAAGAACAAGAAACCGAAAAAAAATATTATCAACGTTTTCTCAGGATACAGCAGAGAAAATATGCATTTTTGTTGTTGTTGTTGTTATTATTGTCATCACATTTGTCCAGAGCAGCAACGATGATGATGATGAAGACTACGGCGGCACCAACCATAAGAATTTGATTCCCACGCTCACCCGGCTCATCATCATCATCATCATCATCATACACAACAACATGATGATGATGATAGTTAATAGCTACTACACACATATTGATAATGATGATATAAATTCAGTGTTGTCCTCCTCATTTTTTGTTGTTGTTGTTCATCGTCTTCATCATCCAAATAACAACGAAACAAAAAAAAATTTTTTTTGTTTGATTGACATTGAAAGAAAGTTCACATACACACACACTGTATATTATATACTGATGACTTTTCCTTCCTTTTTTGAGATTTTGCACTTGCAACCTACCCCCACCACCACCACTACTTTGCTCATTTAGATGAATAAATGGGGGAGATGAAAATCTCATGTCCGTTTTGGACAACAACAACAGCAACAATTCCCATCATCATCATCATCATCAATGCTGTAAGATAAGAAAATTTCCTTGTATATGGTGGATGATGGACCCTAGCGCTAAAAGCGTGTGATTTGTGTGTTCCGTGAGAAGAAGAGCTTGACCACTTGTTGCATTTTTTTAGGTATATGGTTTACATATGAGTTGCCAGTTTTTATAATACAAATTTTTTCTCGTTTTTCATTCTTCTTAGGTCCCGCGATTATCGATCATCAAAAAAAACGAAGTGCGAACAACAGCAATAGCAGCAGCAACAACAACAACAAGTTGTCCTTGATAGGTCACACACACACAAAACTGGTCATTCATTCAACTTCTTAATAATACACAGTCTTTTTAATGTGACTCAATGTAAGACACATACACACACACACAGACAAGGAGAAAAAAATTCGAAGGCAAAGAAAAAAACGACGACAGCAACAACAGCAAAGTATTAAAAAAAATTGAAAGAAAGAAAAGGAAACTAGAAAGCCCCAAGGAAGAGGGATAGGCATGGGAACGAAAACCAAACCAAACCAAACCAAAAAAAAAAAAAAAATTCGAGCAAACTTTTTTCACCCACCAACAGTCGATATGATGATGAAAAACGGATGGCCAAAAAAAAATCTGTTCAAGATGAAAATTGAGAGAGAGAAAAAAAAAATCTTGGGTCCCAGAGAAACGTAAAGTCAAACAGAACCAATAACACAATTGCCAAGCAAACAGGCGCGGTCTTCCCGACCAACAAACAGCAACAAAACAATAACAAGGGCAGAGGGTCTGTGAACAATGTCAAACACCACTACCAATAATCATGGCCTGAATTGATTACTATATATCACTACTACTACTACTACCATTACTTCATTTACTATTACTACTGCTACCAGGAAAAAAGGCCAGGCCAAAGGGCAGGATACGCACACACACACTGATATTGTGGAGGGTTCTCATTCGAACGTTTATTCATTCATTTTTGTTCGTTGATTGTTCTGGCTGAATTGTCGGCTACTTGCTACTGTTTTTCTGTGTTGTTGTTGTGGTGGTGGTTGTATGTTGGCCATTGGTAATATCGTTGTGTGTCAAGCAAAAAAAAAAAATTTTTTCTTTCTTTTGAGTTTTTTCTGGTTATGATGATGATGATAATTTTCAACGACAGCTGCTACCAACAAGAAAAAACATTCCATTCATTCACATTCCTGTTGCTGTTTGATTATTATCATCGAACAAAATAAACGACAAAACAACACGCTCATCCAGATTGAATTGATTCTTGTCTTTGTGAATAATTTTTTTTTATAGCCCTGATATATCTCTATTCTCTATTTATATTAATTTTCATTTAAAAATTATCCATCGAAAATCATCATTTTACAACCATAAAAAAAATTTTGAAAAAGAATATTTGTGATGATTCTGTGTAATGTCTTTATTTTATTATAGAATATAAAAATTGTTTGTTTTGATCATTGGTTCGTCGTATAAATGTGTCAGGAAAAAGGATCATATGTAACAACCATGTTGGAGATGATCAATGATGTTGTTGTTGTTGTACAGAATGATAATCATCCAAATCAAGATAACGATAATGATCAAAAAATGTTAACATTTGTTAATGATAATGATGATGAATCAACAATAATAGCCAATAATCATCATCATCATCATATAAAATCATTGATTGTAACGCAAAAAATTTCAAATGGATCATCAGATTATAATGATGATGACCATTTACCATTATCACCATCATTAACGCCACCTATTTCATTATCACCGGTAACATCACCACAACCATCATCAATATTATCATCATCATCATCATCATCATCGATAATTACCACTCTAGACTGTGATGATCGATTCATTAAAATTGAAACAATGAATAATTCGGAAACGGTAGCAGCTACTACTACTACAATGGCCATAAATTTACCTTCAATTCATCATCATCGAAAATATCAATCATCACCATCATCATCTTTATATCAACAATCAATACCAACAATTAATGAACAATGTATAATCAATACACAACTTGCCAATCATCAATCATTACGACAACAGGAACAATCATATCAGAATAAAATTTTATTAGCACAAAAAATTCTTAAAATAATTAAAAATGATGATTATGAACAATTTGCAAAGATATTACAGTATACAAAACCAGATTTAAATGTTTTCATTAATGGTCAAACAGCATTACATTATTGTCTTTTATTAGGTAAATTGAATTTTTTAAACAAACAAAATCTAATTCCATTCTTTTGAATAATTTCATAGGTCGAGATGTTTCATGGTGTAAATTATTAGTATTGAATGGTGCAAATCCAAATTTATCAAATCAAGATGGCTGGCATCCATTACATTTGGCTGCATTTCGTGGTCTAAAAGAAAGTGTCAATTATTTGACCAATTGCAATAATAGTTTTTATCATCATGATAATAATCTAATAACATCAAATAATAATAACAATGATGAAACGACAACAACAAATTTATAATAATCATGATTTTTATAATCTAAAAACGAATAAAAACGTGGAAATCTCGTTTGTCTCTCTATGTGATAATATCAATAATAATCATCATGAAACCATTCTCATATATCCATTCAACATTCGACAACAACAACGACCAATTTTTTCTTTGTACAAAATATTTTTCCAATTCATTTTATTCATAACAAACAAAAAATTCTGTATGTATACAAATATGAATTTTTATCAACAAAATGCACCAACGATTCACACATCACATCAATTGAATTTTTCTCTACTTGAATCACAAAAAAAATGCACATACATTTGTAAATATAAATCTGTTATTGTTTTGTTTCAATTTTTGATCAATTAAAAAAAATGGAAAAAAGTTGAATCTTAAAATTTCACCGTATTTATTGATTTCTCATCATTTTAGCGATGCTGCAGATGATGAGAAAGTAATTTTTTTGTTGTTATTGTTTCGGCGTATTATGCAATAATTCTGTTGTTGTTGTTGTAAATAATTAACTCTGAAGAAATTCTTTGGAAAAATTTTTTGACAACAACAAGTTTATCTCACTCTCACACACAGACTTATTAGTTAGTTAGTTATATATTCGGACAGAAAATGATTTTTTTTTTTTTTTCATCGACCGTAAATGAAAAATTTTCCCACCACCACTATCGGCAACAATTCAACGAACCAGTGTGTGTGTGTGTGTGTATGTTTTGTAGTAATGACACAATAGAGCCAAGAAGCGAATGATGAGAATCTTGAGCGCTATACTTTTTTTTGCTTTAAAAAAGTTTTTGTAGTGAGAAAAAACTTTTGGAAAAAGAGTGTGTGTGTGTCGTCGTTACTCTCACCAAATAGACTCTCTCTCTCTCTGTGTGGCTTTTATTCGTTCTTTACATTCTCGAGGATTTTTGTATATACGGAGATTTTTTTTTCTGATGAGAAACTTCAATTTTTTTTCGGTTTGTGTGTGTGTCTGTGTCTGTGAATATTTTTTTTTTTTCGCTGGTTTCACTTTGCAGTTTGTTGGTGGTGGTTTTCTGGCTGGCTCTATTTTTTTTGTGGTTGATAAAATGGCAAAGGTAAAGCTTTTGCACACACACACACACACGCACACACGATCCACTCAATAAATGCAACAACGGAATATTGTACATGTGCTGTAATCAAACATCCATGAATGCAAATATTCCACCATCATCATATTATCAAGCAAGCAGCAACAGCCAGCATCGCCACATTAATAAATTGTCATCAAATTCCTCATCAATCTATTTGATGCTACTAATGAAATTCGTATTTATTCTGCATACATTTAATTTGATACATGTAATAACATTATGCGGACATAACACGGCGCTATAATCGTAATCGAAGATTATGTTCGCGCAGCTATGATTGAGGAAATGGACCAATAATTGAAAAAAGAGTAAAGCTTTATTGATCAAGTATAGTTTATTTTATAATCTGAATATATGTTTTTCAATAAAAATAAAATGAATAACAACAAAAATTTTGAAACAGTATTGAAAATAACAAACACAGGATGTCAAAACGTTGATTTGCAAAGATTTTGAAGACTGATTTGTAAACATATAAACATCTTCATGAAATAGAAAATTGAAAAGTTGATGTCAGTTGGAACTCAAATGAAATTTTTAATGATAGAATCATCCACACCTACCATCAGGATAAAGGTCAATTGGTTACGTTCCATGAAATTACATTATACTTTTTTTCATCAATTATGCTGCTGATATGATAATATCTATCATATCATGAGTTGATTTTTTTATTCATTTTTCATGTTGAATTTTATGGGCAAAAACAATGCATTCATTTACGCTTAGTACCCTTAAAGTCCAATCATTGAGTAACTGCGCATAGCTTACAGTGGTAGTGCAATTAACTATTTCAACGCAAATGCTGCGCGCTTCTTTCCCTTTCGACCCCGCCATACAAATTTAATGTTCTGACTGTTAGTAACCGAACAAAAACCTCAACGGTCGTCGCGCATTGTTGTCTTCATTCACTTTTGAAAGCGTTCACACTCGTTCGGTATTTTTTCATTTCTCTATTTGCAATCTTGTTTTTGTGGAAATTTGGAACAAAGAAAATGATTCAAGATTATCTTTGTTCAAAGTTATTATGGTCTAAGATCAAAAATTGGCTCCGAAATCACGAAGGAAGATTGCCTGGTCATCATGTAATCATGATACAAGTTGGCGAACAAATCCCATTTCTTCGATGACTTCCTCAAACGCCGGTCAAGTCCTTCACCAAAACGCGCCCCAACGTACCCAGAGTCCATTATATCTAATGTATGATAATTGAGAAACTTCAATTTTTTTTTCGGTTTGTGTGTGTGTCTGTGTCTGTGAATATTTTTTTTTTTCGCTGGTTTCACTTTGCAGTTTGTTGGTGGTGGTTTTCTGGCTGGCTCTATTTTTTTTGTGGTTGATAAAATGGCAAAGGTAAAGCTTTTGCACACACACACACACACGCACACACGATTCCATAATTGTGTGCGAAATTGACAATTTTCAAATTTTTTTTTTAATTTTCTCATGATCGATTTGATTTGAAGAATTGATTGTCGAACAACTTTATTCGAAATTTAATCGATTCTAGATTGCTAGACCAACTAACGCCATCTAGTCATATCGGTTAGAACTGTGATTCTCATTCTCATTCTATTGAATGCACGTGATCCATTCCATGCGTGTTTTTTTTTTACTGTTTATGTTTTTTGTGGCAATTTTTCTTTCAAATAAATTTTTTTAAAAAATGTCTAATAACAATTCAAATCGATTATTTGAACCATATAAATCTATTGGCCTTGTATCATCCAATGTACCGCATTTAATTCGTTATATTGAAAAATTGAATAAAATACAAATCGTTACCGCTGTTGGACGATCATTTTTAGTTTTCAATGAAAAATTACAATTAATTGAAACTTGTATGTATTACAACGATTATATGGCGATGATTATTATTAAATTAAAATTCAATATTGCAGGTGTTGCACACGATTCAGACATAACATTATTGGCATCGGATTCGAAATTTTTATTTACCGCCGCATCGAATGAAATATTTGCCTGGAAACATGGCCATAGATGGGTAAGTCAATCAATCATCAATCAAATTTGATTGATGGTGATCAATTAATTCTTTCTTTTGTTCTATTTTTTAGAAAATAAAATCCTACAAAGATGATTTACGTCAAAATCAATTACATCATCTGATGGTTTTAGGTGGTCAATTATTGGCCATTGATTGTAATCAAAATTTAATTTGTTGGGATATCAGCACACAAGAAATCACCGCCTATATCGCGTTCAATAGTGAAGTGACAACAGCAGAAGATTCGACAACAAATTCCACAATCATTACAGCAATATTACATCCAGCTACGTATATAAATAAAATTCTTATTGGAACTCAACAAGGTCGCCTACAGCTATGGAATATATCAAAACAGAAACTGATTTATCAATATAATGGATTCGGTTCCGAAATTTGTTCACTGGTTCAAAGTCCAGCATTACATGTTGTGGCCATTGGTCATCATTCTGGATTGATTGTTTTACATCAACTTCAACAAGATACGATGATCATGAAATTTCAACAAGAATTCGGACCAGTTACAACGATATCATTTCGTACAAATGATTCATCCACATTTGCATTGATGATATCGGGATCACGACGATCCGGTCATCTAGCTATATGGAATCTTGATGAACAGAGACTTGAACAACAGATGCGTGATTTACATTGGCAATCCATAGCATCGGCAAGTTTTATTCAAAAACAACCATTAATGATCACCAATTCGAGTGATAATTCATTGAAAATATTCATTTTTGATGATCTTCAAACAACGGGAAGATTATTGTTTCAACGTGAAGGACATCGAGCGCCACCCACTCGTATTAGATTTTATGGTGATAAAGGAAAATTTATCCTTAGTGCTGGTCTTGATTCAACATTACGATCATTTTCTATTTATTCGGAACGTTTAAATCGTAGTCTTGGTTTAGCTAGTGCTAATCGTAAATTGGCCAAAAAAAGAGGCATAAAAAATGATACAAATGTTTTGCTACCTATCGTGGATTTTGCTGCTGAACCATTACGGGAAAAAGAATGGGATAATCTTGTTGCATGTCATAGAAATACATCAATGGTTACTACTTGGTCAGTGGATCGTATGAAAATGGGTGAACATAAATTATTGCCAGAAAGATTTACAAGATCATCCAACAATGTTCAAGCTGAATGTGTTTACATAAGTAGTTGTGGTAATTTTGTTATTATCGGTTATAATACTGGACATATTGATCGATTCAATATTCAATCCGGGTTACATCGTGGATCTTATAGAATCGATGGCAACGATACAGCTCATCAAGGTCCAGTTCGTTCGGTACTTAGTGATGCATTAAATCAGATGATCATCTCTGGTGGTGCTGATCGTTATTGTCGATTATGGCATTTTGCCGCACGTAATAAAAATCAATTGATTGGTAGTTTTAAATTATCCGATTCTGTTGCCCGAATGTGTTTGCATAAAGATAATCAATTTGTTGCCATTGCATTGGATGATTTTTCTGTCATTGTTATGGATTTAGATACAAAGAAAAAAGTACGTCATTTTCGAATGCATCGTAATCGTATTACCGATATGACATTCGATAATGATTGCCGACGGCTATTCATTTCGGCAATGGATTCATTTGTTTATATTTGGGATATGATTTCTGGCCAATTAGTTGACGTATTGGCCACTGAAACACCATGTGTATCATTGTCATTATCACCAAATGGGGAATTTATTGCTACATCACATGTTAATCAATTAGCAATTTATTTATGGTCCAATATATCTTTATATAGTAAAGTTACATTACAACCGTTAACAGAATCACATTTGGATACCATATCGTTAATGCAAATGCCAGCAATAAAATCCGATGAAATTGATAACCGTGAAGATTCGAATGATGATGATGACGTGGAAAAAATCATGGCAATCGAAACGAATGACAATGATGATGATGATGGTCATAATATCCTTGAATATCAATATAAATCACCGGAACAAATTTCCAATGATTTAATAACATTATCTTCAGTGGCAAGTTATCAATGGAAAAATCTTTTACAATTGGATCTGATACGAAAACGAAACAAACCAAAAGAAGTGTTGGAAAAACCAACTATTGCGCCATTTTTTCTGCCTTGCATTAGTGGACTTGAACCAAAATTTGATTTATCAAATAATGATGATGGCAATGATGATAGTGAAATGTCCACAACAATTTCCAATGAAAAATCAATGAAAATATCAAATCATTTGATCACACCATTTGCAAAATCATTACAACAACATTATCATGAAAATAATTTATTGATATTTTTCAATGAAAAAATGAAATCATTAGGACCATCAAAAATTGATGCAGAAATTCGTAGCATCGGATCAGAATGTATTGGTACCATTGATTTTATGTTATATTTTCTCACAATGATTGAAATGATGATTGAATCAAATTGTAATTTTGAATTATGTAATGCATACATTGGTTTATTCATCAAATGTCATGCAGAAACAATATGCAGACAAAGGAAACTATTTGAACGTATTGATTCAATATCGACAAAAATCATTGATAAATGGCAACGTTTACAACGATCATTAGATCGATCAATTTCATTGATTGAATTTTTACGAAATGCATTGATTTGATAGTTGATTTTGTATTGTATTATTATTATTATAATATCATATTATTTTTATAAAAAAATAAAAACTAAATAAATGATGATGATGAATTCAATTCTTATGGTGGTGTTTGTGGATTGTTGATGTTTAAATAGCCAAAATTCATTCATTCATTTGTTCGAATGATGCGGCCATATTTTTCCATAATTTCTTCAGCATTATGATGATCATAACAAATTGGTAGACCGATTCTTTTTAATTCTGGTTCAAAAATTTCATCAAATCGTTGGCTTTGTTCAGCTGTAAAATGATTACGCCAATCACCAATAATACCTTTACGCATAAATTTTGTTTTACTCATATCGAACAAATCGGCTACTGGTAAATCTTCACGATTAACCATTTTATTATTGCGCATTTTTTCAAAACTACAATGTAATGTTATACGATCAATCTGTTCATCGGTTAATCGATGGCCAACAAAATCGCAAATAATTCCAATCATTTTTTTCAAATCCTTTTTACAGAAAAAAAAACATTCAATCAATTTGTTGCTGATGATGATGAACTAAATACATACCACTTTAAGTTCTTCATATGAAACAAATAAAACTGAATCAGGATCCTGTTGTTTCAGTTCCCAAAAACCACGAACATGATCAATCCATGATCCATATACTAAATCTCCTCTGGCAAATAATTCTACGAAATCATCCCATGTACCGGAATAATTTCCTAAAAATGTACTCATACGATGATGATGATAATAGGAAACGGCATTATCTTTTGGATTACGAACTACATAGATGATCTACGATGAAATTCGATGGTGAAAGAGAAAACGTGATTAATGAACAAAAAATTTAATTTTTTGTATTTACCTTAGCTTTTCCTTGCCGCAATTGTCCAGGAATATTTTCAACATTTAAATGTGTGGCCAATAAACGTGGTGAACGAATCGATCGCAACCATTTCAGATGGCCAAATGGTTTACCAACTTCTAGATGTGGAACTCTTTCAGCAATAATTTTCTTCGATACAGCATCAATATCACCATCAGCAAAAATTAATGACAATATTTCTTCGGTCCATGTTGTACCGGATTTTGGATACGTACAAAGCCAAACATCATCAGTGCGAATTTCAAAATTCTCAATTCGCCGCAATACTTTTGGATAAACAAGATATCCCTGTAATAATAGGCCATTCATACGTATTGCTTTCGGTATGGACAGAACATATTTGGCAAGAAATTCATCTTTCTTCAGATTTGAATCATTTTTAGCTTTACGAATTTCACAGCCATTATTGTTGGAATTATCATCTTTGGTCAATAATGCACTGATTGGTGAACGATATAATAATTTCAATGTTATAAATTTCGAAGGCATTATTATAAAAAATGACGGTGTTTTGGTTTCGGTGACTACTGCTGCTGTTGTGATTGTCGATGTCGATGTCGATGATGCAGATGATGATGATTTTGTTGTTGCTGTTGTTGATGTTGATGTTATACTACTGTTTCCGTCATCAATCGTAAAACGATTTCGATCATGATCGATGGCGATCATTTTAAATAAATTTTTGTTTTGTTCTGATGAAAAAAAACGATATGATCAATATCGATAATGTTTCTGTTTCTGTGTCTGTGTCAGTGTGTGTGCTTTTAGTTGAACCAGCAGCAGCGTTTCTACAAAAAAAAATGTCACTTTACAACCAAATCAAATCAATGTGTGGTAACTATACAGATGTTATCAATGGATAATGGGAAAGATAAACCTGAAACAAGAAAGAAAAAGATTATCATCATCATTAAATGGATTGTTTTTAATTGTCATTTTATTACCAAAAATAAAAGAAAAGAAACAATCGATGTAAATCACTTAACGTCAATCCGCGTTTTTTTTTGTGTTTTATTTCCTTTTTTGTAGTTATTGTACCTGTTTACAGATAAAAAATAAAATAATATAAATCAATTAATCGATAATTTTAATGGAAACAAAAAAAAAAGTTTAAACTAATTAATTAATTATAATTGAAAGAAATACCCATTCACTATATGCATGTGTTCCAAATGGAAATCGGATCTTTCGTCTCGTGTTTGATATTTATCGACAGTATAGATATTTCAATGTATGGAATGTTTAACCGGATCATCATTCATACCAAGACAAGGCATTCAATTGAAATTTTTTTTTGTTGTTGTTGTTGCAAATCTCAATAATAATAAGGGCGTTGTATTTTTTTTTCATTTCATTTCATTTTCATATTTTTTTTTTTTTTTTGTTATTTAATGTTCAATTTACTTGATTGGAAAATAAATATATCGTCGTGCTATATTAACAAAACAAAATATAGCAAACATGCACACACACACACACACACACTGAAGTGGATATAGAATATTCTTTTTTGCATGAATTGGTTCAGTAAACTTTTTGTTGTTGTATGGAAAATGAATAATAAATCGATTATGATGATTACAAACAAAGAAAACAAAAAAAAAAATATGAAAATTTTCCAATCATTGGCGTGTTTGTGTGTTTATTTGTTGTTGTTGTTGTTGTTGTTGTTATCATTGTTGATCATCTGATTTGCTTACTCACCCAACACAGCACAGTTTGTTGGTTGTAAAAAAAATATACCCGATGATGATGATCGGTTATATTAACCTGATTGCTTCAAATTTTTTTTGTTTTGTTTTGTTTACAAGCCATCAAACACACACTTACACACACGCTGTCACTAAAATTTTGATTAATCAGAAACCCAAACTTTGAATGACATGGCTAAAAAAAAAGAAAAAGAAAAATTCAAAAACAGAAAAAAAATGGCCGAAATATTCAAATGATATTACATATTGCCTGCCATCTATTATTCTTTTGTAAAGAATCCGGGAATTTTTCATTCGTTTTTTTGTTTTGTTTTGTTTTGTTTTGTTGTTTGTTTGTTGCCTGGTGGATTACACCATCATCATCATCATCATTCATCATTCATCATTATGTGTGAAATGAATATTTTTTTTATGTATTTTCAACCAATTTGAACAATATGTATGACTGACTAATTTTAATATATTGCACACATTCAAAATAATAATCATCATCATCATCAATAATGGCATCATCATCGTTTATGTATATACATACGAAGAACAAGAAAAGAAAATTTCAATATCAATATATCAATATATAACATGGAATTTCTTTATTCTACCGATCCAACAAAAAAAAAGAAGATTCTTGAATTTGACAATAAGTGATGATGGTGATGGTGGTCGAAATTTTTTTTTTTTTAATAACATCGAATAAAATGTTGGAAATTATGTGAAAGAAAAAAAAATGGAACGAACAAACGAATATAAAAGAAAAACAAACTTGATGACATGAATGTCATGTATGTATGTATGTATTATTGAATTCATAATCAAACGGTTTTAGCATTCACTCGTTTTTTTATTATTATTATTATCATCATCATCATTATTATTATTAGGTCTTGTCATCATCATTCCAGAACAATCTTCTTTGGATATATACGATCATCGTTCTTGTTGTTGTTGTTGTTGTTCGGTGTTGGCCTCATTCATTTCATTTCACATTTTTTTTCCTGGATTTAATAAAGTGTGTGTCTCCAGAAGATAAAAAGAAAGGAAAGAAGAAAATGGAAAAAAATGCTATAATGATCCATTGTTCCAGGAGAAGAATCAAAAAAAAAAAAAATATGGATGTGAATTCCACATTCCAACAATTGCTCTCTTTCTGAATTTTTCTTGCCCAAACACCAATCAATCGAATATTTAATATTAAACGATGATGATGATGATGATGTTGGGCTATTTGGATAAAGATTCTCATTCTCATCGTCGTCGTCGTCGTCCATCATTATTGTGCCATTGGATGATTCTGGAGAAGAAAAAATCGAATGATGATTTTTTTATCCAAATGAAAATGAAAAATGAAAAAAAAATACATGGAATGTTGTCACTCACACAATGGGTGTATAATTTGAAAATTTTTTTTTTACAATTGAAAATGAAATGACATAATACACACACACACACAGCATATGACAGTATTTCAATTCCGATATTCTAATTTCTAATTTAATCTTGAAATATTGATGGAATTTTAAACAGGAAACAGAATTTTTTATTTTTTTCCGGACACAGCAATCATTGAATAAATTCCATTTTTTGGTGGTGGTGGGGGTAGGGCCATCCAAAATTCAATAACCACCATATATGACATTGATAAGAAAAAAAAGCGATCCTTATCACCCAACAACAACAAGTACAGGTGTTCCTCCTAATCTATATCTACAAAAGTCAATCGTCAATAATAATAATTAATAATCGACGATTGATTGATAATCGATTGGATTGTGCTGGATGCTTTAAATACCAAATTTATAGAGAAAAAAAAATTTGAACAACTAAATCATCACTGTTCTGTGTTTTCTTTTTTTTCATGTGATTTCAAAGTCCAATCGGCAAAGAAAGTTGTGTTCTTTTTTTTTACCCCACCAACAATCACCAACTGATGTTGCTTGTTGATTTTTGTTTTCTGCTGTAGAACAAAAAAACTTTCCCAATCATCTACCTCCTCTTTTTTTCGGTACTTGATGATTTGGTTTTTTTTCCTCTTGGAACTCAATAAATTAATAAAATGAATTTGAATTATTTATCGGTGATGATGTTGATGATGATGATGAATATCTTTTTGTTGTCAAGGTCAAACGGAGATCTAATTTTTTCTTGGGTTACAGAAAAAAAATGTTCAACAACAACAACAACCATTTCAGGTTTCAATATATAGTCATTATAAAACTAATTGAAAACAAAACAAAACAAAGAAAAAATTTGTCATTTGTGAACTAACGCACACACATGTTGTTGTTGTTGTTGTTTCACATTAATAAATTAAAAGGATGATGAAAATTTGTTTGTTGTAATTGATTTCTCATTTTTTTTGTTACGGAAAATGATAACATTTTCTCAGCATGGTTTCCTCAATTAATTTTTTCCTCACTCAGCGTTATATTGATGATGATGATGTAAATGGTCATGGAAAAGGATTATTCTTGGTATTTTGTTCGCTGGACAAATGGAATGAGAAATTGGATTTAGACCTTTAACCTTGGCCTAGCCTGCACCAAGATAATTGCCTGTAATGAAGAAAGAAAGCAAAAAAAAAATTTGATCAAAATTTACGGGTAAATAAAATGATGATGTTTGTGTGTCCGCCCATCCTATACACACACACACACACACACACACACATCGTACATTCATTTTAATTTTTCCCGGATTCTTACTTACGGTATTTCGTATATTATGCAATGATGAAAATGTGTTCAATTTGTTGAATTCGATCTCATGCTACTAGCAATTTTCCACACGAATAAAAATAATCTTTATATTCAGCATCAGCAGCTATTACAAATGATGATGTTGATGCCATTCCTACGATGATCAAACTGAATCTTCACTCTCTCTCTCCCCTCTTTCTTGTTCCGAATGAATCGTGGATTGTGACTTATTACATTTAGCCATTGATGTTTGAATGTTTTGTTGATAAAAAAAAAAATTTTTTCTTCTTCTCGAATGAATTCAACACAAACAAACCAAACCAAACCAAACCAATTTCACACATTTCCACATAAACATTCGAATAAATATACAATGATGATACGTTCACAATAAATGTAACAGAAAAATCGAATAAATTGAAAATTTTGTTGAATGAGAAAACAAAAATTGTTTAAAATATAAGTTGAACAAATTTAGCAATCCTCGTGATCTTAGATTCGTGATTTTTTTCTGATTTGTTTATTGCTCATTTCACACCTACCAAAATGTCAATTTTTCAAAACACTAAACTATGTTGTTTGTTTGATTGATGATCATTTTGAAAAAGTATTGTTGTTGTTGTTGTTGGTGTGTGCTGCCATTATTGATGAAGAACAACAACGACGATTGATGATGATGATGGTGATGATGATGATGATCAATCGAGAATCGAACCATCAACCATATATATGAATGATATATGAATGTGAAAAATAATAACATCAACAAAAAATATATAACCAAACACCACAAAAACCACCTGAATTAAGTGCTATCAAATCAATCAATCAATCAATCAATGACAAGTGACCCAAAATAAATAAATAAAAAAAAAATTTTAACTTTCAAGTGTAGAGCAAGTGGTTGTGAACAACAATACGTATAACTAAAAAATGAAAAAAATTCATCATGGATCCCGTTAATAAACGTTTACAATATTCATCATCAGATGTTGATGATAGACAAACTGCTGTTTATACATCAACAGCAACAACAACAAATACTGCCCATACAACAACAAATATTATTGGACAGCGACCACGACAACGACCACGTCAAACAACAACAACGTCAACGATGATTAGTAATAGTCCAAATAAATCAATCACAACAACACCTACCACCGCCAACACCAACACGACAATTATTCGACAACAACAACAACGTGCAATGATGGTGGCTACACCACAATCAATAAAATCTGATAAATTTATCGATCTAGGTTATGATTCATTACATTCTACACCAAAACAACAATTAATTGATGATCATCATCGTGGTAATATTTCCATTGATCCGGCATCATCATCATCATTATTATTAACAAGACAAAATTCTCTATATGATGACGATGAATTATCAAATTATGAAATCGATAATAGGCCATTGAAACAAAATGAAAATAGTGGCAACAATAATAGATATAGATCATCAACAAAAGATGCCAAAAAACAACATCAATGGAACAACAACAAAACTATGAATCAAAAATCGAATGATGAAATGAAACAACAAACATCGACCATTACAAGTACAAGTACAAGTACAACAACAAGTAGTCCAAGTAGTATGATCAATACAGGTGATCATGGTGGTCATACAGGAAAAAAAATTGAACGTGAACAATGGGGTAAAAAAATTGATTTCCTTTTATCGATCATTGGATTTGCTGTTGATCTTTCAAATGTTTGGCGTTTTCCATATCTTTGTTATAAAAATGGTGGAGGTATCGTATCGATAATCATTGATTGATTGATTTGAATATTAGTTTATTTTTTTTTTTCACTGCTAGGTGTATTTCTAATTCCATACACAACAATGTTATTATTTGGCGCACTACCATTATTTTTTATGGAACTTTCATTAGGTCAATGGGCTAAAACTGGACCAATTAGTCTTTGGGATAAAATATGTCCACCATTGAAAGGAATTGGTTATTGTTTTGTTCTGATTTCTTGGTATGTTTCATTCTATTACAATGTTATTATTGCATGGACCACAAGCTATGTAATTAAAACAATTATATCTGGTAAGTTGGATTGGATCATTTTTTTTGGATCGTTAATTTTTTTTCTTTTGAATAAATTTCATTTTGAAGGAAATCTAATGCCTTGGCAGCATTGTAATAATTGGTACAATACAGAAGATTGTATATCAATGGAAGAGATTAAAAATCTTAAATGTGGTCAACAAAATATTGTCAACGAAACAGCAATAACAACAACAGCGAGATCTATTATCATCAATCAAAGTTTGCCTTTGAAAAAATTATTATTCTCAAATCGTAAAATGACAAATTCAACATCATCAATAGGCACAAATCGTCATGAACAATATGATATTGAAATGATTTGTCAAAGACTTTCGAATCGTACATCACCAACTGAAGAATTTTTCAAGTCAGTAATCTCTTTGTTTCATCTATTATATTTAGTAGAATTTTTCAACATTTTTTTTTTCTTAAATTTCTTGATGTTATAGCCGTGGCCTATTGGAGATTGATCAATCACGAGGATTAGAAAGCCTCGGTCATATTCGACTTGAATTGGTCGGATGCCTTCTGATTGTCTTCATAATTCTATATTTTTCACTATTCAAAGGTGTAAAATCCTCTGGAAAAGTTGTCTGGGTTACAGCAACTGCACCGTATTTTATTTTGACCATATTATTGATACGTGGCCTATTTTTACCTGGATCAAGTAAGATTGTGATTGTGTCTTGGCCACTTTTTTTTGATAACCTTTATGGATTATTCAATAGTTTCAGGAATTCTTTATTATATAAATCCACAAATGCATAAACTGCTAGAACCAATGGTTTGGGTAGATGCTGCCGTACAAGTATTTTATTCAATTGGTGTTGGTTTCGGTGTCCATTTAACATATGCCTCATTCAATAAATATAATAATAATTGTTACCGGGATTGTTTGATTACCGTTTCCGTAAATTCATTGACATCATTCTATTCGGGATTCGTTATATTCACCTATTTGGGTTATATGGCCACCTCGATGAATAAAGAAATTGAAAATGTTGCCAGCGAAGGATATGGACTGGTGTTTCAAGTATATCCAGAGGCTATTTCTACCTTGCCATTTGCTAAATTCTGGTCATTATTATTCTTTTTCATGTTACTGACATTGGGAATTGATTCTGCGGTGAGTTTTTTTCTCATGAATTTTTTTTCTTCATAATTTATCAATTTTTTAATCACGATGATTAGATGGGCGGAATCGAAGCCGTCATTACTGGAATTATGGATGAATTTGATCTTCATAAACGTTTTAGACGTGAATATTTTACTGGCATTGTGATTAGTGCTTCTTTTCTTGGTTCACTTATCAATTGTACACAGGTAACTCTAGATTAATCAATTAATGAATTTAATTAAATCAATTAAATCAATTTAACAAACAAGGGAGGCGCATTCACAATGGTTTGGTTCGATACATATTCTGCCGGAATTTCATTGATAGCATCGGCAATGTTTGAAACATTAGCTGTTATGTATATTTATGGTATGTGTTGTAGTAATGATGGTAATTTTTGCCACCATAATCGATTATTTTAATCAGGAGCTGAAAAATTTTGCCTTGATATTGAATCAATGATTGGCCATAGACCAAGTCGTTATTTTGTTTATTCATGGAAATATATTTCACCAGTATTTCTTACTGTAAGTATACTTAATAATTGATTTTTCATTCCATTCTACAATGATTAACGCTTTTCATATATTATTTTATTTACAGACAATAATAATAATGTCAATTATAAATTCTGAATCAATTTCATATTATGGTTATAATTTTCCATTATGGGCCACAATATCTGGATGGTGTTTTACATTATCATCAATTTCATTCATACCATTATATGCTGGATTCTATTTTATACGTAATCATTATCGTAATAATAATGCATCAAAATCATCATCAACAAAGATAATGAAAAATTCAATGATTAAAATAGCAAAAAATTCATCCTTCAATTCATCAAAAGGTAAACAACAATATTCAATGGTCAAACTAATAATAATTGATTTTAATATAATCCTGTTTAAAATTTCCAATGTAGATGGAAAAGAACCAACTGAAATGTTGGTCATGTTAACAACAACAACAACAAGTGGTCATAATGGTCACAATGATGAGGAAAATAAAACCAAACAATATTCTTCCATGATTTCAAATAATGTTGTTGTCGCTGGTGACGGTGGTGGTGTTTATGTTTGAATCTCTCATTCTGTCATTTATTCTCTTTGTCCTTTGTTGTCATTTTTGCTTTCAATTCATTTATTCATTCATTCATCATTATCCGTTCATTTCTTTTTTGCTAAAAAAAATTGTTGCTATTTTGCTTGTTTTCTGTCTTATTACCAACTAGCATAAAAAAATTATACAAACAGATTAAAATTGTTGAAAAATTACGTTCATGACGTGTTTTTTATTTCGTTGAAAGCAAAAAATTATCGATAAAGTGGTGGAAAAACATTTTCCTTGAACCTGCCAATCATATTACCGGCTGGATCATACATACAAACTGTATATTGTTTTGGATAATGGCCACCACTTTGAAAACTACGTTGTGCACAACCAATTCTGGTGGTATCATACCAAATCACTTGTGTTGCATGACCAGTTTTTCCATCATATTTTGGATTTTGAAAATCATAATTTTCATCATCAAATTCTTGATACCAAGATTTAGTGACCGTATGACAATCACTATAACCACCATAAATCATGTAAAGATTTTCACCATAATAATGATCATTATTATTCTGTGGTAAATGTTCTAGCCGATCTATTTGTACCAATTTTTCTGCACGTGTAGCAGCCACTTTGGACAACTATAGAATGGAAGAAAAAAACAAATTGAATAAATAAATAAATAAACAACAAATCAGCTGAACAAAACAACCACTAACCTCTTTTGATGAAATCACTGGCTTTGTGTCTCTATGTTTTTTCCGATATTCATTATGGCTATAAACACATTCTTTTGTGAATAAATCATCCAATGATCGATCTGAATGTAGAAAAATCCATAGAAATATAATCATCAATATTATAACCAAAATGAAACATAAACAAATGAGCCATATTCGATATTTTCGAATGAAAGAATATATTCTTCTACAACGTCTACGGAAAGTAGTATTGGTGGTGGTGGTGGTGGTGGTAGTACTGGCGCTTGTTGAAGCATTGTTGTTGTTGTTGTTGTTGTTGTTGCGGTTGGCAGAAGAAGAAGAAGAAGCTGATGATCGATTCTGTTTCGGCATTTTTTTGGTTGTTTATGTTTATTAGTCACGTGGATGATGATGATGATCACAATCAGGAAATTCTGGTGAAGTTTTTTTTTGTTTTTTGTTTTTTGTTTTGGTCGTATTTGTTGAGCAACAAACAAAATTCGAAAACAAAATTGAAATTAAAAAAAAATCAATTTGTGACAAAAAAAAGAGTAGGAAAAAAAAATTCGATAAAAAAAAATAATCCACAAAATTATTCTGAAGGTGAACAATTCATGGAGGATGAAAAGTGAAATGTAGGACATGCACGTGATTCCTTTCTTTCTTTTTTTTTTTTGTATGCCAAGGACATTCATTCAATCTTTTTTTTTTAATTACCGTGAAATATAGTTATGTGAATTATTATGTTACCACTATACTATGCTGCTATATATAAATACAAACGTTTGATGAAAATAACAAATGATTCAAAATTAAAGGTTAAAAGTAATAGAATTATACGGAATCGTCATCATCATTTGATCGAATCATAATTATTCATGTTGAACGTTCTTTCATATAGAAACCCATGATGAGAAAGAAAGCGGCAATATAACTAAGGAACGCTTCGAATAACCCCGAAATGTCAGATTACCAAGATAGCCAAATGTAAAGGCAATTTTTTTACCATGCATCAAACGTTCATAGAGATCATCATATTTCAATTTTGTTCGTAAATAATTACGTTTTAATTTTAGCTGCATAGGCAAGATATGATCACGGATTTTATGAAATGCATTGGATACATGTGCCAGGGCCATAAATGGAATAACACCGGTGATAACATGTAAAACAACAATTACAATAAATACAAATTCTGTTTGTGCCGGTATATCTTCCACGATTAATTCACACATCAATGTTATATTGATTGGTATGCTAATCAATGCATAATAGTATAATGATTTACTCCAGGTATTTTTATCATCATGTAAAACATAATAAGATAATTTATTATGTTGTCGATAAATTAAACCAAGATTCAGCACATCTTTCCTGGTGATTTGTTTTCCATTATGGTGACGTGATTTATCCAATATTGAAACAAACATTTGATTCAGATATGATAATCCACTATGAAATGCTTGATATGTTGACATTATTGTACAAGCGAGAAGCATTGCTGATTGAAATAAGAGAAATCCATTATAAATGAAAATTGTTGTTTCAATCATTAGAGTAATTTTCATCCACAATGAATTCTGGACCAATTCATAACAGAAGATTTGATAAACAACTATAGGAACAGCAATCGAAATTATGGAAACTTGAGATTGGAAGAAGATTGAATTTTTTTTGTGAAAAAAAATTTTTCGTTAACAACTTGTTGAATGCTTATGACAAAAAAAACTTACTATATAATAAATGTAAAAAATAATTAACACAATCGGCAAGCAAGATGAACAACACTATATAGGAACGACCTTTAAAAGTTGCATACGGAAATAGCTTCATTTTATTGATTTTTTCGAATAAAATTTTATCAACACGATCCATTTCAAGCCATGAATCACGCCAAACTTTGAATGAAACCATACGTTTAGCAATAGGTGTGATTTGTGATAATAAACGATGATCACGAGCAAATTGTTGCTGATAATTCTCGAAACGTTGTGACAATTTCATTGCAATATTTTCATCCGTATCTCGGCTTTTATTATATTGATCAGTATTACGTACAATACAATCATATATAACTTGAAACCGGAATTCATCATCATCTTGTTTTGGAAAATAAAATGTTTTTATACAAAGCAAACCGCCCATTATTAATAATAAAACTATAATGACGAAGAATTTATTCAGAATTCTACGATGATCCCAGAAATATAATGATGCATAATCATAACGATATAATGGAAATCGTTCTGGATCTATATAGATTAATGAAATGAATAATGCTCGTATCAGCCAATAAAGATAAAGCATGAGATCGGCATAATGCAATCGACGATATTCGATAGTTCCATATTCATCAACAATATGTTTCATTGCATTATAGATGAAATGACGAAAATAAAACAACATCTTTACGTTTATTGTTTTCGTTATTGTTGTTGAAAGTTTGAAATGGAAAAAACAAATGTTGAATAAAATTATGGTTATCGTATTGAAAAAAAAACTTATCGTTTAGTACGAATTTTGGCTCATTACAGATTATAATTGGAAATTTGCATGAATTTTAGACATTTTTCAAAAACAAATTTTCATTTTTATTTTCCTCTTAAATGTTGGTGTTTTTTGTCAAAAAAAAAACAAAGTTAATTGTCATCGGGATGACAAAATATTTTTTTTCCAATACTTTTAAACCAAACTACAATTAGTTGGTTAGTAAATTCTGCCAGTATATTATAACTAATAAATGATTGATTGATTGGAAGAAAAACTTTTTATTTTTATTGGTTCATCAATCATTTTAATGGATTGTTTTTGTTTTTTACTGATCATCATTGAGAAAATGAATCGATACTTGATAAGAAATTCAAAAGAAAATTTTCCAATTTTTCTAAATTTTTTTTCAAATTGTCATTTTATTACATTATATGAATATGGAAACAAATTAAATGCAGAATCTCATGATCAGAAAGAAAGCAACGATAAAAGGATTCATAATTAAAGGTTAAACGCAATAAAATTATAGAGAATCATCATCATTTGATCAAATCGTAATTATTCATGTTGAATGTTCTTTCATATAGAAACCCATGATGAGAAAGAAAGCCGCAATATAACTAAGGAACGCTTCGAATAACCCCCGAAATGTCAGATTACCAAGATAGCCAAATGTAAAGGCAATTTTTTTACCATGCATCAAACGTTCATAGAGATCATCATATTTCAATTTTGTTCGTAAATAATTACGTTTTAATTTTAGCTGCATAGGCAAGATATGATCACGGATTTTATGAAATGCACTGGATACATGTGCCAGGGCCATAAATGGAATAACACCGGTAATAGCATGTACAACAGCAATTACAATGAATACAAATTCCGTTTGTGCCGGTATATCTTCCACAATTAATTCACACAACAATGTTATATTGATTGGTATGCTAATCAATGCATAATAGTATAATGATTGACTCCAGGTATTTTTATCATCATGTAAAACATAATAAGATAATTTATTATGTTGTCGATAAATTAAACCAAGATTCAGCACATCTTTCCTGGTGATTTGTTTTCCATTATGGTGACGTGATTTATCCAATATTGAAACAAACATTTGATTCAGATATGATAATCCACTATGAAATGCTTGATATGTTGACATTATTGTACAAGCGAGAAGCATTGCTGATTGAATTAAGAGAAATGCATTATAAATGAAAATTGTTGTTTCAATCATTAGAGTAATTTTCATCCACAATGAATTCTTGACCAATTCATAAGAGAACAGTTGATAAAGAACTATAGGAACAGCAATTGGAGTTACGAAAACTTGAGATTGGGAGAGGATTGAATTTTTTATGGAAAAAAATTTTCAGTAACAACTTGTTGAATGCTTATGAGATCAAATGACAAAAAAACTTACTATATAATAAATGTCCAATATAATTAACACGATCGGCAAACAAGATGAACAACACTATATAAGAACGTCCTTTGAAAGTTGCATAAGGAAATAGCTTCATTTTATTGATTTTTTCGAATAAAATTTTATCAACACGATCCATTTCAAGCCATGAATCACGCCAAACTTTGAATGAAACCACACGTTTAGCAATAGGTGTGATTTGTGATAATAAACGATGATTACGAACGAATTGTTGATGATAATTTTCGTAACGTTGGGACAATTTCATGGCAATATTTTCATCCGTATCTCGGCTTTTATAATATTGATCAGTATTATGAACGATACAATCATACAGTACTTGAAATCGTAATTCATCATCATCATGTTGTTTCGGAAAATAAAATGTTTTAATACAAAGCAAACCGATCATTATTAGTAAGAAAATTATAATGACGAAAAATTTATTCAGAATTCTACGATGATCCCAGAAATATAATGATGCATAATCATAACGATATAATGGAAATCGTTCTGGATCTATATAGATTAATGAAATGAATAATGCTCGTATCAGCCAATAAAGATAAAGCACAAGATCGGCATAATGCAATCGACGATATTGTATGGTGCCATTTTCTTCAACAATATGTTTCAATGCATCGTATAGAAATGTTTTGATTTTGAACAACATTTTCACATTCAGATTTTTCCTTAGCCTGAATTCGACAGTTTGACAAATTAACCATTGTTAATCTTAGCCAATTATTTATTGTTCGATGAAGAATAATATTTCTGTACTACAATGTTACAAATGTCTTGAAACGTTTTGAAAATAGTAAAAATGCTCAATGTCTGCTCCAAAATGCCATGGGGTAATCATGAATCAAAATACATTTACATCATCCATCCACTGTGTTAGAATATAATGAATTGTCAACAATGATCCATTGAAAACAATTTGGAACAATAGTTCCACGCTATGCTATTGTATTAATATGAAACTAATACAGAACAGTAAAATATATATACTATTACTTTGTCCTTGAATACGTTTATTTTGATCACTTTAATACTCACTACCTGTATTTTTACGATAATTAATTTAACATTTTTCAAATCATTCATATTGATTGATTGATTTTTTTGTTTTTCAATCACCATGACAACAATGTTGAGAATTTTTATTTTTTTTTTTTTTGAGAATTTAAGAATCATAATGAAATTTCGATTTAAATGAATAAATCAATATACATTGTGATATGTAGCCATTATTGTGGTGGATAGTAACATTGTACATTGAAATAATAAAATTGTAATTATGTGTGAACAATATATATCACTACAATCATTATGATGAATTTCATGATTGAAGAATTTTTTTAGCAAATTCAAATCGTAAAAATTGTAGAATAATCACAATATACCACCGAATGATAATGACGAGTATTTTATACAAAGAATGAATAGAAGAAGAAATTTGAAAAATTAAATTAAAATATATGAATAAAAACAAACATGATACTTACTGATAAAAAATGTGAAGAATATGATTGAAGAAATCAATAATAAATACAAATAACAAAACATGTGATCGACTTTTACGATTTGCATTGGGAAACAAACGCATTTTATATTGATTTTCAAAATTTTTTTGCATCTTTTTTTCTATCAATCGATTGATCGATAATCATGATACGATACAATCGAATGATGGAAAATTTTGGTGAATTTTTTTTTCTTTTGTTTTAAAGTGTCATCTAAAGGTCTGTGTTTTATGTTTTATCTTATGTTTGTTCTACAGTTACACACACACACACTCATAAAGACTAACGTTTGATGGAAATAACAAATGATTTAAAATTAAAGGTTAAACGTGATAGAATTATACGGAATCATCATCATCACCATTTGATCAAATCATAATTATTCATGTTGAATGTTCTCGCGTATAGAAACCCATGATGAGAAAGAAAGCTGCAATATAGCCAAGAAATGCTTCGAATAACCCACGATAAGTCAGATTACCGAGATATCCGAATGTAAAAGCAATTTTTTTACCAGACATCAAACGTTCATAGAGATCATCATATTTCAATTTCATACGAAGATGTGTCGAACGATTCAATCGTAGCTGCATAGCTGGTATATAATCTTTGATTTTATGAAAAGCACTGGAAACATGTGCTAAAGTTATGAACGGAATAAGACCAGTAATGACATGTATCAATGCAATCAATATGAATACAAATTCTGTATGCGCTGGCATATCTTCAAAGATTAATTCACACATAAATAATACATTGATCGGTATGCTAACCAATGCATAATAGTAAAGCGGCTGGCTCCATGTAGTTTTATCACCATGTAATACATAATATGACAATGTATTATGTTCAATATGGATGAATCGCAGTTCTTTCAACGTATTAATTTGTCTTTGATTTTTTTTGAATTTTTAAAATTTTCATAAAATTTTGATTCATATTAGCCAATTGATTGTGAAATGCATGATATGTTGCCAATATTACACCGGATAGTAGCATTGCACATTGAAGCATTACAAATGTATTATGTGTGAATAATATCACTTCAATCATTAAACATAATTTCAATACAAATGAATTTTGTACAATATCAAATTGTGAAATTTGAAAATAAATAACTATGAATGCGCCAATTAAAAGAACCAACACTTTTTTAAATAAAATTTTGTAAAAGGATGGAAAAAAGGTGAAAGAAAAAACAAACATTTTGTTATGAGGTATTGGTATAAGATGAACAAAACAAAATGAAACTTACGGATGAAAATGTGCAAACAATAATTGCAGAAATCCATAATCAATACGAATAATAATATATAATTACGTCCTTTTAGTGGTGCATTAGGAAACAAACGCATTTTATTTTGATTTTCCGAATAAATTTTTGTCTATACGATCCATTTCAACCATGAATCACGCCAAACTTTGAATGAAAACATGCGATTCACCAATAGGTGTGATTATTTGATAATAAACGATGATTACGAGCAAATTGTTGTTGATAATCCTCGAAACGTTGTGACAATTTCTTTTCAATATTTTCATCCGTATCTCGACTTTTACAATATTGATCCGTATTATATACGATGCAATCATAAATAAGTTGAAAACCATGTTTATTGACATTGTTGAAGAAAAATGTTCGCATTCCAAGTAATCCAGTAAATACGAATAATATGAGAATCAAAGCAAAAAATTTATTAAGAATTTTTCGATGATTCCAGATATATAATGATCCATAATCATATCGATATAATGGAAAACGTTCTGGATCTATAAAGATTAATGAGAACATTAATACTCGTATCAACCAATAAAGATAAAGCGAAACATCAACACTACGTAATAGACGATATCGTACGGTGCCATTTTCTTCCACAATATGTTTGATTGCATCATAGAGAAATGTTTTGATTTTGAACAACATTTTTTCACATTCAGGAAGCAGGTTTTTCTACATCTGAATGTGACAAACGAATGGAGAATTTTTTTTTTAGTTCTTGGTAAGATAACATGGCAGAAAAAAATTACCTCTACTCATTAAGATATATTTATTGCAAACTTCATTACTTCATCATTGTCAATTTTATCATCAATTCAAAAATGACTTTATTACAAAAAAAAACAAATTGCGCCCAATCGATCAGCTTTATAGCCAAAGAAAATTACTGAATTTCAACAATTATTCTCTATAAATAAAATGAAATTTATAGTCTCATTTGGAATAAATTTATCGATCAAATCATTTTCATCAATAAATCGAATCAATCGATAATAGTCCTCAGATATTATTAATGACTTTTTTTTTTGATCAAAATTTTATAATTTTTCATTGTAACACGAGCATGCAGTGCATTAACGAACAAATTCAAATACAGATAAACCAAAAAAGGTTCTGTCACAAAATGTCGAAAATAAAAATGTCGAATACAAAATGGTCGAAAATATTTGATCGAAAATAATAAAGACGAAACGACAAAAACGTCGAACAGACAAAAATGTCGAAAATAAAAAAGTCGAAAATTGAAATGTCGAAAATGGTTTGAGCCCTTATGCCTTAAAATTATCACTAACGAAAAAGACTCAAATATTATTTTTTCATTTCAATTCTGGATAATCACAGATAAAGATGATAAATTTTTATTTTTATTCGAACTATTTGAATTCATATTATTATCAATTCACTTTATATTTGCATTCAAATTTGTTTGTGATTATTATTTGATTGTTGTTGATTATATCGATGAGAAAAATCAAATTCTGGTTGGGAAAAAAATCATCAGATTTAAGAATTTTCGGTTTTGTTGATGTGGTTGGATTGGTGATTTCAATTGTCATAATCTGTATCATCAATTATGAAAGCTAAAAATCGATAGATAAACTTGCAATGAAATTTGTTTGCGTTTTAAAAAAAATTTTATTTAAAACAAAAATTTCGTTCGTAAGTACGTGGAATCATGAATGAAGATGTGTCGAACGTTTCAATTGTGGCTGCATTGCTGATATATGATCTTTGACTTTATGAAAATCATTGGAATCACATGAAACCGACATAGAGATATAAATATATTTTATTATTTGATTTGTTCTACAATCACTACTACACACATAAATAAAGACAAACGTAATATGGAAATAACAAATGATTCAAAATTAAAGGTTAAAAGTAATAGAATTATACAGAATCATCATCATCATTAGTTGATCAAATCATAATTATTCATGTTGAATGTTCTCGCAAATAGAAACCCATGATCATAAAGAAAGCTGCAATATAGCCAAGAAATGCTTCGAATAAGCCGCGATACGTCAGATTACCTAGGTAGCCAAATGTGAAGGCAATTTTTTTACCAGACATCAAACGTTCATAGAGATCATCATATTTCAATTTCATACGAAGATGTGTCGAACGATTCAATTGGAGCTGCATAGCTGGTATATAATCTTTGATTTTATGAAAAGCACTGGAAACATGTGCTGTGGTCATGAATGGTAAAAGACCAGAAATGGCATGTATCAATGAAATCAATATGAATACAAATTGTGTTTGCGCCGGCATATCTTCAAAGATTAATTCGCACATAAATAATACATTAATCGGAAGGCTAACCAATGCATAATAGTAAAGCGCCTGGCTCCATGTACTTTTATCAGAATATATTATATAATATGACAATGTATTATGTTCATTATTAATGAATCGGAGTTCTTTCAACATATTGATTTGTCTTTGATTTGTTTTTGAATTTTTTATAATTTTCTTAAAATTTTGATTCATATAAGCCAATTGATTGTAATATGCATTAAATGATGCCAACATTGTACCGGATAGTAGCATTGCACATTGAAGCATTACAAATGTATTATGTGTGAATAATATCACTTCAATCATTAAACATAATTTCAATACAAATGAATTTTGTACAATATCAAATTGTGAAATTTGAAAATAAATAACTATGACTCCGCTAATTAAAATAGTCAACACTTTTTAAAATAAAATTTTGTAAAAGGATGGAAAAAAGATGAAAGAAAAAACAAACATTTTGTTATGTGGTAAAGATGAACAAAACAAAATGAAACTTACTGATGAAAATGTGCAAACAATAATTGCAGAAATCCATAATCAATACGAATAATAATATATAATTACGTCCTTTTAGTGGTGCATTAGGAAACAAACGCATTTTGTTTTGATTTTCAAACAAATCCTTGTCGACACGATCCATTTGCAACCATGAATCGATGCAAACACGAATTCTGAACAAACGATTCACCAAGAATGGTGGAATTATTTTCGATAATAAACGATGATTACGAGCAAATCGTTGTTGATAATCCTCGAAACGTTGTGACAATTTCATGGCAATATTTTCATCCGTATCTCGACTTTTATAATATTGATCCGTATTATATACGATACAATCATACAATAATCGAAAGCTAAGTTCATCCACATTGTTAAAGAAAAATGTTCGTATACCAAGAAATCCAGTAAATATGAATAATATGACAATCAAGACAAAAAATTTATTAAGAATTTTTTGATGATTCCATATATATAATGATATATAATCATATCGATATAATGGAAAACGTTCTGGATCTATAAAGATTAATGAGAACATTAATCCTCGTATCAACCAATAAACATAAAGCGAAACATCAATATTATGCAATAGACGATATTGTACGGTGCCATTATCATCAACAATATGTTTGATTGCATCATAGAGAAATGTTTTGATTTTGAACAACATTTTCTCTTCAAGTTTTTCTTAGTCTGAATACAACAAACGAATGAAGAACTTTTTTCCATTCATTCACTATTTATACTATCTTCTCTCATTAGGATATATTTATTTATTTTAAAGTTCAATAGTTCATCATTGTTAATTTTATCATCAATTCAAAAATGACTTTATTTCAAAGAACAAATTGCGCCCAATCGATCAACTTGGAGAAGAGAAAATTACTGAATTTTCACAATTATTCTCTAGAAATAAAATGAAATATATAATCACATTTGGAATCAATTTATCGATCAAATTCGATTTCATCAATGAATCAAATCAATCGATAATATTCCTCAGTTATTATTAATGACTTTTTTATTGTTCATTTTAATCGCAACACGCATACGCGCACAGAATTTTTTCTCTCAATTTTTTAATAGTTTGCAAAAAAAAAAATAAAGATAAATTATTATCATTATCGATTTCTTAGCATGATCAGAAAAAAAAGCGACAAGATAACCAAGAAATGCTTATGTAATAAACATTTGTATGATCATAAAGAATTTATTAAGAATGTTACGATGATTCCAGAAATATAATGATGCATAATCATATCGATATAATGGAAATCTTTCTGGATCCAGAAACATTAATAAAAGGAATAATACTCGAATCAACCAATAAAAACAAAACAAAAAATCAACACTATGTAATAGACGATAGGATAAGGTGCCATTTTCTTCAACAATATGTTTGATCGCATCGTATAGAAATGTTTTGATTTTGAACAACATTTTCACATTCAGCAAGCAGGTTCTTCTATGTCTAAATTTAATGAACGAATGCAGAATTTATTTTCCGTTCTTGCACTACTTAAACTACCTTTATTCATCATTAGGATATATATTTATTGTAAACTTTATTATTGGATTCAATTTATCGATCAAATTCGATTTCATCAATGAATCAAATCAATCAATAATAATCCTATAGTTATTATTAATGACTTTTTGTTTGATCAAAATAATATAGAACTTGAAACAGAAAGTTTCACCATCATCAACTAGTTATTATGAAAAATTGAAAGTTTGAAATGAAAAAAAAACAATAAAATTCTGCCTATTGTTTAGTACAATTTTTTTGTTTTTCATAATTGGAAATATGCATAAATATTAGACATTTTTCAAAAACAAATTTTCATTTTTTGTTTTTCTCTTAAATGTTGGTGTTTTTTGTGAAAAAAAAACAAACTTAATTGTCATCTGGATGACAAAATATTTTTTTTTCCAATACTTTTGAACCAAACTACAATTATTTGGTTAGTAGAATTTTCATAGAATGCTGCCAATAATGACAAATCATCGATTGATTGATTGGAAGAAAAACTTTTTATTTTATTGGTTCATCAATCATTTTAATGAATTGTTTTTTACTGATCATCATTGAGAAAATAAATCGATACTTGATAAGAAATTTCCAAATTTTTTTTTTCAAATTGTCATTTTATTACATTATATGAATATGGAAACAAATTAAATGCAGAATTTCATGATCAGAAAGAAAGCGACAATAAAAGGATTAATAACTAAAGGTTAAACGTAATAGAATCATAATTATTCATGTTGAATGTTTTCGCATATAGAAACCCATGATGAGAAAGAAAGCAACAAAATAGCCAAGAAATGCTTCGAATAACCCCCGAAATGTCAAATTACCGAGATAGCCAAATGTGAAAGCAATTTTTTTACCATGCATCAAACGTTCATAGAGATCATCATATTTCAATTTCATTCGAATATGTGTCGAACGATTCAATTGTAGCTGCATAGCTGGTATATAATCTTTGATTTTATGAAAAGCATTGGAAACATGTGCTAAAGTTATGAACGGAATAAGACCAGTAATGACATGTATCAATGCAATCAATATGAATACAAATTGTGTTTGCGCCGGTATATCTTCGACGATTAATTCACACATAAATAATACATTAATCGGTATGCTAAACAATGCAAAATAGTAAAGCGGTTGGCTCAATGTATATTTGTCACTATGTAATACATAATATGCCAATGTATTATGTTCAATATAAATGAATCGCAGTTCTTTCAACACTATCATATTGATTGGTTTTCTATTTCGTGAATTTTTTAAAATTTTCATAAAATTTTGATTCATATGAGCCAATTGATTACGAAATATATAATATGTTGCCAATATTGTACCGCATACTATCAATGCACATTGCATCAAAAACAATGTATTATGTGCGAATAATATTGCTTCAATCATAAAACATATTTTCAATACCAATGAATTTTTCACCGATTCAAATTGTAAAACTTGTGGAATGATCACAATAGAAGTCACGATAATTACAAGTGCTTCATCCATAGAATGAATAGGAACGGAAATTGAAAAATTAAATTAAATTAAAATACGAACAAAAAAAAACATGAAACTTACCAACAAAAATATGAAGAATATGATTGCAAAAATCAATAATCAATACGAATAACAAAAGATTTTTGCGACTTTTACGATTTGCATTTGGAAACAAACGCATTTTATTTCGATTTTCAAACAAATTCCTATCGACACGATCCAATTGCAACCATGAATCGATGCAAACACGAATTCTAAACAAACGATCGACCAAGAATCGTGGAATTATTTTCGATAATAAACGATGATCATTAGCAAATTGTTGCTTATAATTCTCGAAACGTTTGGACATTTTCATTGCAATATTTTTATCCGTATCTTGACTTTTATAATATTGATCGGTATTATATACGATACAATCATAAACAATCTGAAAAAAAAGTTCATCCATATGATTGAAGAAAAATGTTTTGATTCCCAACAATCCAACCAATGTAATCAATATTAGTATTATCATAAAGAATTTATTAAGAATTTTTCGATATTGCAAAAAATATAGTGACACATAATCATATCGATATAATGGAAATCGTTCTGGATCCAGGAACATTAATGAAACAAATAATGCTCGTATCAACCAATAAACATAAAGCAAAACATCAACACTATGTAATAGACGATATCGTACGGTGCCATTTTCTTCAACAATATGTTTAATTGTATCATATAGAAATGTTTTGATTTTGAACAACATTTTCACATTCAGGTTTTTTCAAGTTGAAATTCGACAAACGAATGTGGAATTTTTTTACCCAGTATTTAAACTACCTTAAATCATTAGGATATATTTATCGTAAACTTAAATTACTTCATCATTATAAATTTTATTATCATCAATTCAAAAATGACTTTATTGCAAACAAAATAAACAAACTTGCGCACACTCGATCAACTTGGAGCCGTGAAAATTACTGAATTTCCATGATTATTCTCTTTAGAGAATCTTTTCATTGGAATCAATTTATCGATCAAATGATTTTCAGCAGCAACAATACACCTCAATAATTATTAATGTCTTTTTTTTTGATCAGCGAGATAATAAAACGAAACAGAAAAAAAAGATGATTCCGTATAATTTAAAGTATTTAAATGATCGATTTTTTTTTATTTTGAACATTTGCTTGATTTATGATAATTTTTCAAAATTTTCTTTCATTCCATCATAATATTCACCACACATGATGATGATGATTGCGTTTTTAGTTTTGTATGAAAAAAAATTAAAAGATTGTGATATAAATTTATTGATATATTGATGATTGATTGATCACCATTAATGATACATTTAAGGGGGGAAAAAATATTAGTGCATATCAAATAAAAGCAAAAAAACAAGACAAAACAATCGATAATCACAATACAATCGATTGAGAGAAAATTTTGAGAATTTTTTAAAAATTGTCATTTTATTTTATCTGTTCTACAGTTACATAGACGAATTTGAATTAGCATTTTTTTTTGTTGGTCAAAAACAATTCATGGATTGTTCAATTCGAAACAAAGAAATCTAATGAAATTCAATCAACAATCATTTTCCAAAAAAAAAACTGAAACAGAAATCTAAAGAAAAAATGAAAATTTATTTCAATAGAAATCGAAATTTGAAAATGTTGACTCATCCGCACAATCAGAAATTCACATTCAAGAAGCAGGTTTTTCTACGTCTGAATGTGACAAACGAATGCGGAATTTTTTTTTCCATTCTTGCTAAGATAACCTAACAGAAACAAACTACCTTTACTCATTAGGATTTATATTTATTTTAAACTTCATTATTGGGTCATTTTTTTGTTTTCATATCATCAATTCAAAAATGACTTTATTTCAAAAAAAAAAAACAAATTGTGCTCACTCGATCAACTTTATAGCCAAGAAAATTACTGAATTTCAACAATTATTCTCTATAGAAATAAAATGAAATATATAGTTATATTGGTAATCAATTTATCGATCAAATTCTATTTCATCAATAATAAATCAAACTAATCGATAATAGTCCTCAGTTATTATTAATGACTTTTTTTTTGATCAAAGTATTCACCACATATATTATAATGATGATTATGATGAAAAAAATAACTGCCTATCGAATAATAGAAAAAAAAAAAACAAAACAATCGATTGAGAGGAAATTTTGAGAAATTTTTTTTTCTCTGTTTTGTTTTAAATTTAAGTTTGGCGCGACACCGCTTATTATTTGATGAATATTAATTTAAAAAAGTAACACTTTAAATGGATAGACGGCGACACTTTTGCTTAATAAACAATTTTTAATATTTTTTCTTCAATTCTTTAATTGAATCCAAACTGGTGAACGTGCATTGCCGAATTGTAATCCTTTTGATGATAATTCTTGATTCAAACGTTGTTTTAATGAATGAAAAAAATTTCCATCCATTTGTAATTGTTCACAAGTTTTGGCCAACATTTGTTGATTCTGTTGTGCTCGTATCAAATCTCCTTTATCCACTGAATCCAATATTGAAAGATAATATTGGACACAATTTTCAAGACTGAATGTAGCACATATACCAGCATCGATATTCAATGTAATTCGTGCTGCCAATAAAGTCTTAATATTCAGACATGCAAAATTAATCAAAACCTGTTGATCATCATTATCCAAAACAAACCTCATCATAGCCGGCAAAAATTTTAATTTTATCACCAAATTTCCGTTGAATTTTACCCATACGAACAATATTTGTATCGGTAAATTTTATGGCCGAAAATTGTGGTAAACATTCCATGGCTTTTTCCACAAACGATTCCAGTTCAACTATGAGAGAAAAAAAAATTCAATCAAAAGTGAAAAAATATTCGTGAAAAAAAGATAATAATTTACAATTCTGTTGGCCAGTTCTATCGGGAAAATGATAATAAAGAAATGGAATTTGACCATCCGTTTTATTCAGAATCGATCCAATATACGACACTAATTGATTAGCATTGTCGACTTTGTAGAAAATTGGTGCCAACAATGCAATGCCATTGAAACGATTCAATTGCATTGATACTAATCTGGCCAATGGTTCGGATTCTTTTATCGACATTGCCGATACATTTACAATGGCCAAAAGATGTTTATCTTCTTGATCCAATTGTATCAATGCTTCATGCCAGGCATTGATTAGTTGACATTTTTCTTCAAATGTCAATGCAAATGATTCACCCGTAGTGCCCAAAATGTAGACCCCTTTTACGCCGATATTGACTAAGTGTCGAGCATAATCAACAATTTGATTTGTATTCAATTGGCTAAATTAATCATTCGTGAAATTAGCAAAAAAAAAAAAAAACAAAACAAAACAAAGCAAAACAAACCCATCATCATCATCAAAAGCAGTGGCAACGGCACAAACAGGACCATTAAAATTGTGTATCAATTGTTTTCGTGTTTCCAATGAATTGTTCATCTCTTTTTATTGTTCAAACGTTTGAAATGAATGAATTGAATGCAATTTTTCTATAACAACAACGCACATAAAGCTCAGACTCAGATTTGATTATCATCATATATCATAATCGAATGATCAATATTCGACAATCGATAAAATTAATCATCAAGTTTTTGTGTTCGATATGGATGCAGTTACATATGTTATGTATAAAATGGGAGGGTGTATAAACCTCGAATTTATTATTTTGTTCATTAATGTCCATGAGCCGCCAAGAAAACGTCACCACATGGTGGACATTTTGGACACAAAAACACATTGGTTTTTCAAGAAGACCTTGACTCTGCGAGTCAATATCGACAATAAACAAATCGACCAAATCTTTGGACACACACAAAAACCAGGCAAGCACTTGTGTGTTTATAAAGTGCAATAAAAAAAAAATCAAACATATCGACGGTCATCATTTTAAAACAATGTTTGTTTTTTTTCTTGTTATTGCCTATCTATTGCATCAGTTTCATGTGTTAAATTCTTATATATAGTTTATTGATGATTGTAATTTTATATATCATTTTTAGGTTTTTATTTGGCCTTGGATGATTCACACAAACACCAGACAATCATTTTATCATCAACAACAACATAACGATCAATCTGTTAGACTACGACTACACATTAAACAAAAAAAAAAATCTGTTAAAGCAGTGTGAATCTGAAGAATCATTCAGGTCAAGCAAATGACTTCTCTCTGCCATATAAAAAAAACACAGACACACATATGTTTAATGGCTGGTCGTTTTTATTTTCTTCAACAACCTTCATCACAATTTATCATTTCAAACACAACACCAATAAAACCATTCAAATGTCTGTCCAATATATTATCGCCATTTGGTTGCTATTGTTGTTGTTGTTGTTGTTTTTCTCTGTTATTGATCATAACCATTCGAGTATATTCTAGAAGATCCATATTGCCATCCAATTGCATCATGTATCTACAATGATCGACGATAAAATGAGCAGATTGGGTTGGGCCATACTATATAAACAAGATTATGGCGATGGCGTTTCTGAAAGCTGACAAGACAGCTATATAAACAAGTGAATTAGTCGTCATTTTAATCGACTTCAAATTTGTCTCAAATTTGTATTCAAAAATCTTTTTATGAAAACGTTTTCTATCAAGCCAACAGGATTTTAATTCCAATTTTTCTTTGAAAAAAATGTCTCAAAATCGTGGTAAACCAAAACGTGGTGGTTTCGCTAGTGGTGGTGGTGGTGGTGGCGACCGCTTTGCCGGTAATAACAACAACCGTTATCCCAGGAATAATGATAATCGACAACGATCATTCGATGCATCACCCGTGGGTATGTTAATTATAATTTTGCATAAAAATTGATAGAAAAATTAATATAAAAAAAACAGAATTTCCAGAATCACAACAATATCCAATACGAAGATCATTGTCGCCAAAAGTAGATCAAAAGAATTCACTTAATTTGGTTGGAAATTATTATAAATTGGATATAACCGAAAAAGAAATCTATCACTACAATGTTCAAATTTCACAACCACCATCAATCAATCAGACGCAAAAAAATGATTCAAGATCTGAACAAAATCGTGAAAAATTTCTACGTAACAATTCACGTGAAATTTTGAAAGAATTTCTATCGAAAAATCCAACATTATTTCAAGATATACCATTCATCTATAATGGTTGGGAAAATCTGTACACCACAAAAAAGATTCAATTGGATAATGATTATGTCAATGAATTTGAATATCGTGTTGGTAATGGAAAACCTGATCGTTCAGTGCCGAAAACAAATGTGGAAATTGTTTTCAAAGAAAAAATTAATCTTAAAATTATTGAAGATTTTTACAATGGCAAAGTGAATGAAATTCCCAATCAAATTATCGATATATTGAATAGATTGTTTGCTAAAATTCTCATGGAATACTATACCGTACATGGACAATGTTATTTTGATATGAATCAATTACGATCAGTTCGAGAATTATCATTCATTGAATTTGTGTATGGATTTGAATTATCAACACGTATGGCACAAGTTGGCATTTGTTTGGTAATTCAACCAAGAGTTGAATGTTTGATTTCATCAAAATGTAAAACACTAATGGATCTGATCAATGAATATGATTATAAATCTGGAGAAAATATTACAAATTTTGAAAAAATTAATTTCAAAAAAATCAATTCATTCATCAAAAATCTATCGATCTACACCGAACATGGTAATCAAAAACGTTCATATAAAATCAAAGAATTGATTGCCACTCATCTTAATGAGATGAAATTGAGTGATGATGATGACAATATGACAATTTTGGATTATTTCAATAAAAATTATCCAGAAGTGAAAATCAATCCACGGTTACCAATGGTGCAAATGACAAAACCACACGTCTATATGCCATTGGATTTATGTTATATTGATGAGAAACAATTTGTTGATAATACTAAAAATTATCCAAATATCCACAAGGTATTCATGAAAGAATGTGCATTGAAACCAGAATCTTTTTTCAACAAAATTCAATCATATGTTGATCGTATTGGTAAAATTGGATCGACCATCCTGAAAGAATTTGGTGTCACTCTACAAAATAAACTTGTAAAATTTAATGGATATCAACTTGATAAACCTAGAATGGTGGTGAGAAATCCACGTGCTATTAACAAAATCAGCATCAATTGTTCCGTGGGCTTTTATTTCATTTGATGAGAAAATTTCAAATGGAATAATCGACGATTTCATTGATGGATTATTGAATGAAGCTGAAAAAATGAATTTAAATCTACAAATGGGTTTAAGATATAAGCGATTTTAAACGTATCAAAAATTTGAATGATATTGAAAATGTATTGAAAAAGTTAAAACCGAATGTAAGATTGAATTTTGTTTTGTGGTACTACCGGAACACCATAATTATTTAACTCCAAGCGACATTTATAATGCTGCATCAAGTATTGGCTGTAAAGATTTAGGATTGAAAATTCAATGTCTAAATGGTTTTCGTGTTGCCAACGTGCCTGGTGGTTATTTTAATAATCTTTTATTTGAAGTTAATGGCAATCTTGGTGGACAAAATACTGTAGTTGAATCACGATATTTTCAACAACAAATTGGCACTAAAATTCAATTGATTGAAACAATGATTATCGGTATCGATGTAAATCATCCCGGATTCTTTGAATGTTCACAAAATTTTCGTGTTTCAATAGCCGCTGCTGTTGGCACCACTAATGTGGAAATGACTGATTTCGTAAATTGTTTTCGTATACAAAAACGTGAAAGAACAATGGAAATTATTGAACAATTGGCAGAAATGATCAAAGAATTGTTGGAAAAATATAAAAAGATTAATGGTGACTATCCAAAAAATTTGATCATTTTTCGTGATGGTGTTTCCGAAAGTCAATTTGATCAAGTGAAAACGATTGAATTGGAAGCCATTCGTCGATTGATTGAACAAACAAAATTGAAGATACGATTCACATTGATAATCGTACAGAAACGTCATCATACACGTTTTGTAAAGACAATGCCAACCAGTTCGGATGCCAATCAAAAAGGTCCACCAACACGAAATGTACCTTGTGGTACAGTGGTCGACAATTCAATTTGTGAACCAAATTTCACTGTGGCCTATGTGAATTCACATTTTTCCAGACTTGTATGTATATTATAATGATGATGATTTTATTTTTCTAAAAAAAAAAAATTTATTTTCAAATCATCTTTGTAGGGCACATCGAAACCAACCAAATATATTGTCATCGAGAATCAATTACAATTTACCAATTCAGAATTGCATAAACTAGCTTATCTTGTTTGCTACAATTCGGTACGTTTTTCATCACCATTATCAATACCAACGCCGATAAAATATGCTGATCTTTGTGCATATAAATGTAAAATTCATTTATTGCATGAATTGAAAAAGAATCCAATTCAATCAACTGATGAATGGAATGTTGAACATTTACAGCAGATGATTACATTTCATGATCCTAAAGCACAGGATTCATTTTTTTATCTTTGAACAACAACAACAACAACAACAACGACGACGACTACGACGATAAATTGACAAAATTTTGGCTTTTTATTCAAAAAAAAAGAGATTTGACATATGATTCGAAATGGATGGGTGGATGGATGAGAAACATATACAATAATCAATGGTTGACAAAAAAAAAAAATTTTAAAAACAAAACAAAACAAAAATTTACGTCAATTCAAATTGAAAAAGAAAATTCTAAACACAAACACATTGCATGCATATCGTTTTTAACCAAGAAAGAATATGATTTTATTCTATATTTCTACCATTATTTTATATTTTAATCCTGATTTTTTTTTGCTGAAAATAAAAAAAAAGAGAATCTTTAAAAAAATAATAATTTTCATTTTCAGTTGTTTTTTTTTCATTCTGGTGATGAATTATCATGATGATCATCGTCGTCGTCGTCGTCGTCGTCGTCATCATGATCATAGTGAAAGTGTTTCCCATTCAGGAATTTCTTTCTTTCTTTCATTCTTTTTTTTTCATGAACTAATTTTTCATTTTGTTGTTGTTGTTGTTGTTGTCATCATTGTGTATACGTGTACACGGTGTGTGTGTGTGTGTGTTCTGGTTTGATTTTTTTTTCAAATTCAAATTCAAACACACACAAGCATTGAAAAAGAATAATGATCATCATCATTAGAATATATAAATATACAATAGTGGTAATCTGAATTAGTCTGCTTTTGTTAATTAACACACACATACACATATACGTAAGCGATGCCATTACCATTTGGCATCTGATTCAACATGAATCTGGTGAAAATTTAAAGACAAAAATACATTGAAAACAAATCAAGACAGACACAAAACATATACACAGAGAGAGAGAGAAAGAGAAACCGATTAAATTTTTTTTTTGTTTTGTTTTGTTTTGTTTCTCTTCAAGTGTTAATTGAAAAGAATGTTGAAAATTAGCTAAATTAATCAATAAATCAATAATTTTTTTACATCATCATAATAATAATGTATAACGATCGTTCATCTTATCATCATCATCATCATCATCATAATTATCATCGTAGTTCACCATCATCATCACCAGCTACAAGTGTCATATCCGATTTTCGTAATATTAAATTTTCCAATATTCATTCCTTTCAATCATCATCATCAGCAGCAGCAGCATCAACATATAATTCATCAACAGAACGTTTGAATTCACCATCATTAAATCGTGGAAAAGATGGTATATTTCGACCGAAAAGTATATTTTCATTGGCCACTGAAATTGATTTTGATTCATCGAATCGTTTATCGAAAACCACCACAACAACACCATTGAGAACGATACCATCGAATCCAAGATTAGCATATCTACGTGATAGTCCATCAAGCCGCACTAGTCCACCACAATATTCATCAACATCACCAATAACTAATAATCGTAATACGGATTTCTATACAAATTTCAATGATAATTTAAGCTATTTAAACAGCAGCAGTAGTAGTAGTAGTAGCCGATCATCTAATCATGGAACAAAATATTCAGCAAATTCATATAGTAAAAATTCATACATTTTACCTGGAAATTATTATCGTTTCACTAATGTTTATCATGCACCGAAATTTCGTGATCGTCCATTATTATCGAATTTGAATCAAAAATTTGGCAAATCATCACCATCAACATCATTGATACGAAATGAACATCGCCGTAGTTCAGGTAGCGGTGGCAGTGGAACTGGATCACCAATACCGCCATCATCATCATCATCAGCATCACGTAAAGAATCACCATCCGGTTCACATCATAATTCATTATCATTATCGAATGATCAATCATCATCTGGATCACCATTATCATCGATAAAACAGCAACAACCAACATTAGGATTGGAAAGAAATAAATTTTTGATTAAATTTCGTGAACATGATAAACCACCATTATTGAATGCTAATCGTCGTAGTTCAATTTCATGGGACATTCCATATGATCACCATAATCAACAACTGAAAAAAAATTTCGGTAGCAATCACAAGATTACTGAAGAATCAATTAAAGAAGTTGAAGATAATAATAATGACAATGAATCAATGATGTTGATTGAAAATTGTCAACAACAAGAAACGAAAAAAGAATCAATCAAAGACATTTCATCTATGAATGGGACAAATTTTTCGAATGATAATAATTTTTTTGTGGATGAAAAAGAAAAACAAACATTAACCACCACCACCACCAACACCCCTTGTCTTACAAGATGGAAAGGTTCATTCAATTTGAATGATGATGCCGGAATTGGTGATGATAATAATAATAATAATGATGATGATGATGATGAATTTAAAAATAAATTCGATGACCTAAATTTTATCGACCCACATCATCCAAATTATGAACCGACTTTATTAAAAGAATCATTGTTGACAACAATCACCAACACCGGCACTGGCTATGGCCAAATTCAACAACAAAATGATGAAATTCACCGGATAATATTATCACAAAAAGCTTATGATTTGAAGCCAAAATCAAAACGAAAACCAGTGAAAAAAATTAAAGATAAAGATCAAACAACAACAATGGTGAATAACAAGGAAACGATGGATAAAGCGATGATGACGAAACCACCAAAACGAGCAGTACAACGAACAAAATCATTGAAATTATCGAAAAATTTTTCCACTGTGATTGATATACCTTATTGTGATCAAATGATTGAAATGAAAATTTCTGCAAATGAATTGGTCGTCGATAAAGAAAAAGAAGTGAAAAAGAAAATCAAAACAAAACCGGATAAATTAACAATTGTTGATCAATCTAGCATTCAGTCGGATGGTAATAAATTGAAACAATTGAAAAAATCGGCCACATCTCAATTGCCAATTCTGTCGCCTAAAACACCACCTACAACTGATGATGGAAATTCAATGAAAATTTTGGTGGCAAAAAGAAAAAAACCAAAACAAACACAAGATGAAAACCAAATGAAAAATGATCAATCTGTTATCGACAAGAATCAATCGACAGAGATTGAATCGAAAAAAGTTCCTAAAATTAAACTTATTCCAGAAAAATTAGATCCAATAAAACCATTGGAATTGAACGACAACGAGAAGACATTATTGTCACCTAACGAAGCGACAGCGAAGAAAACGTCGGAAGAAGGTGAAAGTTCACAGAAACGAATTGTAGAAAAATCCAATGAAGGTTTGTGTTGATATCCTGTTGATTTTGGTTAACATTTTTTTCCACTTTATACTAGAATTAAAACCAAAAACAAAATGCAAAGACAAACCAATGTCACCGGTTTTATTGTCGCCGCCTAAATCGCCTGAAATAAAACCACAACATTCGCCGAAATTGATTGAAGATCCTGTGTCCAAAATCAAACAAAAATCACTGAATGAAAAGCCAAAATCTCCGAAATTGGAAACAAATGAATCGAAATCGATTGTACCAGAAGAATCGAAAAAGACAAAATTTTCATTCAATAAATCCTCAGTGACAATGGAAAAAGAATCCGAAATACAAACAGAATCTGAATCGATAATTGTATCGCCACCAAAATCACCGAAAATTATTCAATCACCTAAATCAAATGAAAATGGTTCAGCCATTGTTAAACGAACAAAATCGAAAAAATCTGAAATTAACAATGAAAAATTTAAATCAGATGATAAACGACTATTACAACAACAACAACAACAAAAAAACAATCAAATAACATTGGCATCATTCATACAGTAAATACCGATGCCAATCAATTGTCAAATAGAGATGAAGAAATCAATCAAATGAATAAATCATCCACATCACAACAGCAGCAGCAGCAACAACAGCAGCAGCCAAAAGAGCAATCAAATAAAAAGAAAAAGAATATTAAAACATCGAAAAATGGTAAGTAAAATGTGAATTTAATTTAATTTTCCCAGACGATTCATTTCCTTAATTTTTTACCACAAAAAAAAAAAATCCAATCTGATTATCATTATTTCTGTCTGTGTCTGGTTCGTATAGACAAGTTTTTTTTTTGGTTTCTTGTTTGCCTGGTGAATTCATACAAATCAAAACAAAACGGTCGAGTTCAAAGATTATTAAGTCATTTAAATGGATTATTATATTTTTCTTTCAAGGTTTATTTGTTTGTTTTTTTTCGCCAAATTTTTTTTCACTTGGCAACCAATTTGATGATGATGTAGATGTATATAATAACGATTATAAATTTCATCTTTTTTTTTTGCTTGTAAAATGTATATTAAAAAATCTCGAATTTCGCTTGTCACCAAGACGCCATATACATATATAAATGAATGAATGAATTAACGATTTTTATTCACCGGCCTTATTCGGTTTGATTGGCATATCATCATCATCGTTTGAATGTTTGAAAACAAGTTAAAAAGTTTATTTTTAAAAAATCTGAAAAGCAGAAATGTTTCACAGTTACAAAGACATATGGTTTCCGTTTAGTGTTTTTGTTTTTTGTTTTTGTTTCTATTTCTATTTTGTTTTCAAATGATGATCATGATCATCATCATTTAATCATGCATTTAAAACTATTTTAACGAGAAATGATTTTGAAAATTTTATTTTTCATCAATTTTTTTTCTGTTTATCTCTATATATACGTAGAATATTCCAGGCGTTGAAATTGAAATTGAACACTTTTTCACACACACATACATTTGAAATGGCAATAAATATGTGGACACTATTTCACAAGTTTCATTTTTTTTTTGTCACACACACACACACAAACATAGCACAAGTAATAATATAATAATTCTATATATAGAAATTGCAAATTATTGCAAAGATGAATATAGAGATTGATGATGAAAGATGAAAAAAAGAGAAAACAAATGAAATTCAATCGTCGTCGTCGTCGTGCAGATATTTTCCATTCAAATTCAATTCTTCATTCTGTGTGTGTGTGTGTGTGTGGTTTCAAAAGCGAAAACAAAACAAAACAATGAGACCAAATATCACTAGATTATGGTACATTGATCTTTATCTGAAAAGTTTTGTTGCCATTTTCATATTGTTATATATATCATTTTTTATCATTTTAATAATGATTTTCTATCGACGACAATCAACGAAATAACAAGGTTGATTGATATTGGTGATTGATTAAAAAAAATTGATTCATTTTTTTTTCTCTCTCTTCATGAAAACAGAATCAACAAAAGAAATCGCCACCCTATTACTACCATCACCACAACCACCACCACGAACAACAAAATCTGTTGAAAATGAATCAACAAATCATCCGGTTTCATTATCATCACATTCATTACAATCAAGTCCATCGAATTCGGAGAAAAAATTCGGCAACACTACCAACGACAAACAACATAACGGATGCTGATTTTGATTCGAATAATAATAATTCAATGAAAATTCAGATAAAAATTAATCAACAAGATCCATTTCAACGAGGACGAAATGCACATCAAAGAAAAATTCGTTTTCGTGAATATGGAATTGATGATTTCCGTTTCCTTACATTATTAGGTCGTGGTAGTTTTGGTAAAGTAATGCTTGCCGAATTGATCAATCATGATTGCCATTTTGCTGTGAAATGTTTGAAAAAAGAGACTGTTATCGAAGATGATGATGTTGAATCCATTATGATTGAACGTAAAGTGCTTGCATATGGTACATCACATCCATTTATTTGTAAATTATTTTGCACATTTCAAACGGAGGTTTGTTTGTTTGTTTGTTTATTTGATTGATCCAAAACAATTGATTTCTCATTTCAAATCAATAGAGTCATTTATTTTTTTCAATGGAACTTTGTTCCGGTGGTGATCTTATGTTTCATGTGCAGAAAGAAGGAAAATTTTCTGAAAATAAAGCAAAGTAAGTAAATGATGATGAAACAAACTTGGATTGATTAATGTTTTTCTTTTTGTTTGATTTTTTTTTTTTGATGATAATTAGATTTTATTCATCCGAAATGATTTGTGCACTTTGGTTTCTACATAAACGTGGTATAATTTATCGTGATCTCAAATTGGATAATGTTATGGTTGCTAATGATGTGAGTTTTGTTTGGATGCAAAAAAAATTTTTTAATCACTATTCTATTCATAAAACAGGGACATATTCGTTTAGTTGATTTTGGAATGTGTGTTGGTAAAATGTATCGTGAAGAATTTTTACCATCAAATTTTTGTGGTACCCCTGAATATATGGCACCAGAGGTATAATTTTTTCATGAGAATTTTGTTTACTGATTAGACAATCTTTTTTTTCATATATAGATAATAAAAGGAATAAAATACAATCATTCAGTTGATTATTGGGCATTAGGCGTTGTCATATATGAAATGTGTGTGGGCACATCACCATTCAATGGTACGGATGAAGATGAACTATTGTGGAATGTATGCAATACTGAAGTACATTATCCAAAATTTCTTTCTGAACAAGTGAAAAATTTAATTGTTCTGGTAAGATGGAATGATTTGATTTTTTCACAAGTTATAAATTAATCATGTCGTTCTTTATTTATTTGTTTGAAAGTTATTGAAAAAAAATCCACAAGAAAGACTTGGCTCACCAAATAGTACGGCTGGTGAAATTGTTCAACAATCATGGTATCATGGTGTACAATGGGATATGGTGGAAAAATGTCGTTGTAAACCACCATTTATACCACAATTGGTATGTATTCATGAATTTTGAATGATTAGTGATTTGAAAATTTAAAAAATTTTTATTATTTAATCACAACAACCAGGCACACGATGCAGATGTATCATATTTTGATCAATATTTTACAAAAGAAATTCCATGTATAACACCATGTGAAAAACCGATTAATGAAAATGATCAGCTATTGTTTCAAGGATTCAATTATACGAATCATAGAATGACTGAATGAAACAAAATCTAATCTCTTTCCGGTACATGAAATCATCATCACGTAATAAATATACAAACAAACACTGATTGAAAGATTATTTTTATTAAATTAAAAAACTATTTTTTGTTGTCGTTTTCGGATATGTTGTTGTTGATTATCGTGTTAATTATTACAAGATATTTGAATATGACATCCGTATGCTCAATAAATATCATTTACATTTACATTTTTGTTGTTGTTGTGAGAGAAATTTTTTTTGTTTTGTTTTGTTTTGTTTTGTTTTCTGGTATAAAGATTTTCCATATGTCACGTGTTTGAAAAAACAAAATTTATCTGTGTATGTGGTTGATGATGAAAATTTTTTTTTTTACAATAACAACAACGACAACACACTTTTTGAACACGTGTCAAACTAAATTTATAACAATCTAATGATTATCAAACATCGTGTGATCGATACAATTGAAAAAAAAAATTTTTTTTGAATTTGAATTTTGTAAATTGTGTTCATGTGTGTTTGTGTGTTTAATCAACGATGATGATGATGATGATGATGGTTTGCATAGATTGCACCGCTGGTTGTATAATAATCATCAACAGGGGTCAATGTTGTTGCTGTTGTTGATGATGATGATGATGGAACAATTCCCAATTCATTTGATTGATTCATCATTATCATTGTCATCGATTGATGATTCGATGTTGATGTTGATGACGATGGAATCGATGTAATTGAATGCGGTGTACGTACGAATGGTGAAAATGCACCCATCGGATTACGTTGTTGAATATTAATTCCAAGATTTTCCCAATTAATCCATGAAAGTCTGGCTGTTAAATCTATACAACATATGATTGATTGATTGATTGATTTAAATCAATTGATAAAAATGATCAAATCACTTACCACTAGTATTCCAATCAGCGGTATGTTCACCTTTTAATTCACCACGTAAACATTTTTCAATATAGGTAATTGGATCCAATTCTGATACAAGTATCTCTTTTAATAATGCAATATATGCAATGGCTAAACGTAATGTATCAATTTTCGAAAGACGTTTTTCAAATGGAAATGTTGGCACATGTAATCGTAGCTCTTCGAATGCCGAATTTATGCTCAACATTCGTTTACGTTCACGTACACTTGCTATGTATTATATATGAATTTGATGATGTTTAAAAATTATTATCATTATGCACATTTTTTTTTTGGTTAATTTAAATTTACATACAATTCTGCGTATTAATCATTGAATTTGGATCTTGTAATTGATTTGTGCTTTTATTGGAACAACAATCATCGCCACTTGAAACACCGCCGCCGCCGCCACCACCACCACCACTTATACCAATTTCATCTTCATTCACTGCTGTTGTCATTATTGTTGATGTTTCTTCAGTGGCCAATAAATCTGATTGATCAATAATCGATAATTTTGATCGTTTTATCGACGATGGTTTCGGTGATTTTGTTGTTGTTGTTGCTGTTGTTGATTGATCAGGAATTTTTTCTTTTTGAGAAAATGAAAAAAAATTTTTGAGAAATTTTCCGGAAACAAAAAATTTCTTTGAAAATCATAATCTTTACCTTCATTATTCATATTCATATCATCATCATCATTATGATGATCTAATTTACCGGATTTATTACGTTTACCACGATTATTTGTTGTTGTTGTTGTTTTTGTTTTATTTTCCATCATCATTATTTCATTCTCACCGGATATTGATGGTGACATTGTTGTTGTTGTTGTTGTTGTTGTCGATGAAGATGGTGATGATGATGATGATGATGGTGGTGATGATGATGATAATACAGCCGAAGGAGTAACAACAACATTAGCAGCAGTTGTAGTGGTAATATTATTCATTGATGATAATAAAATTTGTTCAATGGTTTTATTATTCGATCTGACCAAATAGGATCTATCCTGCGTTGTTGTTGTTGTTGTTGATGATGATAATGGTGATGTCCAAATTGTTGCTGATGTTCAAAAATTAAATTCGATACTGGTGTTGGTGTATCAAAAATTTGAATTGAATGATGATGATGATGATCTGTTGTCTCTAAAAATGTATTACGATGATGATATTGACTAGTAGTGGATGATGGATATTGATGATGATATGGTAAAATACAACATGATGATGATTCTGAATATGTTGGATAAGAATAATCAATCAATTGATGATTATAATATGGCGATGATGTTGATGTTTGATTATAATGAAATTGATTTTGATTTAGTTGTTGTTGTTGTTGTTGTTCATTATGATGATGTTGATGATATGAATCAAATAAATGATGCTGTGTATGTGGATGTGGATGTGGATAATGTAAATTTGTATGTTGTGTATGCTGATCAATAGCCATTGAATTCTGTTCAATATTCTGATGATGATGATGATTATTATTTGTTGAATATGATGATGATGATGATGATTCAAATATTGTTGTTGTTGTTGTTGTTATTGGTTGAATATTGGAATTCTGTTGTTGTTGATTAAAATGGATTGGTGGAACAGTTATTGTTGTTGTTGTTGTTGTCGTTGTTGCTGATGATGATGATGATGATATAGGTCGACTACTACCACCACAACTACCAATGACATATCCAGATGATGATGATTGTATGGTTTGTTCTGGTGGTGTTGTTGTTGTTGGTGGTGGTGGTGATGGTGGTGATATTCTTGACGCTCCAAATGAATGATGAAGATGATGATGATGTTTTGATTCTGTATATGACATTCTTATATGATGATGGTGTCACTTTTTCTCTGTGTTCCAAAACAAAACAAAAAAAAAAAAATCAATAAGTCTGTTGCTACTACTACTACTAATACTACTAGTACCAGAAATTCAAAATATTTTTTTTCCACTGTTCCCCTTTAGGGCACATACACACACACACATTCAATGAAATTATTAATATTCTTGAATCATCGAACAGCTTCACCAGAATTGAAGATGCCAGATCCATACATACACACACACACACACATAAACACTTGAGATGTGAATGAATGAATTTGATTGGATTTTGCTTTTTTTTTTTCTTTTTTTTTCATTTACCAGATCAGATTTGAATGAATTTGTCGTTTGTCGAATTCTGTTTCAGTGTGTGTATTGGACACTTGTATGCTTTGTCAAGAACAAAACAAATTCAAAAAAAAAATGAATGATATCTCTGCTACCAGATGACAACAAAAAAATTTTTTTTTGGTTGTTTTGTTCCTGGATCAGACATACACATACAACCAGAAAAATGATGATGATGATAATGATATGACATAAAAATATGCTTGAACAACATTAAAACAAAACTTGATTTTAATAATAAGTTAATTGTCGAATACAGACTATAACGAAATATTTTCCATTTTGATTGATTGATTGATCAGTAGAAACAAAATTTGACGAATCTTTGTTGTTTGATGATGAATTTCACTAATTAGATATTCACAAATTGTCGTTGTTGTTCAATCAAATCAGATTGAATCATTTTTTGACAATAAAATGCTGATGGTGATGGTGATGATGAAACAAAACTGTCGAATACAGTGCGTTCGTGTGTGTGTGTCTGTGTCAACTCAATTCAAATCATCAAATAGAATTGTTTTCCAGAAAAAAAACTTTGTTTAATATCAACCAATGATCATCATATTAATCTGTCCCAAACAGATTTCTTTCTCTTTTTTTTCACTCAATTCAATCGACAATGATGATTCTACTGATGTGATGCTAGAATCCATGGTACTAGCCAAGAAAAAAATAATAACAAAATCTAAATTGAAAATTAAAAAAAAAAAATCAGAATTCAAATCACGCCTCAATTCATCTATACACATACACACACACACACACACAGGATTCTTTGCTATGATGAAATTGAGCTGTAGTGGGTGGAGCTTTTTTTAGTTCCAAAAAAAAAAAAATTCCATTTTCCTCTCTGAATTTTTTTTGTCATCTGTATTTGACGACTTTTAATTTTTTTTCCTTCTTCTTCTGCATCTCTTTTTCTTGTTTTCCATGTTTCAGTAATAGTTCCAGAATCTGGTTTTGACAGTCATCGTTATTTTTTTTGTTCTTCAAAATACACTACCAAGAAAGAAGCCTGAAATTGACAACAGTCATTTGTTCCAGAAATCAGTGTGTGTGTGTGTATTTGTTCCAGTATAATGATGAATAAAATGGATCGAATTTGGTACTACTACTACTGTGCGGTTCCAAGTATCATCACAACCTATAAACTAAAAACAAACCAATAAGCATGCGTTATATGCAAATGAAACCGCCCACAAAAGACAAAAGTTCCAACCCAAACACACACAAATTATTTATTGTTATGATTGGATATTATAATAAACCATCACCAGAGAATAACAAAAAAATTGATTGATTTTCTTTCCAGAAAAATTTTCTACATTATGGAACCAAATAAAATGAATATGGTCCTTCAATCTGTGGTAATAAATGTTGTTTACAATATGTATAAACCAATGTGCCAAATAATTTCAATAAAATATAAATCAAATCGATTGGATGATTAATCAATGATAGATTACGTAATGACATGAATGATTGTGCTGTATAACGATAATTCTGATGTTTCTGTTGTTGGTGGTGATTTTGTTGATTATCATCATTACAGGTACGATTAAAAATGAATGGTGATTGTAAATGGCAATAATTTTTATTCTGATTCTGATTCTGATTTCGTTTCATCCAGAATGGAATATTATGTCGATTTAGATTACGAAAACCGCCGCCGCCACCATTACGACTTATTATTGATTCACAACAAAATTCTGGTAATCGATGATCATCGATACTATTGTCATCATTACTGATATTTTTATTTGAAATTTTTTTCGTATTCTTAATTAAACCAAGTAAATCTGATGGTGATTGCCAACCACAACAACGATTCATTTGATGCCAATAATAAACATCTGAATGTTGACATTGTTGTTGTTGATTTGTTGTTGTTGTTGTTGTGGATCGATAATTTCTTAAATCATTACCACTATTACTACTACTACTACTACTACCACGTTGACAAACATAATCACCAATACGATTGATTTGAATATAGAAATCTTTTTTAACAATTTCTTGATAAAAATTCCAATCCATTTGTTTTTGATATAAAATCAATGCCAATGACATTGTGATCGATATTAACATTAATGAATCATATGCTAACCATTTATCATGATAATTTGTAATGAATATATGATAAAACAATAGTATAGATGCAATCATATTGAACAATTGAATTGTCATCAATATTGTATAGAAAAATATTATCAAACATGACTGTTGATGTTGTTGTTGTTGTTGTATATGATGAATAATCGATGGTAAATAATATTTGCCCAATAACATTGGTGCAAAAATCAATTCCAACGTAGCACCACTGATGATTAATAGGCCACAAATTAATAGAAAACAATTTCGTATTATTGACAATAATTCATTGATTAGATTCATCGATTATAGACAATTGGAAATTGGTGGATTTCAAAAAAAAAAAAAAAAAATTTTCCACATTCATAACGTTTGGACATTCCATTATATTCGCTGTTGGTTATTTAATTGTAGAATTTTTTTTTCATTTTGAATTATTAATTACATTTTTTTTTATTTGTTTGCCACCGAAAACTTTCTCTTGTGGTGAATTTATTTATGGAAAAATTCCCTTCTCTTTGTAACAATTTTTTTATTATTATTATTCTCAATCGATAATGACACGCGTTTAGCACGTTATATATTGTCAAATGGTCACACGTTGCATTGTTGCGTTTCTCTTAAATTGAAGTGATGGTTAAATAATAGGAAAAGACAACAGCAGCAACGACAAAAAAATGTTTCAATTTGTCATAATCATCATTATCATCATCATCAGTACTTATTTAGTGTAAAAAAAATTTGAAAATCACTGAATTGAATAAATTTGAATAAAAAGTGTACACGCGCGTCTATTTACTAACATAATCACACCACCATTATCAGCATTACAGCAGCAGCAGCAGCAATAATCGTCGATTATTCGTTGATGCTGTAATAATCAATTAGTAGTAGTGAAATGGTTTTTTGTTGTTGCCTCGTGTATGTTGCTGCATACAATTACACAATGGATGGATATGGGTCTCATTCATTCTTTCATTCATTCATTCGATCGATAGATCGATTAACCGAGAAAGAGAAAATAAAACAGACACATTCTATCACCACCACCACCACCACCAGCGTAACCACAACCAATTGTCACACACACACGTCATTGTCAATCCAGTGTTCAATTGCCGTGGTTTTCATTATATGATATGATGAAAAGAAAATGGTAAGATTTCGGTACAATTTTTTCATGTTTTGCTGAGTTTTTTCTTCATTTGAAATGATACGACATTTTTGAACAGCCAAAAGAAAACAAAACAAAAATTCGAATTTCGAATGTCAACATGCACAGTCATTATCATTTTTTTTCGTTCGAATGAACGAATCAATCGATCTCATCAATATTGATTTCTTTCTCTCTTTCTGCCTCTCCATCGAGGATATCCGAAATCAAAATCATTTTTATTGTGACATTTTCACACACACACACACACACACACACACCAGACCAACAAAAACATATTGAAATCAATCTAATCGCCAAACAAAACCATTATACAATCAAAATTAAACTAACCATGTATCAATTTCAATGAGTGCTAGCTAGTATCGATTATTTTGTGCGTCATTTGATCCATTCATTCATTGAAACATACACACACACACACACACACAAACAATGAATACCCGATTAAGCATTGGTAAGAGAGTATAATTGTCACTGTGTCAAATGATGTGTGTGTGTGTGTGTGAACAAACCGATAAAAGAAAGAGAAAAAATTTAACCGTAAACCAATCATGGATGAATTGATGCATGAAATTTTTTTACGGTCATCATCATCATCAACAATCATCAACAACAACAACAACAACAACAAAACCAAAATGATAATCGATGAATTGTAAAGCACCAGCATGGTGTTTATCGTGGGAAAAAAAATTTTTTGTTTTTCTCTCTTTTTTTTAAATTCGTATGAAAATGAAAAGATTCCATGATGATTAAGAATCGATGAAAAAAAAAAAATCTTTTCAAAGTTTTTTTTTGAATTTTGATTCAATCTCTCTCTCACTCATAATCCTCCAGCAGAATGGATTTTCAATTTTCTGCATTTGTTTTTTTCTTTGATTGAAAAACAACAAACGACAACGGCGAAAATCCGTAATCCACACACACACACACACACACGCACGTACTAATCCTGAAACAGAAATAATGAAATCATCATCATATTGTTTGTTGTGATGAATTGTTTAATATTCTTCTGTTGATTTTCTGTGTATAATTGAATTTTAATTAACAAAATTGAAAAAAATTGAATGCTAATTCTTCGTTTTTTTTTCGTTCAATTTTTTCCAGGAATTTCAATTTTCGAATGTTCAAAAAAAACAACTCAATGAATAACGCCATCTGTAGGCGTTGTTAAGTGGAAAAAACATCAATTATTCTGGAAATAATGTATTCGTTTTCGTCGTCATATTCACCATTCTTTAGGAATTCTTTATGCTGATTATTATGAGGTCAATGAATCAAATTACAGTCAAATTCTTGAAAATAAATATCCAACATAATAAATTTATAATGTAAGTAATAAACTATTGTCGTCAGTGTCAAGTAACTAAAAATGTTTTTTTTCATCTTATGAAAACGAACTTTTTTTTTCGTTTTGTTTCCCCATTCCATTATTATATTTTATTTATTCAATTCAAATCAATTTCGTTTTCTATTGAAGCGCATGTGTCATGAAGAATTTCATCATCATCATCATCATCATCATCTTGAAGAGATTTTTGAGGATGCAATCAAAAAAAAAAAAAATCAAACCAACAACAATCATTGTGTGGGATGTCAGATGATGATGTTGTTGTTGTTGTTGCTGCTGCTGCTGTTGATTACTAACAAAAAAAGATGCTGCCAAATCAAAAAAAAAAAACACCACATGCTCAGAAATGGAAAATGACTGTTTATTGATGATGATGATTATGATTATAATCCACAAGACATGTACTTGTGAAGACGAAGAAGAAGAAGAAGAAGAAAAAGAAGAAAAAATACTTTTTATAACGTTTCCATGGATTAAAGAGAACGAGAGAGAATCTGTAAAGGCAAAAATAGAAATATAAAATAAAGATTTGTGAACATATAGATCATCATCACACCAAGAAAAGTTTTTTGTCCTCTTCGCAAACTACAACAACAGCAACAACAACAGCAGCAGAAGCAGCAATAATTTGTTTACTTTATTTTAAAGTGATTTCCGAATTTTTATTTCTCTTGAAACATTTCATCAAGGTAATCGATCCTTTTATTTGAATTGTGAAAAAAAAACTAAAAAATCGACCGTTACTCTACAACGAAAACGAAGAAATGATGTTGATGATGATGATGGTGATACGTCGCTGAATTTGATGTTGCGCCAAATGTGTTGTTTTCTCTTTCACTAGAATATTCTTTGTTAATCATTTGAGAATTTTTTTTTCGTTAACGACGAAGTTTTTCAGAAAAAAAGTGCAATTTTTTTTCAACGACGTATTATTCATCCAGTAAATTCTTCAGGAAAAAAATTCATAAAATTTTAAAAACGAAAAAAAACAATGCCTACACCTATCGATAAACATAGTTCAATAATGGCTGACGAAACATCTTCAACGTCTTCATCATCATCATCATCATCGTCATCATCTTCAACATTGACCGCATCAATTGGAAAATTATTATCATCATCAGTATCAACGAAATTTCAACAAATTATTGAACAACCATTTGAAGAAGATCCCGGTATTAATATTGGTCATATAACAGTATCACATAATGGCCATGTAATTATGTTGTCTGGATTCAAAGGTTATAAGGTAAAATCATTTTGTATGTTTTTTTATATTATATACATAAATCAGTCAAAAAAAAAAATTTGAAATTTTCCTATCCATCCAACGTGTTTATGACACACATATGATCAAGCTTGGTGTATACCATGCCATGTCAGTTCATATTATCAATTATCAATTATCAATGATCAATTATCAATTATCAATGATCAATGATCAACAAGAATAATAAATATTGGAAAACTTTCGTCTTCGATTTGTTTTTTATTCCAATTCATGTTGTCGAAGGACATTTTTATTGATGATCACTCACGTGTTGTCATGTGTGTGTGTTTTTGTCTGTTTCGATATGATTATCATCATTATCATCATTTTTGTGTTCCACATGATGATTTCGAAACATGAAACCAGTTTTATTTTATTTTCCAATGAATGATACTATCAAGCACTGACTGATTGATGTTATTGATATGATTGTTAGTGGTTGTTGTCAAATGATAATAGCGAATGAATGAATTCAACACATTGATGATTGGAAATAGTTTTTTTTCTGTGTCTAAAATCGTAAAAGTTTTCCAGAAAAAAAAGAGTTCAAAAGTTACAAATGCTGACAGCTAAAAATCAATCGATTAATTTTTTTTTTGATTTTTTTTTTTGTTCATTTAATCATTTTTTTTTATAAAATCTAGGAAAACTCTACGGCTTTTTATCGGCCATCCGAAGAGATTTGGATTTATGATCAAATTGTAGAAAAATGGTATGTACTGTGATTTTTTTTTGTGATTTTTGAATCTGATTTTTTTTTCGTTTTTAGGATTAAAAAAATTTGTTCCACTGAAACTGGTGATAAAGATGATATGCCATTAGAACGTAGTAATGCATGTGCAACAATAATCAATGATCATCTTTATATGTTTGGTGGATTCTCTGAAGAAGGCAATCTAAATACATTATATCGATTGAATCTTTGTACATTGAAATGGTGTCGTATAAAACCTAATAATGATAATGGTAGATTAGAACCATTACCTTGTGATAAAAATGTTTGCTGGGAATATGATGAAAAATTCTATTTATTCGGTGGTTATGGTCCAGTACCACGTGTTTGGAATGAAGATTTTAATTTTCAATTTATATTTGATACATCATCACATTGGCATTATGTACGTGGTTGGAATAATCAATTAGTTTGTTATGATCCTGAAAAGAATTGTTGGGAATGGCCCCAACACTATGGTCAAATACCATCAGCACGTGCAGCATGTGCAGCATCAAAAATTGGTGATAAAATTTTTCTATTTGGTGGCCGCATGAATCGTGAACGTATGAATGATATGTACATGTTAGATATGCCAACAATGCAATGGACGCAGATACAACCAAATAATATTGAACATAATGTACGTGGACGTTCATGGCATACACTTACACCGGTATCTGATCAAATGTTAGTCCTATATGGTGGTTTTTCACATGATAATCAACCACTGAAAGATTGTTGGATTTTCGATACTCGTTCATATACATGGCGTGAAATTGTATTACCATTTGAAAAACCACGTTTTTGGCATTCAGCAACATTATCAACATTTGGTGAAAGTATGTAAACCTAAAGATCATCATCTAGAATCCATAATAATTTTTTTTCTACCTTTCAGTATTAGTACTTGGTGGTGCAACAAAAGAATTGATTAGTTCTTATCATCGAAATCCTAAATATAATGTAAGTATTTTGTTTTTTCCAATAATCACTCAATTAATTTCAATTAATTTATATATAGCATATATTTGCCAAAGATATGTTTACAATAAAATTTCAACCACAATCATTATTTCGTCTTTGTTTATCAACTATTTCAACAAATTTACAATTATCAGAACAATTATTTCATATATTACCAATCGATATATTGGAAATTGTTTTCAAACGTTGTCTCACCAATCACAATCGTTTACGAATTATTAAATTACAGAAAAATCATCATAACAGTAATAATAATAACAATGATACAGATCAAGATGATAATGATGATGATGATGAACGAATGAAAAATTTGTAAAAAGTCATAAATCCTGACCAAAACATGATGTCATGTCATTTCAATCAATCAATGACAATAAACAATGAATTTGAATATATACACACGAACACGCACACATCACATACCGGTGATATTTGATCCGCGAAAAAATTCCGGGAATTCAAAAAAAAATTATTTGACATATTCAAATGTGATATATTCTCCTCTATAAATCAATCAATCAATCGATCATCAATCATTTTATTATGAAAAATTGTAATCTCATCTACACACGAAAAAGAAATTTTTTTTTGTCTGTCTGATATTTTTATTGATAATGAAAAAATTTTTTTTTTAATAATTTGAAAAAAAACAATTCATCATTTCTTATTCATAATCTGTGCAATCTGTTTCTTTTGTTTTTTAATCTTTGATGCATTCAAACGATTTTTCATTGATTTTTTCATCAATTTTTTTGATTTTTTAATAGCCAATTCACCTTGAAAACCATCTGATGATGATTTATGTTGTTTTTTTGTCACTTTATTTTTGATTTTATCTGCCTTTTTTGTTTTTGACGATGATGATGATGATTCTTCATTATATTTATATGGTTTAATACGAATTTCACGATTCTTGAACATTTGACCATTTTTTTCCATTGCTAATACAACGGAATCTTTGGTTTTGAAATTGACATAACCAAATCCTTTGCCCATTCCTGTTTTTGGATCACGTACAATACGTACGGATTTGATTTCACCACATTCAATGAAAAATTCACGTAATTCATCTTCATTTGTTTTGAATGATAAATTTCCCAAAAATAATGACATTGAATGATCATAATGGCGATCATTTTCCAATGTATCAACCTGAATGGTATGTTCTTCAAATTTTGTTCCATTTCTAGTCAAACAAGAAAAAACAAAAATGAATTGAAAACATCAAATCATAACAATTACAATCACTTACAATTCCAATGCATTTTTTACGGCTTCTGGTTGTTTAAATAAAACATATGCATTAACTGTATTTTTATTTGGATTAACCTGATTACTTTGGTGGTATGATGGTTGGATTAGTTTTTTTTTGTTCAGTGTAAAAAAAATTAATTACAAATAATCAACACTTACGAAAGATATGCTACTTTTTCGATAATGTAATCTTGGCCGGTGCTACACAACGAATTCGAATGCTTATAACTTTACCATATTGTTGTAGGATTTTTTTCAGATTCTATGAAGGAAAAATCAAAAAAAAACAACAAACGATTTGATCACCAACAGTTTCAGAAAATACAAACAATTTACAACATACTTTCATTGGAAAATTAGCCGGAAGATTACCGATGAACAATGTACGCAACTGTTTTCCCGATGAATCTTGTTCGGATTTATTTGTCGACGAATTCTTCGATTGTTCAACATCATCATCATCATCATCATCGTCGCTGTTATCTGCAGCATCAATTTCTGGATCAACAACAAGAGAATCATCTGCTTCTTCTTCATCTTCTATTGGTTCGATTGTTGTCGTAAGTTTTTTGCCTTTCTTTTTATTCTTCATTATTGATGATTCATTTTTCAAGACGACAAATTTTTTATTCTTATTCATCAACATGGATTTTTTCTTATTCTTCATCACAATCTTTTTGGCTTTCATGAATGGTGATAATTTAGTTTTCATAGTCCTTTCTTTACGTTCAACCAGATCGGTTAGACTGCCAATTTGAAAACCATCAACCATTTTGAATTATCGATGTCAAATGTAACAAATTGAAAAAAAACAAGCATGTATACACCAACCACGTGATTCGATTCTCAAAGGTTCGTTCATAAATCAAATGACAATTTTTTTTGTAAAAAAAATTTGATAAATTTTAATTATATAACTTAATAATGTTTTTTTTTCCATTTAAAATAACCAATCAGTCATCTTCAGCCAGAAGTTCATCATCATCTTGAAATAGACTTTCATCCACTTTAATATCCACATCTAAATCATCGCCAGCAATAACATCGGCAAAATTTAGATCCGAATCAATAAGATTCTTATCCTGTAGAAACATTTCTTTACCGGTTAATTTTCCTGTTTCATCTTTGAAATAGACTTTCATCCACTTTAATATCCACATCTAAATCATCGCCAGCAATAACATCGGCAAAATTTAGATCCGAATCAATAAGATTCTTATCCTGTAGAAACATTTCTTTACCGGTTAATTTTCCTGTTTCATCTTTTTTCATTTCTTTATTTTTAGCAGCTAGTGTAGCCATTTCAGCATCAAATTTCATTTTCCAAGCTATGAATGTTTCCACCGTTACACGTGTACCTTCGAATTTTTTTCGTTCCATTTCTTCAATCTCTTTTTTTCTTTGTTCTTCTGCTTGTTTCCTTTCGATTATTTTCCGCTCCTTTAATGTATTCAACCATTCGGATGCACGTGTAACCATTGTGAATACCATTACCATACCGATATTATCAGCAATCATATCATTTAGAATGTCAACGATTTCTAATTCATCACAATCTTCTAGATTTTTTGATGAAAATATTTCAATTGTAGGACCAACATCGGGATAATTTTTCGGTAATTGAAACAATAATTCAAGTTCATCTATAGAATCAATGGAAGAAAAAGGAAAATTTAATTAAATCAAGAAATGGCTTGACACATTTTGCACAACATACATTTATCACAATCATTATCATCATCTTCATTGAATTCACTGGAGATTTTGATTGAAAATTTTGGCAATTGATTTTCATTCAATAATTTCTTATGATCACCATCACCATCATCATCATTGAATACTGAAATGATTTTAAAGAGAGAAAAAATTATTTTTTTTCAAAATTCAAAATCTTCAACACATACATGTTAATTCTGTTGGATAAATTGCTTTCATTGCATCCAATTCATCAGCCTGTTGTTCTTCGTAACTCATGATGGTATGGGAAAATTTAAAAATTATTTTTTAAAAAAATTTGGCCGATAAAAAAATCAGTCATGTGGCAATCATTTTCGAAACAGATGAATTTTTTTTAGTTTCGTTTTGTTTACCGTACACAAATGCCATGACCACGTGTGTTTACGTGACAAGCACGTGCTGTGGTGTGAGCTTGATGTTTTTTTGATTGAAATTTTTTTCCAAAATTTTGTATAAATTATGGGCATTACAAAACAATATCTACGATGGACAGCGGCTGAAAAATTCGGTGTTATCGGTTCACCATGTCAAGCAATACAATTACTGCATCAATGGCCTGGAATGACAATGACGGATCGTATTTGTGCTACAGCAGCTTGTGAAGATATTGTTTTCTGGGATCTTAAAACATGTCAACAAATTGAACGAATAGATATTAATGATGATGATGGTTCAAATTCATCATCGGCGATGACAAAAAATTCAATGATATCATGTATGGCATTCAATGATAAAAGTATGGTCATTTGTAGTGGCCATCATGATGGCTCAATTCGATTGTTTGATTGTCAAGAAGATAGAAAATTAAAAGTTATATTTTCTGGCCATCGTGGCTGTGTTACATGTATCGCATTGGATCAAACTGGTCTACGTATTGCTAGTGGTGGAAAAGATACCGAAATTGTCATTTGGGATGTTGCCAATCAATCTGGCCTATTTCGTCTTAAAGGTCATAAAGGTCCAGTGAATAAATTGGAATTCATGAGACAACATCCTTGGATATTGATATCGGCGTCAAGTGATACGTATATAAAATTATGGGATCTTGAAACACAACATTGTTTTCGAACAATAGTTGGACATCATACTGAAGTATGGAGTTTTGTTCTATTACGTAATGATACGGAAATCATTTCTGGTGGCTCTGATTCTGAACTAAAAGTTTGGAAAATAACATTTGCCGAAGATGAACAAGAAGATTTTCAGAAAAAATTGGCTGAATCTCGTGCTAAACGATTGAAACGATTACAATTGCTTGGTGATGATAATCATGATGATGATGATATCAACAATGATGAAGATGTTGATAATTTTATTTTAATCGAAAATTTTGGCACCATCCTCAGAAAAAGTATGGAAAAATTGACCAATATTTTCGTCGATCAAACTGAACGTTTATTAGTATGTCATGGTAAAGATAATTTTATTGAATTATTTAAAATACGTTCCAATGAAGAAATTTCCATGAAAATGAAGAAACGAATACGTAAAGAAAAGAAACGAAGATTAAATGAAGAAGATTTGAATAATGATAATGAAATGGAAAAAATTGAATCCACAATAATTTCAGATGAAATCGAACGTTTAGATTCGATTAAATCGGTGGCAAAAATTCGTTCGATTGATGTACGATTTATACGATCTATCGATGGTGAACAAGAATATCGTCTATCGATTCTATTGTGTAATAATCAAATTGAATTTCAACAAATTTTGATAAAATCAATTAAAAATCAAACAATCGAATCGAAACAATTATCAATCATCAATACGATGGGCCATCGAAATGATATCCGTACGATTGCAATTAGCTCAGATAGCTTATCAATATTAACGGCAAGTTCTGATTCAATAAAATTATGGAATAAATCCAGTTGTCGTTGTACAAATACAATCAATGATGGTATTGAATATCCACTGTGCATGACTTTTGTGCCGGGAAATAAACATGCTATCGTTGGTACAAAAACGGGTAAAATTCAAATAATAAACCTGTTATCAGCATCGATACAATCTACAATCGACGATGGTGTTGGTCAACCAATTTGGTCATTAAATTTATTACCCAATTTAACCGGTATCGTTACTGGCTGTGAAGATAAATCGGTTAAATTTTGGTCATTTAATCTTATTTTTGAACAACAAAATGATGATCAACAACAACAACAACAATCGACAGAATCGAAAATTCTAACATTAAATCATGAACGAACATTATCAGTGGATGAAGGTGTCATTTGTACGAAAGTATCACCAAATTCAAAATTCATTGCCGTTGCAATGTTAGATAGTTGTGTGAAAATTTATTTCTGTGATTCACATAAATTTTTTCTATCACTTTATGGCCATAAATTGCCTGTACTTTGTATGGATATATCATATGATAATCGTTTAATTGTCACTGGTTCATCGGATAAAAACATTAAAATCTGGGGCATGGATTTCGGTGATTGTCATCGATCATTATTTGCACATGATGATAATATTCTTTGCTTACAATTTGTGCCGAAAACACATCATTTTTTTACAACATCTAAAGATCATCGTATAAAAATGTGGGATGCTGATACATTTGAAAAGATAACGTCATTGGAAGGACATCATGGTGAAATATGGGCAATGGCTATTGCACCGAATGGAAAATACATGGTAACAGCATCACATGATAAATCGATACGTTTATGGCAAAAAACACAGGAACCATTGATTCTTGAAGAAGAAAAAGAATTGGAAAATGAAAAAGAATTTGATTTAGTTGGAGAATCACATACAACTGTACCTGGTGAATCATCGTTGAATCATCAAGAATCAGGTCGTGCACAGAAAAAAACCACCGAAACTATTCGATCGATTGAACGATTAATCGAAAGTATCGATATCTATCGTGAAGAGATTGAAAAACTTGATCATTATAATCAACAGATGACTATTTATGAAAATCAACATACCAAATCAAAGGATGGTGAAATGAAAAAACCATCACGTGAACCATGTAATCCGAATCTAACGATTTATCGTACAGAATGTCCACGTCGTTTTATGTTGGAAATACTTTTACGGATTCCATCCAATGAACTTGAAGAAACATTATTACAACTGCCATTCTATTATATTCAACAATTATTGCAGATTCTTTCCGAATTATTAGAACGTCGTTGGGAAATTGAATTAATTTGTCGTTGTGTTTGTTATATTGTACGTGTAAATTTTGGCCAAATTACTTCATGTTCATCATCGATGGCACGATTAATCGATAGAATTCGTCAACAAATGCAATTGGCAATCGAATCTGTTGAAGAATTAGCTGGCGTTAATAATGTTGGTTTAAAATATTTTGAAAATATTTTCGAATCACGACAAAATGTATCATTATTTGCAGAGGTATTGGTGGAAAATCGAATGATGAAAAATAATAAAAAACATAAAAAACGTAATAATCAAACGGCACCAATATTGACATGGAATTGATTTAAAATTTTTTTTTTTTTTGATTTGATTTGACAAATAAAATTCATTTTTTTTGATCATTCATACACTAGATGGCATGAATGTCAATTTTGAAATTGATCGATATCATCTCAATTTTATAAAAGAGCAATAAATATGAGGGTATGGCTAAATCATCATCATCCGCATATACACAAAAAAAGCCAACATATCATTACTTTGCTTGTTTTTTTATATATTGCAAAGAAAACTAAAATTCTCATCATCATCATTCATTAGCCTTCAAGCAGTAGAAGAAAAACGTGGAAGCAAAGAAAAATAAACAAAAAGAAATGATGATGATGATGATGATCAATGATCAATGATAAATATCAAACAAAAAAAAATCAATCAATACCAAACAATATCATAACAACACAACAAAGCAACCATCAACATTTGATATATATCGTGATCTATAGCCTAAAAATGAGTTTCTAAGAAATAAAAATTTTGTTAGTTTTTTTTTCTTGTTTCAGTAATAATAATTCAACAACAATACAAACCTTTTCTTGCGGTGGTTGTTGGTGGTGGTGGTGAAATCAATAAATAATCGATTCAAATTCAAGAAAAAGAGTGTTTTTAGTGTTGAAATGAAGATGCAATTGAAATATTTATATCAAACCATTTATTCATTACATGATCCAATTCATGTAGAACGATTTCAGAAAACATTTGGATTGGAAATTATCCATGATCAACAAAATGATGAACCAAGAACAAATCATTTGTCGTCCATTTCATCATCGTTGTCGAAAAAATATCGTATACGAAATTATTTATGGTATTATCTATTTTCATTTGGTGCACGTCTTGGTTATGAAGTATTCTATGCATTATCATTTTCATATTTATATTGGAATTTGGATTCATTTATATGTCGTCAATTGATGCTTATATGGGCCATACTGATGTACACAGGTCAAGCATTAAAAGATGTTATACGAATTCCAAGACCTAATGGTCCAAATATAGTGATATTAGAACCAGAATATTCATTTGAATATGGTATGCCATCAACACATGCAATGTTAGCGGCAATGATACCATTAACATTATATTCATTATTATCGAATCGTTATCAAATTTCATCATCACCATTATTATTCATATTTTGTTCAATTTGTTGGTGTTCATTGATTTGTTGTTCACGTCTCTATTTGGGAATGCATTCTGTTTTGGTAAGTTTGTGAAACAAAAAAAAAATTGATAAAGAAAATTATTTTTACTTTTAAAAGGACATATTGGTCGGTCTATCGCTTACCTGTATATTATTGGCATTCATACTACCAATGTTGAGCGTTTTGGATTATTTCCTTATCCGTAATTCTTTATCGCCTTTAATCATTATTGTTGTGTTGTTAATATCATCATTATTGTATCCGGTATCGAATAAACAATCACCATCACGTGGTGATACAATATCAATAATATCGGCCAGTGGTGGTGTTTATATTGGTTCATGGCTTAATTATCAATTATCCATTATACGTGATTCTAGTCATTTGAATGAATTATATCCAATTTTATTGCCATCATTATATGATATACCTGTAATCGTTGGTCGTTTTGCCATTGGATTATGTTCATTATTCATCTTACGATCGTTAGGAAAATCATTTGCACAACATGCTATTCGATATTTCACCGGATTGAAAGATCTTAATAATGAACAAACAAAACATCGTACCATCGTAGAGATACCAATGAAAATGATTCCATTCATTATGGTTGGATTAGCAATTTCATTTTTTGGACCATTGATGGCACGTTTAACTTGTATGGAACGTCATTCAATGAGATTTGAAGCTTAAAGAATTCTTGTTTCTATATATATACATGCAAATCAAATCAAAACAATTTCAAACAAACAAATAACTTGCCTTTGTCATTGAAAACAGCAACAACAAAAAAAAACTCATAAATCACTAAAAAAGAGAGAGAAAAACTGGCTAGAACTGGTACACAAGATTTTTTTTTACATTAAAATTTTGCATTTTATATAAATCTGATCTAATTGAACAAAAAAAAAAATTTTTTTTTTACTTTGTCATCACATGCAACACAATCATAATAAAAAAAAACTAGACATTCCCGAAATAAAAAACATTCGATAAATTGGTTTTTTTTTTGTTTTGTTTTGGCGGTTTTCTCATCGCCGATAAAAAATAAAAATAATCAAATTCCATTTCGTTCGATTTTTTTTGAAATAAAAAAAAAATTCTTTTAAAAAAGGTGGTGGCAGATTTATTCCATTTCAAATATGTACTACTACTACAATATATCATTATGACGTACATTGTATACAATGGTGGTGGTGGTGGTATAGAGTGATTCAAGTTATGATTCTTTTTTGTTTGTTTTTCACACAAATGCTACTAGTTTATTATTATTATTCTTTTTTTTTTTTTTTGATGATGATTCATAAATATCGTATCTATGGAACCCCTCTCGTTTTCTTTTAGCTCATACACGAAAAAATAATTATTTTTAATACCACTACTGCTACTGCTACTACCACTACTGCTACTGCTACTACCACTACTGCTACTGCTACTACTACTATACCAATATCAACGTCCATTATTAATTCAACGTTTTTTTTCTATACCACCTCCTCCTCCGCCCACTTTACCGACTATCGAACGTTTTGTGTGTGTGTTTTGTTCTTGTTCTTGTTCATTTGTTCGTGTTCGATGTTTTTTTCTGTGTGTTTCTTTCATCATCATCATTGTCGTCGTCGTGTGTTTTGTTCATTGTATATTTGTGTCTATGTTATATTTTTTCTTCCTCCTACTCATCATCATCATTTATCGTTGTTGTTTTTGGTTGTTTTTGTTGGTAAATGAATGAATGAATGAATGAATGAAATTGAAGAAGAAGAAGACAAAAAAACGGAGAAAATTTTTCTTCTTTTTTTTTGGTGGTGGCATCACATTTTTTTTCATTGGTAATATCCAAAAGATTTCAACATTGTGCTTCGAGATTCTTTTTTTCCCTCTCTATGTTTGTGTGTAATAATCTGTATAATTTGTTTTTTTTGTATGGCCGCTTAGTTTTTTTTCTGGTGTTGTTGTTCCCATTGTCTTGGTGATTAAGAAACTATTACAAAAAAATTTCATATGCACACACTCATATTCATATTTTTCAAATGATTCTTAAATTCTTATGAAATTTGATGACAATGAATGAATATTCTTCGAATCCATTTTTTTACACACACACACACACACACATTGATTGATTCATTCATGTGAAGAAAACTTGACAATAACTTTATTTTGTGTTATCAACATTATAATCTCGCTAAATATCAAAAAAAAGCGATCATCATCAACATCAACAACAACACACACACACACATATTGTCATTGGTGTTGGGGTTTTTTTTTCTTGCTTGCTTTGCTATCCACTGTGTGTCTCAGTCCTGTTTCTGTGTGTGTGTGTATGCCATAATAGTGTGCTTGTTGGATATTGAGCTGTTGATTTTGGTTATTGAATTCGAATGTATGACTTTTTTTTCTAATATTTTCATTTTCTCAATACATCAATCATCATCATCTAAATTAAAATTAGTTAGTCTGTTTTTTTCTTACTCTCATTTTGATTTACATCATATCAATCAATACTAAATAATAAGAACAAACATAAACGATAAATAATCATCAGAAAAATACGTTACCATTACCCACCACCATCATCAGCATCATTATTGCCAATACAGTGCGACAATTGTTTAATTGTGTGTGTGTGTGTGTGTGTGAGTGATTGAGAGAACAGACGCACCAAACAATCGTATAAAATAAAACAAAAAAAAGTAAGTTTTTGAAAATTCAGATATTTTATTACCGTTGATCTAATTTTATTTGTCCAAATCAAGAATTCTTTTGTTTATAATTTATAAATTCTGGCTGTTACATGAACATCATCATCGTATATAAACGTTGAATTTTTTCTATTCATTCAAAAACATGGATTCAATGGATTCATCGGCAATGTTTTGTCCACCACAAGCTCAACCAACATCAGCTTCGCCAGTGGTTGGTGTTGTAAATCAAATCAATGGTACAGCCAATAACCATATTACAATGTTGAATAATACGGCAACATCGAATAATACTGTTAATCAATATGAAACATTAACCATTGAAAGTGCCAATCAACTATTGAATTTTAAAGGTGTATTCGATATACAACTTTTAGAACAGGTAGTTGAATGTTTATATACAACTCAGGGTCAGCCACAAAAGATTGCCCAAGAAATTCTTACTACATTCAAAGAACATCCTGATTCATGGACACGTGTCGATGGTATCCTGGAATATGCAAAAAATAAAGAGACAAAATATTTTGCTCTACAAGTGTTGGAAAATTTAATCAAAACAAGATGGAAGATAATACCAGAAAATCAATGTGAAAATATTAAAAAATTCATTGTTGCATTGATCATTAAAACATCAACAAATCCAATATCAATGGAACAAGATAAAGTTTATTTGAATAAATTGAATATGATATTAGTACAGATTTTGAAACAAGATTGGCCAAAAAAATGGCCTAATTTTATATCGGATATTTGTGCTTCCAGTAAAAAAAGTGAAACATTATGTATGAATAATATGACCATTCTGAAATTATTAAGGTTTGTTTTGATTCATTGATTAATGGAATTCCATTCTATTTAATATTACCATTTTTTTTCTAAAAATCATAGTGAAGAGCTTTTCGATTTTTCCACTGGCCAATTAACACAAGCAAAATCAAAACATCTCAAAGATACAATGTGCCAGCATTTTCGTGAAGTTTTTTCACTTTGTCAATATGTATTAGAAGATTCTCGAAATGAAAAATTAATCTATTGTACATTGGAAACATTATTAAGGTTTCTTAATTGGATTCCTTTGGGCTATATTTTTGAAACTGGATTGATCAATGCATTAATATTTAAAGTATGTGTGAAAAGAAAAAAAAATTCCAAGATATCAATTATTTAATTGTTTTTTTTCGTCTGATTTTTAGTTTTTCCCGTATGATGTTTTCCGTAATATCACCCTCAAATGTTTGACTGAGATAGCCAATATTGGCGTGGATTCATATGATGAAGTATATTGTTCAATGTTTGAAACATTTATGCTTCAATTGAATAAGGTATTGAATTTGTTTTTTTTATCTTTATTTTATCACCATTGTTGATTATTTGTTTTTTTTGTTGAAAAATAGATTCTTCCTAATCCCGAAGATTTGAAAACTCTTTATGAAACTGGTATCGAAGAAAATCAAAATTTTGTTCAAAATTTAGCCATGTTTTTATCAACATTGTTGAAAAAACGTGGACAATTGTTTGAAACTGAAGCTATGCGTAAACAATTATTAATGGCAGTCATGTATTTAATCGTCATATCACAAGTGGAAGATGTTGAAGTGTTTAAAATCTGTCTTGAATATTGGGGTTCACTTACAGAGCAATTGTATAAAGAATGTCCATTAGATGATCGAGTTGTAGCATCATCAACTATACCAATGCGTCGTCTAATCTATGAAGAAATGCTTAGCAAACTTCGTTACATAATGATTGGTCGTATGGCTAAACCGGAAGAAGTACTTGTTGTTGAAAATGAACAAGGTGAAGTTGTTCGTGAATTTATGAAAGATACAGATTCAATTCAATTGTATAACAATATGCGTGAAACATTGGTCTATTTGACACATTTGAATTCACAAGATACGGAGAATATAATGAATGAAAAACTTAAAAAACAAGTTGATGGTACTGAATGGTCATGGAAAAATCTAAATACAGTAAGTAAACGCAAAAAAAAAGTTTTCGAATTTTTTTTCATCTAATTTTTGTTGTTTATTTTCAAAATTTAGCTGTGCTGGGCTATCGGTTCAATCTCTGGTGCTATGTTAGAAGAAGAGGAAAGAAAATTTCTAGTCACTGTCATCAAAGAATTATTGGGCTTATGTGAACAAAAACGTGGTAAAGATAACAAAGCAATCATTGCTTCAAATATTATGTATGTGGTTGGACAATATCCACGATTTCTTCGAGCATATTGGAAATTCTTGAAAACAGTCGTTAATAAATTGTTTGAATTTATGCATGGTAAGTTTTTCTTCTTGAATTCCTAATTTTCTTTATGTATGCCTAATTTTGTAAGTTTTCCATTCAGAAACACACGATGGTGTGCAAGATATGGCTTGTGATACATTTATCAAAATTGCTAATAAATGTCGACGACATTTCATCACAATACAACCGGGAGAAGTACAGCCATTTATAGATGAAATATTGGAAAATATGGCTACCGTTATCAATCAACTTGAACCACATCAGGTTTGAAATTTATCAATTTTGATGATTAGTTCAAATTTGCTTTGAATGAAATGATTTTTTCTTCCAATAGATTCATACATTTTATGAAGCAGTGGGCTATATGATTAGTGCACAAACTGATGAAAAAATTCAAGAAAAATTGATACAAAATTATATGACACTACCAAATCAAGTTTGGAATGATATTATTCGTAAAGCAGCAATCAATGTTGATTTTCTCACTGATCATATTGCGATAAAACAATTAGATAATATTATAAAAACAAATTATCATGCTTGTAAAGCATTGGGTCATAATTATATTCTACAATTGAAATTCATCTATATGGACATGTTAAGCCTGTATAAAGTAATGAGTCAACATATATCGGCTGCCATTGCTAAAAATGGTGAATCAGTAATGAAACAACCAATCATACGTTCAATGCGTGGTCTGAAAAAAGAAATTCTTAAATTAATCAATGAATGGGTTTATCATTCGAATGATCATAAAGTTGTTTTGCAATCATTTATTCCAAATCTTCTTGATGCTATTCTCCTTGATTATAAAGTGTGTGCAGTGCCTTCGGCTAGAGAACCTGAAGTTCTTTCAACAATGTCGACTGTCATTAAAAAATTAACGGTTCGTAACGACTGGAATTTTTTGTTTGTATAACTTTTTATTTTAATGACTTTTTATTCTGACTCTACATATAAATAGGATAATATTACGCCACAAATTCCAGCTATTTTTGATGCCGTGTTTGAATGTACATTAGAAATGATAAACAAAGATTTTGAAGAATATCCTGAACATCGAACAAATTTTTATGTACTATTGCAACAAGTTGTTACACATTGTTTTGCTGCCCTACTCAACACATTACCTAATCAATTTAAATTGGTATTAGATTCAATCATATGGGCATTGAAACATACAATGCGTAATGTTGCCGATACTGGATTGAAAATTCTATTGACATTAATGGAGAATATGATACAACAACCAACAGAAATGTGTAATTGTTTCTATCAAACATATTATACCGATATTATGCAACATATGTTTTCGGTTGTCACGGATACATCACATTCGGCAGGATTAACAATGCAGGCACGAATTTTAGCCTTTATGTTTGAAATTGTAGACATGAACAAAATAACCGCACCACTTAATCCGGCCATTCAGAATGGTGTTGCCACAGCTGCTGGTGGTGGTGGTGGTGGTAACCCACAACAATATGATAATGTTAAATTTGTCAAAGATTTTGTATCAAGTCTTTTGAAAAGTGCTTTTAGCCATCTAAACGATGCTCAAATTCAGGTGACTGTGCAAGGATTTTTCAATCTTAATCATGATGTTGTAGCATTTAAAGAACATTTACGTGATTTTCTTGTTCAAATTCGGGTATGTCGATTGATCATGAAATCTTTTTTTTTGAAACCAGATTAATTTGTTTTTATGCAGGAATTTTCTGGTGAAGGTGATAGTGATCTTTTCTTAGAAGAACGATTAGGCGAATTGCAGAAAAAAGAAGAGGAAAAACGACAACGACAATTATCCGTACCTGGTATTATCAATCCATATGATCTACCTGATGCAATGGATGATAATTAATTAATTGGAAACGAAAAAAAAACATATAAATTGATCGATCAACGAATCATTAAATTATTGGTGGTTATGGTTGTCAAGGATGAACAATTTAATCTTTATGACAAATTTGAAAAAAACCCAAAATAGGAATCAATAATTTCTTTTCATCGGTGACACCAAAAAAAATTGATTGATTTTGTCATCATATTTATCAACATTTTTCAACCAGCTGCTTCTTTTCTGATGATCCAAATCTGTTTTGTTCTGGTCAAGCTTGGCTTTCTTGACCAATTGAAAAATTTTTCATCCAGCCAATTCGATTAACATCATCAACACATACATACCCTACTATTCTATTTTTCTCCTCATCCTCCTATCTCACAAGGAATTTGAATAATGTGCTTGTGTGTGTGTGTTTGTGTATGTTCGGGTTTTTTTTCATCTCATCATTTTTGTTCTTTTTTTTAAAAATTTTTGTTTCATTATTTTTATCCCATTACACACACACACACATAATACATACATTGTACTATTATCTTATTATTACTACTACTAATCTCTTTATTATTATCACACATACATACAATCTTCAACAACAGTAACAACTATGTAATTCGTACGTTTTTTTCTATCTTTACACATTATTTTAATCGTCAACAAAAACAAAACAAAAAAACAAACGAAAAAAAAAATAATTAGAGATTGATGGAAAAAAAATTATTCAATTATATACAATACACATACACACACACACACAGAAACAAAAAACATTTGAATTATGAGAAAAATTTTGACATTTGATTATTATTATCATTCTTCTTTGTCTTCTTCTTCTTCTCTTTGTATATGAATGGATTTTGAAAAAAATAATAATTAATAAAGAAAGATTTATAAATATTGAAATTGAAAAATTTGAATTTTTTTTTCACTAATAGATGTCAGTTTTTACATTTTAGAACAAAAAATATATTTGAACAACATATATGGATTAATAATTGGTGTTCTGGTTTGTGTTTTTTTTTCGTTTGATGATTCAATTCGGACAACCCAAAAACACAACTATAAATAGATGTGGATGGAGACCTTATAATGGTAAGGGCTAAACCACCCTCCACCTCTGTTTGATCCGTTAAATAACCAGAAAAAACTGAAAGAAGAAAAAAAATGTTATAACGGTTTTGTTGGGTTTGCGCGTGCAAATGATCTCGCGAACACCAGATGTTTATTTTATTCGTCTGTGTGTGTCTGTGTCTGTGTGTTTGTGGTAACGGTTCCAAATATTGTGAACAATGAATTTTTCAAAATTTTTTTTTTTCATTTGTTCATTCGATTGATGGCTGTATGTAATATTTGATTCTCGTATACGTTTTTTCTAGTCAACACACTGTGTTCAATTCATTATTTAAATGACCAAAAAATTTTTTTCATTGTGAATATTCATGAAATATGAAATTTATAACTAGTAAACATTCTACATCGAAAAAACCATTATCAAATGCATTCATTGATGATTGGCAATGGAATCGTGATGATCGATCAGATGCGGTATTTATTCTGCTGGTTGTTTTAAAAAAATTTTATTTTAATTTTTCTTTTTTTTTTGACCAAAAAAAGGTTCGAATTTCCAATAATGGACATATCGCATATTTTCATATCGATTGGAGTAGCGGAACGGCTGCCGTACGTGGAAATAAACCAATCAATATATATCCGAATCGTAAATATTATTGGGAAGTATTATTGAAAGATCGTATATTTGGCACTAGTATGATGATTGGATTGACAACATCAAAGGCAAAACTTTATTCCAATTCTTATATTAATTTGATTGGTGAAAATAAATTTGGATGGGTAAGTAGAGAGCCACATTTTTTTCATTTTGATAATCGATTGTTTTTTTATTCAATTTTCAATTCACATAAACACACACACAGGGTTTATCACATAAAGGTCTTTTATGGCATAATAATCAATGGCGTGAATATTCGAAACCATTTCATGAGAATCGTTCAACATTGATCGGTTGTTTATATGATGGCCAAAATGGTACACTTACATTTTATAAAGATGGTGAATGCCTGGGACCAGCATTTCAAGATCTTCATTTGATTGGTGATAATCTTTATCCAACAATTAGTTCAACAGCAGCTCAATCACAATTTATATTAACAATGGCCAAACGAGAATATTTAAATCTACAAGATAGGTATGTGTGATATATGAATGATCTATTTTGATTTTTTTTTTGAATTTCTTTACCTTTTTTTCCAATTTTTAGATGTAGACATGTTTTACGACAAACATATTCATTTGAACATCAAAATCTAAATCAATGGCAACAAATTCTACCGAAAAGAATTTTAGAATATCTTGTACTTGATGAAGAATCTGTAGAATTTTCTAGTCAACATAAGAAATTGGTCGGTAAAATCATGAAACATAGATAAAAAAAAATCTAAATAGAGTGAGTACAACAACGAAACTTGTCATGATTCTAGTCAGAATATTTATTCATTTTATTCATTCATTCATCATTGAAATAAATTTCAAATTCCACATACAAAGTAATTTCAGTAAAAATATAGATTCAATTCAATTCAATTCAATTATTATTATTATTATTATGTAAAGCTTTAGCCATAAACAATTTACCAATATTTTGTGTAGAATATAATGATGATTGTTGACAGAAATTGTGTGTCTGTGAATAGTTGAGAAGATTTTCCAAATGCTGTAATGGTGTCAATTTAAATGATTTCAATAGTTTGGCCATTTCATCTTCAGTCATCGGAGGCATTTTTGCCAATGATCGATTCATATTTTCTCGTGCAATTTCGTGCTGTTTAATAATTTGATTACGCAGAGTCGATGTTTGTTTATTCAAATCTTCCACTGATTTTATATGTGATTGAAGACTTTTTTCCACTACAGAAAATCCACCAATATCCAACAATTGACGGCCAGCATCGATGGGCATGTCTTCATCAATTTCCAATAATAGTGCTTTGCAAAGATGTGAATTACGAATAATGATGGGAATTTCTTCGAAAAATTTTTCAAATGACATTTTATTCTGTCGTAATGTTTCGGGTTTAAAATCACTTTCTTTACAAAGATTCATTGCCGCTTTTGTAAGACGATAAGCTTTCAACGATAGAAAACCACGTTGTGCACGAATTGGATCGAAAAGCAAAACAATAGATTCTTCAATTGTTCCTTGATACATGTACTGGGAATCGATTGTTTCAATTTTATTCAATTGACTACCATATGGACTACATTGATACCATCCAACTTGTAAATGATCGACATTCACATTTTTCAAATAACGTATCATAGTATATTGATATTCGGCTGCTTCTTCATTATCTTCATCATCATTTGATCGTGGAAATGGAAAACAATTGGTCACTTCCAATACATTGTCAAATACTAATCCCAATAGTACGCCTTGTGCTTCACTTGAACTACCTTCTTCATGACAATGTTTAATGATTTTCAATACAACCAAACCATCAATGTAAACACATTTTATTGGTGATTCTTTTGGGCCCTGTTTATGTTGTTGTTGTTGTTGATGATGATGATGTTGTTGTGATCGACGATAATTATGAGAATACATGTTTTTTTTTTTTAAATAATTGAAAGAAAAAACCAATTTTTTTCGCAAAAAAATGAGCTCACAAACACAAAGAGAACGATAGGAAGTGTTAGTGAGATGCTTCGGCTTTGCCAACACATGCCCTTTTCTGCTCGACTGAAAACCAAGTTTATACGATGAGTGTGTATATGTGTCTATTCATGTATAAACTGGGCTATTTTTCGATTACAACTCACGAATTTGATGATTACAATCGACAGAAATTTTTTTTTTTTGTTCTTCATTGTCAAATTTTGGGATAATATTGTGAAAAATAAAAAATGTCAAGACAACATCATTGTGATCATAATTGTAATGGACATAATTCATTGGATGATGCCGATAATCTTGGTATCCTATATAGTTTGTATTCGAAAATTGATCTTTCAAAATTAGAATGTCTCAACGAAACTGTTGAAGGTTCGGGTAAACTTGTTTTCAAACCATGGGAAGAACGATTGAATATGGAAAATGTATGTTTTTTTCAAACTGAAAATATTGACTATTGATTAATCGTTTTGTTTTGTTTATATAGTTTGTCGAAAGTGATTGTGATGAAGAATTATTATTTAAAATTCCGTATGTACCAGTGTTCTCTCATTCATGTTTCACATGATTTATTGTTTTTTTTTGTTGTTTGAAAAAAAACAGCTTCACTGGTAATATCAAACTGAAAGGAATCATTATAATTGGCGGTGAAGATGAATCTCATCCATCACGTTTACGTATCTATAAGAATCGTCCTGATATGAGTTTCGATGATGTAAGCGCTGAAGCTGATCAAGAATTTGAAATTATGCAAGATCAAACCGGTACATTGGAATATCCATTGAAAATTGTTAAATTTTCCAATGTATTTCATTTGACTATTCATATACCGAAAAATTATGGTGCTGACACCACTAAAGTTTATTACATTGGTCTACGTGGTGAATTTTCACCAGTAAGTTTTCAAATAATCAAATCATTCGAATAAATATTTTGTTTGTTTTTTTTAATCTCCAATAAACAGGCAAATCGTGATGCCATATTGATTGCCAATTATGAATTGGCACCAAATCCAGCCGATTGCAAAAATGGCATTGAAGAAACAATGTTTCATCAGGTTCACTAGGAGAAAATGTTTTATTTTTTTTCCATATGAATGCATATGTGGATGGCAATAATAAAACTATATGTATCTGAATTTACAAAAGATTCGTTAATTTCGATAATATTCTTTATATTCAATATTACTGGGTTCCAGTATTTCTTTATCACGAAGATTAATCAGCCAACCTGGTTGTAGACCGAAAAATATTTGCCTAGTACTTTTTTCATCAACATCATTGGATTGTCATGGTCATCATTTTTCAATTCATAACCATATTTTTGTGCCAATAAAATACGTTCCCTTTCCACGTCTTTTGGATCGGCAAGGTAACCACGATTTTTTGGATCCGAATAATAAGCATATGCATCTTCTGTAGGTAGACCACGTTTTGGTATTGGTATGCCTTGTTGAAAAAATTTTAATGGATCCATCAATGCCTGTACGCTTTTAATATCAAAATAACCGGTAGTTATTCGACCACCATTCCTTTCGATAGCAGCAATTACCGGTTCACTTGTATATTGTACTTCAATATTGATTTTACTGCAAAAAATATCCAAACCTTGATCGGTAAGATTAACACCATAATGTGAAAGAAATGGATCGATACGATAAAATTGTGAATTACACAATGATGCTAAATCAATCGGTAATGATGGATCAATTACACCATTATCAATTAATGTTTGTAGCTGATATAAACTAAGTGGTGGATATTGACGTCGATGTCTATCATCAGGATTAAATATTCGGTCAAATTTTTCATCATCATCATCAATGGAATTTAAATTTACCCGAAATTTCTATAATAATTTTCAATCGGTATTTTCATATAAAACGGTGTACGGCCACCTTCATATCCAACTGGCCAAAAACGTCTTCTTTCACGATTACTTTTATTGATTGTACGTTCTTTTCGAGGATCAATTCTTGGCTATAATTTAAAATGATTAAATATTACTAACAAAACAAAACAAACCAGAGACACACACACACACACAAAACCTTTCGTTTTAAATATGGATTTTTGACCAGATTGTTCAGACTAACACGTGGCAAATATTTAAGAATTTGAAGCGCTTTTTCTGATGGTGAATTCATTGTTCTTTTTTTCCAGTATTCTTTGATTTTGATTTACAAAAAATACACACACAAAAAAAAAAATTTAGAATTAAAAATTCTGCTTCACGCGTGCACACACACACACAAACACAGATGTTCACAGTGGTTGTTCATAATGTACGGAATTTTTTTAAGAATTCAAAAATTCATTCACATTCAAAACACTTGAAAAAAAATCTTTGACAACAACAACAACGATAATAATAATCATCATCATCAATTCATTGATATGTTTCTAATGTAAACATTTTAACACGTGCAACCAATGACACACACACATGAGCCCAAAAAAAGAAAACGCGTGGCCAATTTTTTCATTGTTTTGATTTGGTCTTATTTTTACAGACTTAAAAGGTTGACTTTATTATTTTACCGTTTGATGATGATCGGTTTTTTTCGAGAAAACAAAAAATTTAGTTACATTCTGCTATCGGTCGATCGATAGAGCGAGAACGAAGATGAAAAAAAAACCGGATCAAAAAAAAAAAAAAAAATCTCAAGTACCACTTCTTTTCAGATATTAAAGAATTGAAAGATCCAGTACAAAAACAACAACCAGCCTATCGACCGGCCAAACGAATGATTTGATTCGATTCGATTCGATTTAAAATTAAATAGTTGCCATCAAATGAAAAATAAAAACGGTTATTATCGTCATCGTTATAGCTAATTTTCTTCTGGGCAAAAATAATCATCATCATCATCATCATGGTTAATCGTCTAAATAAACAAAAAAAAAAATGACGAAACAAACAAACAAACGAACGAAAAAAAAAATACCGCATCATAAAGCCTTCAAGTGTGTAGTATAAAAATAGAATGAAAATATTTTCCGGAATTTTTTTTTTCATTAAATTTCCCACGTTATAAAATGAATCTTTTGTGTGTGTGTGTGTGTATCGGTGTCGGTGTCGGTGTTTATTTACCATTCTTTCATTGTGTCGTCGTTTCGATAAATCCATTGATTTGAAATTTTTTTTTTTTTGCTTGGATTTGTATTTGATCTAATTTTTTTTCTTCATTTTAAAAAAAATTTCCTTTAAGATATCTACTAGTCTATGACGCTTATATTTTTTTTAATCCAACTAGCTGCTGGCATATATATAATTAAATAATAACCTTAATCCTTGATCCTTTTTCAAATCCTTCTGTTGCTGATGCTGTTTTCATTTTATTTTGTTGTTGTTCTCATTTTGATTTGACCATGTTCAACAACAACAACAACAACGGCAATGATAATGATGACATGAAATTAATTGTTTTTTTTTTGAAATTCAAGTTTTTCTCTCTTTCTATGTCGGTGTTTGTTGGAAATTAAAATTTTTCTTCTTGTTTTCAATGATGATTTGTTGTAATGATAAATTGGACAAAAAACACTCACACACACACACACAACAAAATTATGCAAATTATTTTATAGAGATGGAAATCAATAATTTAACGCATTGATTTGAAAAATACGAAAAATTTCTAATGTTTTGCTGTTGTTGTTGTTGTTGTTCCGATTTCGTGGTGATGGACGATTGTATCGATTCGAACACAATCGAACTTTGATGATGATGATGTTTTGAAAAACACGAGTGAACAACATTTGTCTGAGTTTGTGTCAAATTATTTGTAAATGTTCATGATGACATATATCATTTACCTTTATTGTGACCTTTTTTCGATTATATAATGTTTCCTATATAAAAATAGGGAAAAAAATTTTTTTGGATAAAAATAGCCACCACCACCACCAGCACCAATATTCATTGTTTATCAATGTTGCTATTGAACGATTTTTGTTGAATTGAATTTTTTTTTCTTTTATTTTCACAGTGTTTGTTCTGTTGTTTCATTTGTGTTTGTGGTTCATATGTCATTTTTTTTTGCATATTGGTTTTCTGTTCAAATTGTGATTCTATTCTCTCAATCCATAGGTATGTGTTTTTCATTTTTTTCTTTTGTTTCTTTTACTACTGCTCTATTACATATGATCCTCGCCAACCACAACACAACACAAAACAACAATGAATGAATGATCTCAATGTTCACCAATATCCATCTTTATTCAGATGGATTGAATTGCAAAATAAAACTTTGAATATCAAAAAAAGAAGAAAAAGTTTATCTTTCATCAAACATATAGTCTTTATTATAACGAAAAAAAAATGAACAATGGAAACGAAAACACAATGTTCCAGAAAAAAATATGCTTCGGCCATAACAATACAATAAAAACATGTGATGATGGACGACATTTTAATTTTTTTTTTTTTTTTTTTTGATCATCATCATCATTATAGATTATTTAACAAGTTAATATATAAAACATGCATCCAGCCAGCCATGCCCATTATTAGTGATTTTTATTCTGGTGATGATGATGATAATTTTCTTGAATAGATTCATGAATTCCTGAAAAATTCTTTATCTCACTAATAATAATAATAATGTTTACACTGTAAACATTAGACATTTGATTTCAATTTTTCAATGCGATGAATAATAATGGGCATAACGTCAATGGATAATGTCGTGTGTGTGTGTGTGTGTGTCGCATACGTTCATTTTTCTTTATTATGTTTCTCTCTCTCTCCTCTCAATTATCGATCAGATAGATATATATTTGTTGGTATCCCGCTTGTATATTATAACAAAGAAGATGAGCAGCCAATATGTTTGTTCGTTTGTTTTGTTTTGTTTTGTTCGTGGGAAAAAAATAACTAGAATTTTTCATTTTCATTTTATGATTGAATGAATGAATGCCATCATTGAATGGAATCATCAGGCTAATTGATTTGACCACATTGTCGTTGATGATGTGATGACAATAGAATATTGTCATTGTTTGTCGGTAGTTTGCTTTGCTTTGCCTTGTGTGTGTGTGTGTGTGTCTGTTTGTGCGTGTGTTTTGTTTGTTTGTTTATCATGTTGTTGAAACAATCGTTTTTGTTTTTTGGAACAAATTTTTTTTTGGCATCAACAAAAAAAATCCCTTGTGTAATTACAATTTGATAATGATGATGATGATGATAATAATGATTATCTCATTGATTGATTTTCGATTTTAGATTTTTGAATATTCCTGTGAAAAATCAAAATTAAAATAAAAATTTCCAGTAAAATAAAGTCTCAATGGACCAGCTAGCCAACCAGCCAACCAACAAAAACCAAAATAAGCAACAAACAAAACAAACGAAATTCATATGAAACGCCTGAAGCCATCATCATCATCATTTGGAACATCATCTAAATCGACAACAAACAGCGACAAGAATCGAGAGATAGAAAGAAGAAAATGAACAAAGAAAAAAAAAAAAATACAAGCGACAAAATGCATTTTTTTTCCTTGTATACTGCTGAATTTTATCTGGCTGCTGCTTCTTGCCATTTTTTTTTTTGATTGATTTTTTCTTTCTTTTCATTCCATTCCATTGCCAAACTAAACACGAATGAACATCATCTCTATATAACATCTCTCTGTGTGTGTGTGTGTTGGTGACACTAAAAAAAAAAAATGACCAATTTCATGTCATTTCTGTAGATGGATCGCAAGCGAGCAAGTAAATATCATCATTATTATCATTTGGCACCAATTTGACGAACACGGTACAACATTCACTAAATAAATGATAAATGAAAGTGTCCACGTTTTTTCTCTATTATTCTGATAGTGGATCCACCAGAGCCTGATTGGATTCTCTGTGTGTGTGTGTGTGTTGGAAAGATCCATTTTCTTTTTGGAGCTCAAACACACACACAATGTTTGCTCCAAGTAGAACATCATTTTCTGCATTTTTTTTTTTTTTTTTTTTTTTTTCATTTCCACCAGTAGTTTTCTACTACATTTGAATTGAGTTTTGAAAATTGGGAATCGATGGTTATAGTGGAGCGAAAAAAAAAAAAATCCGTATTACAATCATCGAACCGATCCATGGAAAAAAACGAACCAGGAAAAAGCGATGTATACGTACGTACTGCCTACACTGCTTGCTTTTTCCAGTTCTCTTTCGAATATTTTTCTGGTGAAAAAATTTGCTCCCGGCTATTTGTCTCTCTCTCTCGCTCGCTCATTCGATTGCTTTAGCTTTAGCTTGAATTTTGCTCTTTCTGTTCATCATCATCATCATCATCAACGTTCCAGAGGAAAAAAAAGTTCCAAGTTCAGTATTTCTTTCTCCAATGATTTGGTTGTTTCCAAAATTTTTTTTCTTTTTCATTCTCTTTTTTTGCTCGCTTTTTTTCCATCATTTCATTCAGTTGTGATTGTTGTTGTGTTTGTGATATCATTTGGTTGGTTAAAATAGTAAATCGTCGAGATATAGAGCAATAGCGAGAGAGAGAGAGAGAATCATTGTTTCCACAGCCAACCAATATATATTGTGGATCCATCCATTTAATCATTTTTTTTTTTTTTGGTTTTGCATCCAATATCCTGTATTGTTCCTAGATTCTGTTTCTGTTTTTTTCTTGCCCTAGATGTTTATTATTCATCCTATTTGTATACGTAGATAGAGAATAATTTTAATTAATTTTTCTATCATCATCATCATCATCAAGTTGTATCAATTATTTTGATGGAATTTCTTTCTTTTTTTTTTTTTCCATTCTCAATAATTGACAATGTCATTGAATTTTTTTTCCAGACCAAGAACCAAACATCACCATCGAGATGCTTTTGGCTTTTTTTTTAGCATTTTCAATAGGAAAAAATTTTTTCTTCTTCTGCAACCAAAGATTCTGCCGCCAGCTTTTTTTTTTTTTTTTTTTTTTATTTATTCGTCGGAAAACGCAGTCTCTGTTGTTTTTGTGTGTGTTTGCTGTGTGTGTTTGTGTTGTGCATTGTTGTGGTGTCATAAACTCCGCCTCAAGTATAAAGCCATCAGCCAATTGTAAACGGGTATTTTTTTTTTTTTTGTCAGTGCAGTTTTGTTTTATTTTTATAGAGGTGCGCCATAGGCAAAATCTAAATATCATATGATGTCAGATGATGATGATGATATCATCATCATCATCTGATGGTATTACGCCTACCATCAGATCCACCATTATTAATTGAAATTGAACAAAAAAATTTTTTGTTTTTTGTTTTTTGTTTTGTTTGCAGGAATCCAGCCATAGATAATCCATTGATATTTGAAAATTCATTTTTTTCCGCTTTTTCACAGAATGAATCATTTTTTCTATTTAATTTCTTTTTTCTCTCTCTCACTCATCGTTATATTTTGTTCACATTTTTTGTATTCAATTCAGGAATTTTCGTTTTGGTTTGGTACCAAAACCTATTACGGTTATCATTATTATTCTAAATAGAATGGTTCATTGAACACGGGACATAGCAAAGAGAGAGAGAGAGAGAATAATAAAAATTGGCTTGAAGCGATGAATTTCATTTTTTTTTGATTCGGGCACCAATAATGATGATGATGATGATGATGAATAGTGCATAGTCGACATGTAAAGAGACGAACAAGTGAGTAAAAAAAAAATTTAAGAGAAAAAAAAGGAGAGAAAATAGAATGAAAACGAACGGTTTTTAGTTGCATAACAACAACGACAACAACGACGATTGTCTCAAATATAATAACCGTTGTGATGCTGCTGTGTAAACGCGCACATCATCATCACATCACATGTGTATATTATATATATAGTCAGTATTTGGGCAAGAAATAAAAACTACAAAAAAAAGCCCTAGGTTTCTGTTTTTTTTTTTTTTTGCTTTAGCAGCTAAATTCTATGGGTTTTTGCTAGCAGCGATTCATTTTTTTTTGTGTTTTGTTTTGAATTCCATCCACAAAATGTGCGCGCACTTTTTCTGGTTTTTAACTCTGTCTATCTGTGCCTGTGTGTGTGTGTGTTCCAATTTTGTTGTTCCATGATCAGGGTGTTTTTCAATGATAAACACTCCGTGTATAGGTACCGCCTTTTGGATCCATTTTAAGGCGTTACTTACCTACAACCACCATCAATATGTGAAATTTTTGTATTTTTTTTTTATTTTTGAAAAGCTTTTTGTTTCCAACCAAAAATTCAACAACCATTCAAATACGGTCGATATGTGTTTGCAATTGACGGCAATATGAAGTGACAAACGACAAGAATTATTGTGTCACATACACACACACACATACACATCAGTGATAGAATCGCAGGAATTACAGGAATAAATGAATGCAAATATTCGTGTATGTTTACCAAAAAAAAAAAAAAAAAATTCTCCATGTTTGTTCGAGTGATGTGTGTGTGTGTGTGATGTTTAGATATGGAATTTTGAAAAGAAAAAAATTTTTTTCACTTTAAAATTCTATATTTCCAGAATAGAAACATTAATTTTTCTTTGTCACACACACACACACAGAACATTTTTTCCTGGTGTCCACCGTTCATCATCATCATCGTCATCATCATTCGACAAGACAAGCCATCCATCCATCCAATATGGGCGCCAACATTTTATTTATTAGTGAGAGAGAAACCTGAAAAGAAAAAAATCTCCAACCAAATAATAATGGTAGATTGATATAGTCAAAACCAAGTTTGCATTTCCTTTTTTTTTCATATATCGATTCACGGTCGTCCAGAAGAAGAAACGCGCCTAAAGGCGTAAAATTCGTACATGTGAAACATTTAAAAGAATAGAAAAAAAAACTGTAAAACCAGAATAAATCTTCATGATGATCTATCCATCTATTTCATCGTTTTTCAACAAGATTTTTTTTTTTTTTTTTTGTTAATGTCACAATTATTTGCTGAGTATATGTGACTGACTCTTTCAAACAGTGAACAACATCGTCGATTGAAATTTTTTTTTCGGCACATGAATCTTTAAGAATTTTTTTTTTAAATTCTGTTATCGTCGTCGTCGTTGTTGTTGTCATTGACAAAAAAAAATTAGTTCAAGATTGAATCAAGAATTTTTTTCGCGTCTGTTTGTTTGTTATAATTGTTTTTTCTCTTTTTTGAGGGTGTGTGTAGTGTTTATTTTGTTTTTTTCTCTGTGTGTGTTTTTTTTTGTCACTCAACACCAGCAATTATCATCATCATCATCAATAATTCTTCGTGTTTATTTATTTGTTTTGTGGCGGTGCGTGTGTATCAATCAATCAATCATCTCTAGCCAATCATTGATTAAAATTTTAAATAATTCAAAAAAATGTGAACATATCCATCCTTTGTTTTCTCCATGTTGTTATCGATGTTGTTGTTTTGAGACAGAAAAACAACAACAACAACAACAACAAAATCTGGTCATTTTTTTTCCTGGCATGCCTCTTGAAAACTATTGATTCAACCACAACAACAATTGAGCAACAACAACAACAACAACAATTGGGGAAAAAAATGTCATTTCTAGCACTTGATTCGTCTTGTTCCTGGCAGGTAAGTTTTTTTTCGGATTTAATTTTTTTTTTAAACGAAAAATCCTAATCTATTTGTGAACATATTGTATGTGTGTGTATATTGAATCTGCTATTGATCGTATGGATTAAACAAAAAAAAAATCATCATCATCATCGTTTGATGATTTGATGAAATGAATTTGAAAAACCCTGGCGCATTAAACCATGAAATTAATTCCATTGTATTATTACCGGGTTTTTTTCATTCTTTTTCTTCTTTGCTTTCTATTAATATCACACACACACACACATCGATTTACCATTTCTTTTGTTGTCGTTGTTCAAGTTTTGTTGCTATTTTTTGAATCAGAAAAAAAATAAATCACCCTGTTACACACATACCTAATTGACAATCATCATCATCATCATCGTTATTAGATAATCTCGTCTCTTTTCTTTTCTTTTCAAGTCCCTGGTATTCAAGCAATCAAACACACACATACACACACAAACAAACAATACCCAATGGTGAATGATGGAAATTGAGTTGTTCAATTTGTTTTGTTTTGGTTATATACTGGTTTTTTTCCACCATCATACCTTCTGCTTATGGGTCTATATGGTTTATCTGACACAATCAATCTTTTCATTTCGTCTTTTTTTTTGTTGTTTGTAAATCATGATTATTGTGTGTGTGTTTGTAAATATGTCAATGATGATGAGAAACGATAAAAAATATGGATTTTTTTTCTCTGAAAAGCAAGTGTTTTCACTTTATAAAACTCTCTCAATCACCAGTGATAAAAAAAGAACCCCATTACAATGATGATGATGGTAATATGTTTGCATTGGTCTCCGGAGAATCAAATGAATTGAAATGAAAAAAATGAAAATACAAATATCAATCGCTGATGATGATTATTTGGACGATTTATTCTCTCGCTATGAATATTCTTTCTTTACACATTACTCGACTAGCAATGGCAATGTTAACCCTCGAATTTTTTTTTTATTTCCATATACGAATATTAATGACAAAAATTCTGGTTTATTTATACTGGCATCTTTAATCTAATAATAATAATAATAAAAAATGGTAATAATTTACCAATTTGAATTTAGTTTAGTTCAGTTTTTTGGTAACATTTGTCAATTCTGTCTGTCTCTCTCTCTATGAGGTATATATTTGGTTTTCATTTGAAATTCATATTAATAATAACAAGTATGAGTGTGTGTGTGTGTGTGTGTGTGTGTGTGTGTGTGTACGTACGTGTGTATGGATTTATTTTTCTAATTATAATCATCATCTATTGAATGTGAATATGAGATCCATTTTCCAATATAAATTCTTTGTATTCTGTACTTGGTTATAAAGAAAAATGAAAATGATCCAATTTGTTTGCAAGTGTATCACCGAAAAAAAACACACACTGGGTAGTCAGTAGTCAGTACTAAATATCGACAATTGGATTATCTCTCTCTCTCTCTCTCTCTATAGATCAATGATCCATGATCCATGATCACATGCACATGGTGCTGTCATTCACTAATCACCATCATCAAACTCTTTATCCAAACTAGTCATTCATTGATTCTCGATGATGATGATGATGATTGCTCAGTTTTTGTTTTTGTCATATCAATAACACGGAGAACAATGAGATTAAAAAATTTTTGAAAATAAAAATCTTTATCACAAACAATCTTTCCATCCAAGAATATTCTTGTGTGTGTCAATGACAAATGTTTGTTTTGTTTTTATTTTTATTCTTGTTTATTTGTTTATATCATGATAAATACTCAAGAGAATGATTTATCGGTGTTCCAGAGTTCCAAAAATTTTATTTTATTTTTGATGTTGTTGTCTGTGTGATATACACGAAACAAAAGAAAAAATATTTTACATCCACTGGTTATTATTGTCCATTTGTGTGTGTGTGTGTGTAGGTATATACACTATTTAAAAACCACTGCTGTATGTATTTTTGAACCATTGATACACACAACAACACCACAAGAACAGAAACAGCAGCAGTGATATTCTCAATTTCAAACAAATTTATGAATTGAGATTCAAAAAAGCGAATAATAGGTCCCTCTCGATCGTTTTCTCTTTCATTTCATTTCATTTTTTTTTTGTTTGATCTCGATTTCTGATCTGGATATATTTTGCAATAGTTCACAATTCAATCTCTAGAGAGAGAGAGAGAGAGAGAGAGAATGTGGAAATTAGTATATATGTGACTGAGCCTTTTTTTTGATGGATCGAATATACTCCAGTCATACACGTACAATAGAGATATAAGCTTCCAAAAAAAAAAAAAAATTTCGCTTTTCATCAATTTGCATTCAAACCAATCTCAATGATAAGGTCTGATGTTGGTAGTCAAGGGGCTGAAACAAAGGGGAAAAAAGAAAAGCTGCTCGGGCTGCTTGTTGTTGTTGTTGTTGTTGCTGCTGCTGTCATTATTATATTTCAGACATATATATAGATATATTATAAACATCTGAACGTGGTTTATTCATCATCAACAATGAGTGAAAGAAAAAAAACTAGATCTTTTGTTGTGGGCAATGTTTTTTTTTGTGTGTGTGTAGTATGGTGTTCACACCTCACACACAGTGTTGAATAATGGTGGCGTGTGTGTGTGTAAAAGAAACCCAATTTAATGTCCTGATGTTTCTGGTGGTGTTGTTGGTGGTTATGGTTATGTTCTGGTTCATTTCCCATTATTCACATACAAAATGAAATGAATGTGAAGTATTATGATCTATTATGCTGATTTTTTTTCCTTTTTCATTTGCTGGTGGTTGGTTTATTATTCAACAAACGAATGGACGGAAAAATCGTTAATGACACTTTTAATTGAGTGCGAAAAGAAAGGACAACAACAACAACAACACGACAACAAAAGCAACACGCACAAACACATGATCCATTTTTGATTTTGATACACTCTCATACACACGGCATGATACTGAAAAAAAACCACATGATATTACACTTGTGTGCGTTTTGTTTTCTGGTTTTTGGTTATAATTCAAATTTCAAAATCTTGTTTCTGTAAATTTTTTCCAGTTTATTCAGTGAATCAACTTGTTTCGATTTTGGAACCAAAAAAATGCATAATTTTCTGATTGCTGATGATGATGAACGTGTTTGGGCATTAATTTTGTTTTCTAGATTTAGAAAATACGAACGCGCGCGCGTATTGACCATAATGTGTGGATTTGTTTGGTTTGTCAATGGCCATTGGCCAATGTCAAGTTTGTGGCTTAAAAGTTCAAGTGGATTCAATGTTTGACCACCATTATTTCTATTTGACAATGAATGGCTATTTAAATCGTGATATTTCGTTTTTTTTTATTATTATTATTAAATACCAAAATTGACCATGACTTTTAACATGATTTTGACATGTATCATGCAAGAATGTCGATGATGATGATCGAGGTAATGATAATAAGGTGGAAATCTTATTATTTCAGTATAGTGTGTTTTGGATTAAGGTTTGGTTTTAATTTTGTTATTGATTTTTTTTCTACTTTGATCTGGTTTTTTTTAAATATCTGATTTCGATCAATCAATCGATCGATTGAATGAATATAAAATGAAATTATGATGATGATGATGATGATGATGATCTTTTTTCATTTATTCTATATATCCCCGATCAATCATCAATTTGATTTTTGTTCATCATTTGACCCTAAAGGCCAGTCAATATTGTATAATGTAAACATACACTGGGGAAAAGAGTGTGGAATTAATTAGGTTGAAATCTTAGTAGTAATATCAACAACAGTAGCACGCAAAATGAATTTCAAAAAAAAAAAAAAAAAAAAATTCTTTGAAATAAAATGATCATTTCCAATGATTTGTTTTCACGAAAGAAAGAAAGAAAGCCCACCATCATCGATTGATCGATCTATCGATGATTATTATCATGAATTGATGGTAATTGATTTTTGCTTTTATCAAAAAAAAAAAAAAACAAAAATCAAATATTTGATGAATAACAAATCATTTGAAAAAAAAAAATTCAATTTGAAATGGTTATCAATCGTGTGTGTGTGTGTCTGTGTCTGTGTGTGTGTGTCGTTTTACATTTTTTATCGATCAATCAAATCAAATCAATGATGATCGATGTTGAGAATTTTTCAATTCAATTCGATTATCATTTTATATTCATTCACAGATATTGTGATGAAGAAAAAACATTCCAAATATGAATACATCCACAATAACAGATTTGTTAATGATTATCATCTTTATTTTGTTCGTTTTTTTTCGTTCCAAAAACAAACAAACAAACAAAAATCAATAAACAATCAGCCAGCCAAAAGTGAAATAAATAATGTCTGCGTGTATGTGTGCTTTAATTAGTGATCGAACCGCTAAGATGGCAGCACACGATTTTTTTTGTTTTGTTTGCTTTTTTTTCGTCTTTCCTTTCTTTTTTCTCTTATTATTTTTTTTAGTCTTTTTTTTCCCCAAAAATATTCGTTTTCATATCGAACAGAACGGAACGGAACAAGAAAAGAAAAAAAAATTTTTTTTGCTTACGGCCATTTTTTCGTTTTTACTATTATGTTTGGATTTTGTTGTTGTTGTTGTCCGTCCATCATCATCATCATCATTATTATTTTGTCACATGCCTTTTGTCATGTTTGGTTGCTGCTGCTTCGATGGATTTTTTTTTCATTGCCTTCACATCGATTGTTGTTGTTGGATCAAATTGTTAGTTTTTGGAAAACGAAATTTTCCACCTATTTAGTTCCCAATATAGTTTGTTTGTTTTTTTTTTGTATTATGTTGGACGATTCTATTGAGCAAGAGAAATTGTAAAACAAAAACGAAACGAAATACAATGGACCCAATTCTTTCAACATACAGAATTGATGATGATGATTTTTGAAATTTTCATTCACCATCATCATCATAATTAATTCGAATGGACAGCGAAAAAAAAAATTAACCCTTTTTCTTCTTCTTCATCGTCATTTTCTTTTTTTTTTTTTTTCATTATTTATGCATTC